TGCTGCAAGATGTGCGTCAGGACCTCACTGATGTTGTGCAGGTGTGTGAGGGCAAGAAGAAGCAGACCAATGTCTTGCGAACACTGATCAACGACCTTGTGAAAGGTTGGTCAAAATTGTTGTAGCACTTTATGTTGGGACCTGTTAGACAAGAGCTGTATGGTGACGTTTAAAATGGTTTATAATCATGTCATAACCATGTTATTTTCCACAGGCATTCTGCCCCGTAGCTGGTGCCGTTACACTGTCCCTGCCTCTATGACTGTGATCCAGTGGGTGGCTGACTTCAGTGAGCGCATCAAGCAGCTGCAACAGATCTCCCAGGGAGCAGCCAGCGGAGGTGCCAAAGAGCTGAAAGTGAGTCTTCTTAAAATGTGACAAAAAAAATAATGTATGCTAATCCTGAAACTAGTTTTAATCAGTTTTTATTCCAATACTTAGGCTTTGAATAAGTGCCTGAAATCATAGCTTAATGTTCATAACCCATATATTTATATATATATATATATATATATATATATATATATATATATGTGTGTGTGTGTGTGTGTGTGTGTGTGTGTGTGTGTGTGTGTGTGTGTGTGTGTGTTTTTATGAGCACAGGTTCTCATTAAACTTCTAAATGGAATATGTATATACAATAGTGAGTCTCATAAGGGTTAATATCTTCTCTAGAACATCCATGTGAACCTAGGCAGTCTGTTTGTGCCGGAGGCCTACATCACAGCCACCCAGCAGTATGTGGCTCAGGCCAACAGCTGGTCTCTGGAGGAGCTTGGCCTGGAGGTCAATGTCACTTCCGCACAGGGAGCAGCACTGGATGCCTGCAGCTTCGGCATTAAGGGTGAGTGACCTGTAGTGTCCTATAGCTTTCTAGAAAATAGTATTGTTCTAATGAACACTGACTATTGCATTTGACCGATCTGTGGTCTGCACTCATAGCCTGGCTAGAAGGGTAACCAAAAAGCATGGGTACTCATGTGCAGTATGGTTCACTTTGCAGTAGACAACAAAATGCCTTTATTACAGTTTTGTAACTGTACTGTGCCATACTGCACTGTCCACTGGGGGGTGGGGGGTGTATTTAGTGCAGTGACACCCACTTTAGCTCAGCTCAAGGAAAGGCATGTATATTGCCTGATATGTTGAATCAGTACAGGGCCTGGATATAGCAGGACCAGGAGTGGGGAACACTTACTCCTGCATAATGATTTGGACTTGTTCAGTATTTTATGGAAGGAAACTGTATGTGACTTTTAGCTCTATTTCTGTGCCACAGGTTTGAAGCTACAGGGAGCAACCTGTACAAACAACAAGCTCTCCCTCTCTACTGCCATCTCCACTGAGCTGCCGCTCACGCAGCTGCGTTGGGTGAAGCAGAACAATGCAGAAAAGAGGAGCATGGTAAGTCAGCACTCGGCTGTTACCATCACGTGTACATGGCTGTAAATCAGCATGTATTAGCTTTAATAACCTTCATCTTTCTAACTTGGGCTCTTTCTCTTCCTTCCTGTCTCCAGGTCACCTTGCCAGTGTATCTGAACTTCACCCGTACGGACCTTATCTTCACCGTGGACTTTGACATCGCCACCAAGGAAGACCCACACAATTTCTATGAGCGTGGCGTGGCCATTCTCTGCACCGAGTAGATGATTGCTTTGTGTCACAAAAATGAATTATTACTAATCATTTAACCATATATGATTCTTTGTAGCTTAGATGCTTGTGTAACCCAGTATGTGTGGAAATGTAGTGTTGAAATGTAACAGTTCATTATAAATGTAACAGTTTGTTTCTCAGAAAAAAGATTAGAAAGTAAGGGAGGTGTTAGTAGATGGATCTGTGCACTGTTACGAGGGTTTATAAAACAAGTAGGGTTTTTAGAAGAAGGAAACTGTATGTGTTTTAAGATGGAACAATGAATGTTGATTAAAGGTTAGCATGTTGGACGGTTTCAACCAACCATACAGAGTCACTTGATTCATTTTATGATTTAGAAAAAAAAATATGAAGCAATCTCTCCTTTGCTGGCAGCCTGAAAGTCAGAGAAATGGGTTTTAACATCTTTGTGTTACAAAACTAAAATTGATTTTAATGAGGATCTTGGAAAAACACATTCTTTATTGAAAAGAATATTCTGTATACAGAAAGGGTTGAATGTCTGATCTCTGTGTGGAGGATGGTGTAGTTGCCCCAATGAAGATGACAGCTGATGTGTATATAAAAGAATGATCTGCAGTTTAGTGTTGCTTTCCTCAGGTTCAAATAGCTCTGAATGTTAAAACACCACAATCCAACTGATGATAAATGTGGAGCTGTGCTTATCTCAGGAGGCACTGCCCACTGAGTAGGTGTATACAATTAACAAGTAAACTCAAATTACAGCATGTGATCTTACATTGGGAATCATGAGTCAAGCTCTTGCAGTGTTCTTAAAATCTACAGAAAGATGTCTGTCAGTACATCTTGACAATAAGAATCTGTGTCTGTTGATGAAATAGACACAGCCTGTTAAAGTAAGAAAAGAACACTGTGCTAGGACATCTAAACAGGAATCTAGTAGTATAAGGCCAATGTAAGCAACTTAATGTCAGATGGAAATCATAACATTAGTGTGGCAATTTATAGGAAAAACAGTTGTAGCAAAGGTGAAAGCTGCCAGAAGAGCTTCACTGCATTTTGGAATCAATTCTATAAGTCTGCAAAACAGTCCTGGAAGGATGGAACACCATTCTTCCAAAAGATATTCCCTTCAGTTGATGTTTTGATGGTGGTAGAGGACACCATCTAACACGACAGTCCAAAATCTCCCATTGGTATACAGCTTGGTACAGATCTGGTGACTGTAAAAGCCATAAAATATGATTTACATACAAACCCAATTTCAAAAAAGTTAAGAGTATGTGATATGCTAGTAAAAACAAAGCAATGATTAGTGAATTCTGTTTGACCTGTATTAAATCGAAAATGGTACTAAAACACAATTTTATGTTTAGCCAGTGAACTTGTTTTTTTGTAAATACACACTCATTGCAAATTTGATGTCAGCAACATGTTCTAAAAATGTTGGGACAGGTGTGTGTTTACCACTGTTACATCACTTTTTAACAACAATAATCATTTGAGGACTGAAGACACAAACGGATGCAGTTTTGAAAGCAGATTTTTTTTAAGCAGTGCAATCGTGCAGGTCTGGACTGCAGAAAGGCCGTGGTTAAACATTACATATCTTGTCTGTACCATCATTACTGTCTTGTTCAAATACCTGTTAAAATAGATTTATAAAATCACTGCTTTCTGTTTCTGTTCATTTTACCTACCATCCCAACTTTTTTGGAACTGGTTTTGTAATTTTCATACTAATTAAACCATTCAGTGACCCCTAGTGCCTTGTTAATGGGGGCATTGTCATCTCAGAAGAAACATATTGAAGTTGAAATTAAATAATGAATATGGAACTCAAAGTGCAGATGGCTTTAATTTGAGAGTACCTCAATATGAAGGCAGTTAGAGTAAATACAGAGGATTACCACAAAATGTAAACTACCAGGACCAGACCAGATTAGTTTGCAAAACAGTACAATTCTGGGACAACATCTTTTGGACAGATGAGACAAAGATCAATCTGAACCAGGGTTTAGGTCTCTCTGAAGGGAAGAGTACGGAGAAGGGAAGGAATGGCTCATGATCCAAAGCTTAATATCTCATCTGTCAAGCATGGTGAAGGTAGCGTTATGGCGTGGGTGTTTATGGTTCCCTTGTATTTATTGCTAATGTCACTGCTGACAAAAGCAGCAGATAGACAATGACACAAAGCATAGTGTGAAAGCAACCGAAGGCAAAAAAGTGGAATGTTCTACAATGGCAAAGTCAATCACCTGGCCTCAATCAGATGAAGCATGCATTTCCTGAAAAACCAGCATCTAGTGATGTCTGTGTTCAGGCAAGGGTTTTTAACAATGTATTAAAATGACAATTTGAGTGTTAGTTTATTCAATTACTTGAACATTACCTAAAATGGGGGGGCCTGTGTATGAAAATGGTTGTAATTCCTTTACTGTTCCCCCAATCTGGATTAAAACTAAAACAATTACAAGTCTACAATTTGAGCTCAAATTCATTATTTAATTTGACTCCAATATGCTGTGCTAGACAGCTAAAATGACAATAACTGTCAACATACAAATATTTATGAGCATGACTATGACTACTTGTGCTTAATATGACCAGAGAAATTAATCAATGAGGTAAAAGTGGTCCATTTTGGTTTCAGATTGACTATAAACAAACTGTACTCTAAGAGAAGACAACATCCAGAGCATTAGAATACAGAAATACGGGCAGCAAATCTGTGATATGCACTTTATTATTATTTTGCAATTCAGAAACTTTTAAGGTCTTTGCTGTATTTCAATATATACATACACACCGATAGGGCATAACATTATGACCACCTCCTTGTTTCTACGCTCACTGTCCATTTTATCAGCTCCACTTACTATATAGGTGCACTTTGTGGTTCTACAGTTACAGACTGTAGTCTATCCATTTCTCTGCGTACTTTGTTAGCCCCCTTTTACAGCGTCCTGTGGGCACTGATGAAGGACTAGAGGATGACCAACACAAACTGTGCAGCAGCAGATGAGCTATCGTTTCTGACTTTACATCTACAAGGTGGATTGACAAGGTAGGAGTGTCTAATAGGACAGTGAGTGGAAACTCCAGCAGCACTGCTGTGTCTGATCCACTCGTACCAGCACAACACACACTAACACACCACCACCACGTCAGTGTTACTGCAGTGCTGAAAATGATCCACCACCCAAATAGTACCTGCTCTGTGAGGGTCCATGGGGCTTCTGACCACTGAAGAACAGAGCAAAAGGTGGCTAAAACAGTATGCAGAGAAACAGAGGGACTACAGTCTGTTATGCAGAACTACAAAGTGCACCTATATAGTAAGTGGAGCGGATAAAATGGACAATGAATGTGGAAACAAGGAGGTGGTCATAATGTTATGCCTGATCAGTGTATATAAGTGAATTCAAAGAAAACATTACTCCTAATCTGATAAATAGTACACATGGAGTAGCACGCTATGTATTTTTTTTCCCCCTGCTCTAATATATTTATTTTAAACTCATGGCAGGCTTGTTAAATAGCTGTTGTATTGAAAGCCAGAAAAATGTGTAGCACATATTTTAGAGACTCCAGTTACAAGGACTGTGAAGCACCATCCTAAACCTTAAGTTGGCAGCTTCTGGAGTACAGAAAGTGCACTAAAAAAAGAATTCACTTCGTAGTGCTTGAGGTTCTAAATCCACTTCCTTGCAACAATTTTCCACTTGCCCTGATAGAACACTTCCTACAGGAAAGGTTCCCCATTACAGTCTTGTGTGTCAGCATGCAGTGTTCTTCAGACACTTTGCCTTATCCCTACAATAAGAAATAAAATGAAATTAAACATTTATATAAACAATGAATCAATTAAATGTCTTCATTCTCAGTAAAATCACAATAACTTTGTTTATGAGATTTGTAATTACACCTGGAATTACTGTCTTTCATTTAAAGCACCAGAAACGGCAAAATGCAACTTGCTATAGGCACCTTAATAGCAGGCCAATCAGCGTAATCTGCCGACTCATCCCTGACACGCAGCAAGTCATTCTAGACACATGGCTTGAGTGTGCTGCAGTCAGATCTTCTTCTGATAAAGCGCATTTTTCAGCTTCTACACAACTGTGGACTCACCTCTGGGAAAATGGTCTCAGTCTCCATTTGAGTGATACACTGCTTCTTTCTGTGCATGTATTCCTCAGAATCACCTAACGTGCCAAACAACTTCCTTTTTGAAAGTGTCCCAGGGTGGGTGGGGCTCTTGAGTAAGTCATCTGTTAGTTGAAATGATGTCTCTCTACCAAATGGAACTACAGAGGAGTAGAGAGGGTGTTTCTCTAGAATCTCACCATTGGCACATTTTCTGGCTCTAGGAAGGAAGTCCCCCTGATTAATGGCCTTCAGCTCTGAGTCACTTGATGACCTCATTTGGACATCTGCATTATGCACTATGGCCACACCATCTCTTGACCCTGGCCTCCTCACTTCGAGGAGCGGTGCAGGATGGGGGGCCGCTCTGCGACCTCTCCCTTTCGTTCTGAAGCCCCCATTTTTCTGTCTTTTTGAACAATCAGTGGAGGAAGTGGAGTCTTCTGAGCTTCCATCATATGGGTCCAAGGACTGAAATAAGCAACATAACATTTATGAGATCCAGAGGTCAATTTAAGGGCAGGTAAGGCCCAAATTAAAGATGCAAACACATTAAAGTGTGTTTCAAAAAAACAAAATTAAAATAAAAAAAAAACCCTCATCTTACTCTAAATGTAGTTAATCTGTTGTTGGTACTTTGTGTAAAACGTGCTTCCTTAAATTCCACTGATTTTTCAAATAGCTGCGTACTTAAATGTGAGCAAGGTAATTCAGAATGGTTTGACATGCAATGGTGCACTCAGATTTCTTCACAGTGGCAGTGACAGGAACCAGGGTTTATAATGTTTACAACATAAATATAGCCATATAATTTACTATCCAAAACTACCACTGAACCTACATGCATTTTCTGAGATTTATATGTAACTTTGACAATGGTGAAATAATGATAAATCCAAAAATGTTTTCTTTGAGTCTTGCGTTGCCTAACAACACCCTGCATGTACTTCTCTGCCATATTTGAAAAAAACTATTTTTCAGCTAAAACATAAATCTCAAAACTACTTAAATACAATATTTTAGGCACCAGGCAGTGAATTCATAACCATTTCATGCAGTAACTTTCTTTGTAGTAGCTCTTACAGGCAGTAAATGCCTACACCTACATTTAATTGCATTAAATGCAGAAAGTTTGAAAAATCTGTGGAATTCCCCTCTAATTTAGAACTGGAGATGTAAAACTATTGTAGCTAAAGCATAATGGAAGCTAATACTGACCTATTAGCATTGAGCAAACTGCATACCTAAAATCATCACTCATTTGCCTCAAATCACTATGAGTTGACATATGACAGGTAATCTCAAATTGATTTGCTTATTTGATGTTTAACTGTAAAAATGGACAAAAGTATGTTGCATGGCTAAAAACAGTATTAGCAGCCATACTGAATTCTTTACTCAAGTGCAAATGCTTATCTACAATACTGTAGAGCTGTATAGAGTGACGTACAGTAAAAAAGCAAAATCTTAACATTATTAAATAATAAAAGTAAATGGGGGTTTGTGAGGCATGTTTAAATTGAGGTACTTTGTGCTAAACATATGATTAAGAAAGAATCACAATTTAAAAAAATTGAGGCCATGGATGGGGAAAGTCTTGCAACAAAGTTGCTCCATCTACAACACTGGCTGGCTTAGTATGGGTTGAATTTACTCTGTTGCTTCTCCTGTCCCTCCTGTCATTTACTCGCAAACTATGCACTTGCGAGTAGATGTACAGTCAGTTGCAGATAAATGAGAGAAATTTACAAATAAATACATCTTGTCCGTTATAGTTTAGATTTGTTAAGCATCTGCCACGTAATCAACTGCTGACAGAAGTCTGATGCTGTCTGATGTCTAGTCTGATCGTTTTATAATTTCCCTAGTTATGTAGATAATAGAGAAACAAATCATGTAATATATGCAATATGAACAGAAAGTGCCAGAAACCAAAATCTGGTTCCATTATCTACTCACTTGTTGGTAGTGCCGTCCAAACGGCTTTTGTGGTAAAGCAGGCCTCTTAAGACTTGTGCAAAGCTGTAAAGACTAACAGAACAGCATACATTAATGCACTTATTGTAACCAGTCACAATCTTGCAAATGAAATAGTAGTTTAAAGCACCAACTCTTCAATGACACAAATATAACAGCACAAACCTGCATGTCTGCACTCTTTGCAGAAAAAAACGTTCTTCTAGCTAACAGACTCCTGTGAATCTTGACTTTTACTCACAACATAAAATTTTATCCTTTTTCAAGTGCTACCAAATTTGGGGGGTATAACGCTGGGTACGAGTTCATAGAAACGTGTTAAAAATTGTAATTTTGTTCCTTCAATTGTAGCGGTCTCCACTTGGGATAGTACCTTACTGCTAGCATCGGACCATCGTGGGCTTACGTCTGACTCCGAGTCTGAGCTTGAATCCACTTTACACATCTCCTGATACAAAACAGAAGTATCAGTACAGTACACAAATTTAGCTACACCAACGGGGAAAATAAGTTGAATGAGCATTTGTTGAAATTACACAGGTAGTCCTACCATGTATTTGAATGCCAACCTGTCCACAGCGTCTGGGCCTCTCGGAACAAAGCGGTCACAAACACCTATGAGTACACTTTGTATTAGTAAAGTCTCCATCGTTTCAATCGGAACCAATATTATGAATATTAACATATTGTTCAGGCTTAGACCTGCATGTCATATCAAATACAGCTTTCATGTGTAATTTATGTTAGGAGTGTTTTGTTTAGCTTTTTTGCCTTTCCTGGCTAATACTGGAGACCTTCTACCTGCTGTAGCATGTCGTCGCCGTAATTGTTTGGTCGGCATTGTAGTCCACAGCCTGAGGAGACACGCTTCAGGCAAATTAAAGGTAGTTTGAGGATCATTACAGGTCAAGTGGAGGCGTACAGTGAACAAGAGGCAAATAAAGGAGTAGGCCTGTTAACCTGTCAATCAATCAGTCAATGAATCAGTCAAATTATAAAAGGGTGGTACAAACTGTTATTTATTTAAAATTACTGAAAACGCGTTGCCTAAGTTAACTATCAAAACAGTCTGGTTTTTGAGCTTTTAATGAACACGTCTCTGTATTTTGCAATATTAAATGAAATCATTGTTTCACATTTTATTTTTTTAGTCCTTCTCAGCAGTAAAAAAGTAATGCTTAGGCGATGCAACGAAAACAGTATACAGTAACGTCATTTCATACTTAATATTGATTAATCAAACCCAATGTTTACAGTAACAGTCGATCATCTCCGCTTTTTAATACCGGTTCTAAAATAATTCTGTTAAATAACTGCAGATGATGGTGTGCTCCGCTCTGCGCATGTGCGGCGCGTAAGATCCGGGCCTGGGCCAGGATGAATGCAAATTTCAAAGATGGCGGCGGAGGGAGGAGGGAAGGAGATGAACGAGATCAAAACTCAGTTCACGACCCGAGAAGGCGCATACAAACTCCTCACGCACTCCGAGTACAGCCGCCCCAACCGGGTGCCTTTCAACTCGCAGGGCTCCAACCCCGTGAAGGTCTCGTTCGTAAACGTGAACGACCAGTCCGGCAACGGCGACCGAATCTGCTTCAATGTGGGCCGGGAGCTGTACTTCTACATCTACAAAGGCGTCCGAAAGGTAAACAACACTTAGGCTCGTTTCTTGCCTTTTTGTTTTCTTCCTGGCAGGCACAGCTAAAGCGACGGGGTTATAGTTAAAAACGAAGCTTGATTTGTGTCCACTTGAAATGGCGAGGTCGTTGTTTGGCTGCTGTCCCCTCAGCTTTTTTGCGTGGACTGCTTGCTAACGTTAGCTAGCCTTAGCTAGCTTAGCTATTGAAGCCGACCGACAAGCTGTCAGCTTGGGCCTAACGTTAGGTACACCTGTCGCGGACGCCGTAGGACTAACACTTTTCATGCCCACTTTATCCTCTGAATGTTAAAAAGAACGCTTTTTGCGTTTTAACCTACTTCGACGTTATTAATAACGCCATGCTTGTCGTGTGGGGATTAACGCTAGCCGTGTAACCTACATGTCTGCACATATCGGCGTCGACTTGTCCACGGTGAGCTAAGCTACATAGCTGCAACTTGGTTCAAGCGATTGGGCCAACTGCGATGGAGAGAACAGTTGTTCTCTCTGTCGTTTAATCAAGTAGTCATCCTTTCAACTTTACTACTGTGCCAAACGAGTCGGTCAGTGCTTGTTTATTACTCGGTTATTGTTACATGTACACCGACATTGGCGTAAAACGAGAGGAAATTAAGCACTGGGGTTAAAAGTTTGGCATGACGTGTTTTAATTTGTGCTGTTTGTGTTTTGTTATTGCTGAGAGGGAGATTGATCTCGCCAGTCTCTGCTGCCTACGTGCGTTGTTTATGTGGATTAGGCGGAGCTCATATGAAGTGCTGAGTGAGCTGCTCTGGAGAGGTCTGCCGACTTAATGGTTGGTCTGAATTTGAATAAAAATTACCTCACTGTGCAAATACAACTGCACTTGGCTTGTAATAAGGCGCATTGTTGTCTGTTCCTCATCCTTCATACAGCTTATTATAAATATTAGTGGTTTGTTGTGGTCAGTTAGTGTATGAGTGGATTTAAGTGTTCACTACAGATGCAGAGTTTAATCACAATGATTTGAAAACGTTCACATCTCTTTTGTTTCCATTTTGAATTTACAAATATAGCCATGTTGGACAGGACAACATTAAATGGGATCAACAGGTATTCTAAGGTTTATAGTTTAATTGATTCTGTCTGCAGTCACAGTGCTTCAGTGAACCCTTTTGACTGACTGGTGTAATCTTTTATGGACATTACAGCACACTCATATGCTGTGGTTACAGCTATCATACAGACATCTTCTTCTGTGCTTTACTCTTGCATCTGATTTATTTATGTGCTATTCCAAAATTATTTTATGTGATTCTTGAATGAAGATGCTCCAATAGGGAAGTTGTGGGGTGTTGCAGATTTCCGGAATTTTTATTGTACATATCTGCCGATGGAGATATTGATGCAGTGCATAAAATTTAATAAAATGTTGGTAGATGTAAATGCGCCTTAATACTTGGAGAATATAGAGTTACCTGATGTCACTGTAATAGTTCTAGCATAAATAGTCTAGACCTCTCATGCTAAAACATGGCTTACAAGTATGCCCCTTTTTCATCTCTGAGTAAGTAGTGAAACTTCTAACTTATGATAAAGGGAGGGAAATACGCAGTGTATGAACATCTAGGACCAGGAGTATCAAGAACCAAAACTTTACACCCTGTAAGGTAAAAGGGTTTCATAACACCATGTCACTGTAACATGATCATGTATTTAAAATAATGACATACCAGTATACTGTTGGGGAACCACATTTTACCCTTTCATGCTGTAGTATTGCAGGGATGATATTCTCTTGCACATGGCATGAAACCTGCATCAAGCTATAGTTTAATGAATGTCCTCATATATAAATAAACATAAAAAGCATAGGTGTTTTGTAATTTGGTGTTTCACGGTATTCAAAATGTATGATACTGTTATGGTGGAGATTTTGAAATACTGGCAGTTTGCATTACATCAAACAAATAGCAGTTTCACCAGGGGTATTTATTTATTTATTTATTTATTTATTTAAATATGCAGAGCAGCTTTGGATTCACAGGGTCCCACTGTGCTGTCAGGTTCCTTTGCTCCTCCAAGGAGAGACAATGCGCCCAGAATCACATACTGCCATACTAAATATTGTCGGAATATTACATCCCCATTAGAATTACATTAATTTGTGTAGCACGGTATGTGGTTTCTGATGCTAATCACATCGAGCACAGTTACTGCATGGTAGAAGGTGGGAGCAGCAACAGAACGTTCCACGATCAAGAAGGTGAAATTGGAGATGTGCATTTCGAATTTTGATATTTGAGTATTTGTAAGGGTTAATGAATGGATAATCGGTTGTCCACAGGGAAGGAAAAAAAACAAGGAAAACAATAACTTAGGCCAACATTAATGCATTTGAAAATGTTTTGTTATTCAAAAATAGCGAAAGGTGAGTAGCAGGGGCTGCAGCTTCAGGTGTGAGCTGATGATTTATTGGAGCTAACTGGTACAGCATTAGATGCTAATGAGAACTTGCTCTTATTAACCTTTTTTTTTCTTTTTTTTCAGTTGAACTCTGAAGTTGCCGACATGTCTAATTAGCATATGTAGCAATAAAGCCCCTCCACGGCCAGCCGCTCTCTGCTTAGTCAGGTGCTTGGCAATGCGTTCACAGTAAGGCGCTCATAATTCTTAGTAACAAAGTGTAATAGGAATACTTAGTCGCAAATGCAAGTGAACTTGCCACATTTTACAGTCCTGTTAAAACCCAAAATCAGTGTTTCACCAAGTTGATTGTCTGTATATCTTTTTGTGATAAAGCAAAAAGCATCCCTAGTGAAAAACTCTCATGTGAAGAAGAAAAAATGCATGATCTCACATGTGTATGTGGTCGCAAGGTGCAAGTATGTGAAGTAAAAATCATAAATGTCATACTCTGTTTACTCTTTATGGGAGCACAGCTTTCTTTAGCAGTCAGCTTGGCAGATAGCTAACAGGCTCATCAAAATAAAGCCAAATTCTGAATATTAATTTTATGTTGAAGTAGAGCTGGGCGATATGGCCAAAAACGTTATCACGATAAACAAAATTCATATCGTTCGATATCGATACATATCGCGATAAATGTCAAATCATTATTTCTTTCACATTTGAAGGCTGATTTTGCTCCTGGGTGGTTAATTGTGGTTTTAAACTATCATTTATGGTCGGATCATGACAAACACTCGGCAAACAGTGGAACATTTCACTAATCTGTCATGGAAGAGTGGGAGAAAGTTTCTAAGCTGTTTTTATCAGTTGGAAAAGCACCGCAGCAATTTTTGTAATAGTCATAATTTAAGAAAGAAAACAGATTATTTTTAGCTGTCTGGTGACGAGCACTTGGCTACCCCGTTACAAATGCTAAACAAGTGGCCAACAACAGTGCTAAACTCTTTAGGTTCTCAACAGCGTCAACTCGGTTCGGTAGGTCACTGCTGTCACTCCTACCACATCCATGTCAGAGCATATCACAGTATTCAGACACCGGCTAGCAGACGACTGGATTTCTCTATGCTATCGTAGAAGTTTAAGGGGTGAACCGCAACATATCTGATGTTCGCTGTGTAAAAGCATTATCTGCAGTGTGAATCTCTCACACCAGTCAAACAGAGTCCTCCTTTTAGGTATGTTTAAACTGAAAGCGGTGATTTTGTGTCTTGTTTGATCTACCATATCATCATTTCACTGTGTTGTGCCGGAGCGCTGCTTCAAGTTAGCCAGCAGCTAAAAACAGCTAGCCTGGAAAGCTAACCTAGCGCTCTCCCGCTTCCCAATGCCTCACAGCTTCCTCAGTTTACTTTCGTTTAAATCAGGGCTGTAACTCACATTAACCCACTTCTTTCTTTCACTTTCGTTGCTCGAGAATGCACTAATACTAAAATATGACGGTTTGGCGCTGCAGACGTGATTTAACACCGCTAAAGTTGTTAGGATGCATGGAAAGAGGTGAGTTCACCGTAGGACAGTACAGGTACGTCACTTATCTCGTCACTCGCACTTGGTCACGGGAGAACAGATTGCCGACACATCGCTCCACTCAAACAGGGAATGTATAACTCCGCGTTTCAGATGTTGCTAAAGTATATTTGGTGACCCTTTTTATACTCGTGGCCCCCTCCCTCTCTAATCAAGTTGAAAAATTCTGAAGTGCGCCCTCTCCTGGCGACAGCAGAGTAGTGCCGCTTTCCTTGCAGTAGAAAACGCCACTGGGGCTTTCGCTAAAACGTGGAAGTGTGAGAATGGTGTATTATATTGAAAATTTATCGAACCTGTCTTATCGCTCTATCAAGGAAAAGTTATATCGCGGTACTTATCGTTATCATTTTATCGCCCAGCCCTATGTTGAAGTATTTATTGAAAGAATCCACTCAGGAAAGGATTAGTAATTACCTAATTGGCTGAATCAGTTGTGTTTGGGCAAGGAGTTATTGAAACTGTGCAGGATAGCGGCTTCTAGACTACAGATGAGATGCACATTCATAGAACGTTGCAGCCAAGAGCTGCGTTCAGAACAATAAAATTTAAATGTGTAGGCTTTAAACATTTGTGTACGTTAAGTACAAATGGAAATACCAGCAATGTCTCTGAACACCCCAACTACACAGTCTTTAAAATCCAAGAGGGTGTGGTTTAATGCCGTGACTCAACCTTTTAGAATATATTTTGGGTGGAAAATGTAAGATCAGAGTACATGTCTCACATTTTCTTTTTTTGTAAAAGTTGCTCTTTACTATAGATATAGGTATGTATTCTGTCATTGTACTGTGTTTGAAGGTATCAAATGTATCATTCAGGCAATGCACCAGTATTGATTTGTTTTACAAGTTTGTGAAGTTGATTAAGTAACTTACCAGAAAGGTTGTTAAGAAGGTAAGGAGTGATTGCCTGAGGCATAAACTGCTGTAAAACCTTTTCCTCTGCCCATGCAGGAAGTAAACCACTTACAAAGAGTGTATCACATAACATAATATAGTTCTATTCTGTAAAGCAAACCTGATTAAAATTTGTGGTCCTGTGATTTGATGGGGAAAAGTATATCCTAACAGAATACTTCATGAATATGCATATGCTTATGAAAGTGAGTGTGACTCTCTAATATTTAATGTTTCAGTGCTTAGAATTTTGAACAGCTCTGAGTCTTATAGATTCCCCTTCCTTAGCACTAAGAGAAACGTTCACCTGTCCCAGCATCACAATTTATTATTTCAGTTTTTTTTCCTTTTACATTTTTCTTCTGCATGCTTTGGGTCATTATTTTAACATGTTATATTTTGGTGTCTGTGTGGTAATTCAATTTTGATCTCTGGGTATAATTTAATTCATGTTGGATAAGGAAATATATCCTTTTTATTTACTTAAACTCAAGCTGCATTTTTGGGAAAAAAATCCTTTTGAGGAGGCATTCTTATTCATCCCTCATTTCTGTGTTTTATGGCTCACAGGCTGCAGACCTAAGTAAGCCAATAGACAAGAGGATATACAAGGGAACGCAGCCCACCTGCCATGACTTTAACCACCTTACTGCCACGGCAGAGAGCGTATCATTGTTGGTGGGTTTCTCAGCCGGCCAGGTGCAGCTCATTGACCCTATCAAGAAGGAGACAAGCAAGCTCTTCAATGAAGAAGTAAGTGTTTGTATGTATGTGTGTGAGAAGCAACATTTGAGTCCTTTATTTCTGATGCTTGTACAGCAGTGTTTTTGTATCTGTTTAACAAGTCAGTCAATGTTGAAGTTTAATGTTGAACCATAGCATCAGTTTTGGGGATGCACTGTAGTATTGACTGAATTTTTGTAAGAAGTCTATTTCATGAATTTGGACCACATTTCTGTACTGAATAGCCTTTGTAGCAGATGATCAGAGGCAAGTGCTATGTTTGAAACCATAAATTAATTCTGGTAAAAACACAAAGCAATTCTGGTGTGTTAGTTGTCTCTCTTCATCTGTGGGATCCTACTTTTTTCCAATGGCTAACGCAAGGACAGAAACTTTCTGTGACTGCTGGTATTAAACAGAAAAGTTCTTATGTGTGAATCCTTGTCATTCTCCTTAGTATGAGAAAATGTTACAAGAATGGTGTTTAAAGCTGGCATGTCATCATTTAACATCAGGCACATTATGCACACTGTATGTGTTGTAAAATGTGGTGAAACCCAAAGTAACTTAGCAACACACTGTGTATTTTACTGTTAACTTTATCTACTAACAAATGGTCTTTTTTTTTTTCCTCTTTTTTTTTTTAAATATTCTCCCACTCCCACCCCTACTCCTTTACAAATCCTCCCTAAACTACTTTCTCAGAGACTAATAGATAAATCTAGAGTGACTTGTGTAAAATGGGTGCCAGGCTCTGAGAGCCTCTTCCTTGTAGCTCATTCCAGTGGAAACATGTACTTGTATAACGTGGAGCATACATGCGGCACGACAGCCCCTCACTACCAGCTGCTCAAACAGGGTGAGAACTATGCTGTGCACACGTGCAAGAGCAAATCCACGCGCAACCCTCTGCTCAAGTGGATGGTGGGCGAGGGGGCACTGAATGAGTTTGCCTTTTCTCCCGATGGGAAGTTCCTGGCCTGCGTGAGCCAGGACGGTTTCCTCCGCGTGTTTAACTTTGATGCGGTGGAGTTGCACGGGACCATGAAAAGCTATTTCGGGGGACTGCTTTGTGTGTGCTGGAGCCCGGATGGGAAATACATTGTCGCGGGTGGAGAGGATGACTTGGTCACCGTGTGGTCGTTTGTGGACTGTCGAGTCATAGCACGGGGCCATGGTCACAAGTCGTGGGTAAGCGTGGTGGCATTTGACCACTATACCACTAGCGTGGAGGAGAGCGACCCCATGGAGTTCAGCGGGAGCGACGAGGACTTCCAGGATCAAATCCACTTTGGCCGCGACCGGGCCAACAGCACGCAGTCACGTCTCTCCAAGCGCAACTCCACGGATAGCCGACCGGTCAGCGTCACCTACCGCTTTGGCTCGGTGGGTCAGGACACTCAACTGTGCCTGTGGGACCTCACGGAGGACATCCTGTTCCCCCACCTCCCCCTGTCTCGAACCAGGACCCACACCAACGTTATGAACGCTACAAGTCCCCCAGCCACAGGAAGTGGAGGAGGCGTGAGCAGCACGGTCGTCACGACGACTAATAACCCCAGTACGAACGGCAGCAACAACAGCGGCGCAAACACGCCGGGGAACTCCCTGCCCACACCGCTTCCACGCTCCAACAGCCTGCCACATTCAGCAGCTGCCACCACTGCTAACAGCAGCAAAAGCAGCGTGATGGACAATGCCATTGCCTCGGGTGTCAGCAAGTTTGCCACGCTTTCGCTGCATGACCGCAAAGATCGCCACCATGACAAGGACCACAAGCGCAATCACAGCATGGGCCACATCAGCAGCAAGAGCAGCGACAAGCTCAACTTGCTCACCAAAACCAAAACGGACCCAGCCAAGACACTGGGCACGCTACTGTGCCCACGTATGGAGGACGTACCCCTGCTCGAGCCGCTCATCTGCAAAAAGATAGCACATGAGAGACTCACTGTTCTCATCTTTCTAGAGGACTGTATAGTCACCGCTTGTCAGGAGGGATTTATTTGCACATGGGCGAGGCCTGGCAAAGTGGTAAGTTCTTTTTGAATCCAAAATGCCTACAACACTGGTCTTCCCCTACACTCAAAATACTATTCCATCACGTGAATATAGTTAGGTACCATGCCTATATCTGTAGTGGTGTCATGTTTGTGCATGACTTATTTAAAGCCTTCCCCTGTACAGTAAACAGAAATGGAGATGTATTTTCTTGATCCATAATCACACCTCATTTCCTCTTTAGCAACACCCACAATGCTCTGTCTTGTTTGACTGCTGAGCTATTACTGTGATTGTTAATTCATGCACAAACCTGCTAACCTTGGAGAATATTTTTGAGTACCACATCTATGACTACTGTGCCACTACACAGCATTGAACATTCAGCAAATAACCTGTTTATTGAAAAAGGTAAAAAAAGGGGGGACTTCCTTGGAAATTTGACAAACACAAAAAAAAATCCTAAAACATTAAATTACCTTGCTCTTATCAACATTCTTATTGCATACATATAAGAACAAGATAAATAATAGGGCTTTAAAATAGCTCAAATCCCATAAATAGATTTACCCAGTATCTCAGTACAAACATGTAGTCTAAGGAACTTCAGAGCTGTATCATTTTTGCTCTATTACTTATTCAAAGGACAAGCTGTATTATTTTGCAGGAAGCTGCAGTTTTCATGAAAAACTTATTTTGGTGAATGTTTCAGAAGTCTGGTATTTTGAACTCCACAAGCAGGTACTCTGGGTGGATGTTAAAGTTATGAAAGCAAAAGTAAAAAATATTAGAAAATGTTTGCAGAAAAGATCTGTAGATGCTTCTTAACCCATAATGCTTTATTCTGTACTAGCACATATGCTAGTAAAGGCTTTACCTTAAATTAAATGATCCCCTGTAGTCTTCAGTAAGTAAATTCACACTCTTTGTTAAGCACTTTTCATAAATGTACTTTATGATAAGTGATTCCCTCCCAAGTCAGGATGGCTTACATGCAGTTTTACTCTTTAAAAAAAAAAAAGATATCCCTGGCTCAAACTTCAAGAGAGCCAAACAGAGCCTCTGGATTAAAGTTCAGAGAACTTTGGATATTTATTAAAATTAAAATGTTAAAATATTGCACACAAACAAGACTTTATACATTTGTTTGTCAGTTTAGTTTGAGAACAGATAGCGTGCATTTGGTTAGACCTCAGCAATCTGTCAATATTTGCTTTAGTAATATGATATTGTATAAGGTCATGATATGCAAGTAACTGATTTTCATTCTGTGCTGTGGAAGCATAATGACTAATCTCAGATATTCATTATGAATGCTCTGTCATGTTTTTCGTTAGATGCATGCAATTTTTCCTTTCATGTCACACTGAAATAATTCTGCTTTTATAATTCATTGTTCAAGACATCAGTGATGAAAGTAACTAATGTTAGCTAGGAAAGACTTAGGACACAAACTTAAATACAAACTGGCTCAACCCAGTCTGGGACATTTTTATTTTATTTTCATTCACATGCGAGTCACTCCGTACTAAAGTAAGGAGTAGCTGACATGCGTCACGAAAAGAAACTCTGCTCTGTTCACTTTGTTCAAGCTGCTGGTCATCCAATCAGTTGCTTCTAAAACCAATACCAACATTTTAGTAAAATAGAGAAATGTAGGGCTATAAGGTCTATTATATCTGAAAACTGTGGAGTGCCAAAATCTGCCTTGTTGTGTGGCAGACACTCTATAGAATAACCAAGAATTAAACATGCTAAATGCTTCTAAATTAACATGAACGTGTTGCACAGAATTACAATGCAGAATGTTATTGTTGGGCACAAATAGTTTGCATCAACACATGCTGCTTTCGATTAGTTTGGCTACTGTGAACAAACAGGGTGACAGTTAAGGGTAATGTGCCTAATATATATTTGCCTTTGTCTTTTCAAGCAGGACAGTGGGAAGGTAAAATTTCTGGTTCACATAGAATATTTTAAATGTTAAACAGATAGTTTCAAGAACAATGCTTTGTAAATGTCTGTTACATTTGTGTTTATTTTTTTCCAAAAAAGCTCTGAAAACCTTGGAAATGCTCCCAAATAAATCTTTGTCTTCCTTTTCAGGGTTTATTGTCATCCCAAAACCAAGCCAACTCTCCCAGTGGAACAGTAGTATAGCCACAATATTTCTGCTGCTAAGAACCCTGCATCACACCGCTGTCACAGCCCTGTGCTGCTCTTCATCTTCACTTCATCTTTTATTTGCAACCCCCATACCCCCCTCTGTTTTCATTTCTTAAACATTTATTATTGGTTGCCTCACATGGTCTACTTGCACAGTGGACTTGTTAATACTGTGCACAAATGGAAATAGTGTGGTGCAATGATGGAGTGATGGACTGTAGCCATGTCAATTTTTTTGCTTTTGTTTTTTTTTAAAAGAAATATATTTTATTTTTTGCCTTTTTGTTTTTCACACACATTTCACTATTTTTCTTTCCTGAATTTGGAGCATGGCTATAGGGAGAAAATCATTTAAGAGTGGAAACCAGTCAGCTTTTGACTGTGGTAAACTGAAGGGGTGGGGATTTGGGCCAGAAACCAGGGGCAAAGAGAATCCAAGGACTTGCTTCCATCCAAATTCCTTTTCCTAAGGTTTTTGTTTTCTCTTTCGTATGGAATAGATTTTCCCCCATTTAAGAACTTTGCACTGATTTTATTTTGGTTGTCTGTTTTGTAACTACTATAAAGGATAAAAAAAGACAACAAAGAAGAAAGGTTTGGGGATGGCCTTGATGCACTTGGCTTTAATATCCTCTGTCTTGAAATCTGAATCTGAAAAAGCTGGATGCTGCAATCATAGTTTTTTTTTAAAGAAAATTTGTTTGCACTTAATAGTTTATTAGAAGAGAATGGCTTTACATTTTGTGTGCAAGGACTCACAGACTGGTATAAGGTGGAGAAATATGAAATGATTAAAAAAACTTTGTATCTATTGAGCATTTATTTTAATATTGTTTCAGATTAAAATCTGCTTTGTATTATATGTATAATATTGTAATTCAGTGATTAATGGGGCAAAAGCAAATGATCAGTCCTACTCTAGTGGAAGTTTTGTCATCATTAAAGGAAATAGTGATTTCTAAAGCAGAAAAATATACATATTAATAATATTAAAAAAAATCTTGAATATGCAGGTTTCTGTTTATTTTTTTCCCCCTTTTCTCTTGTACAAAATTCATCCAGATGTATTTTGATATTAGATTTATGTTTCAGAAGACTCAAATTTGAGTTAACATGCTTAATAGTACAAATTCACGAAAATGCAGTGTTGTCTGACAGCAGAATTATAATGTATGAAGCTCAGGACGTCAGGCAGACTACAACAAAAAAAAGTCTCACAAGCTACGAGTTAATATTTAGCATACAAGCAGCAGTGATATTCTGCTAATAATACCAAGCCACACCCACTAAACAACTGCAATGTAGGTTTGAAGCTGATCAGTAGGACATTACCATGTGACCCTATTTAATATTTTAATGAACTTTTTTTTTGTATCAATCATTGTTAACGCAACGTTCAGTGAATCGACACTAACTGGGAAAGTTGAGGATGCTACAGTGCTCATTTTATGTCATTAACATTTTGCAGTTCACGTTTTGTTCATTAAAAAAAGGAACATAGACATTTGGATTTGTGCTTTGATTGTTACAGATTGTGGTGTGTAATTCATTAGCTGCATTTTATGCCTGAAATTACAATGAAAGGGATACTGGTTTTAGAAGCCACATGTTTTTATTATTTTCATGAGCATGATTAATTGGGAAAACAATTACTACCCTCTGGAGTAAAATATGGCTATACAGACCACAAGAGGCCATATCAGAGTTCTGCAGAAAGCAAAAAAAAATTCCCCTGACCCCTAGTTGATCCGCTCAAACATGTTTGGACATTTTTATGAAAAAAAAAAATTAACAAAATTACCAACAAAATTTAGCCCAGCCTTAAAGATCCTGTTTTTAAGATGTGCTTTTTTCCATCATTATTATTATTACAGATAATGTGTCACAGTATCAGAAACCATATGAACAGGTCTTTTTAAGATTGCTTAACAAAGCAATATGAGGCCTTTTGCTGGCATGTGGGGGTGGTAGGAGGGAGGGGCGAAACATATGAATGGTTCATGGTTGTTTTTAAACGCTGGTACATGAAATAAGCCACCACACTTAAATTGTGTGATGGATCATGCACAGTATGACCAAGCGCACAAACTAACAAGGCCTGTTTACTTTCAGATTGACTTGACCAAAACTATGCACTGCCCATACTTTCCTGGTGCGAGTTAGTGCTTCAGTACTAACCTTGCAAGCATAATCAAGCTGGCCAGCTAGTTTGTCTGTCCATCTTTGACTAGAATATAGTAACTGGACCCTATCAGCCTGCTGTTTTCAGTAGGCAGTAGCTAATGTCAATGTAGTCATTGCTGATTTGGCTTTTTGTGCAGTGGATGCTGCACAAACATTCACAAACATTCCTTTTATGCATAATATTCCCAGCTTATTCATAATAAAGTAGTAAATCCTGAGAATCTTTCTTTGTATAGTACATTTATAAATGTAATGCAGCTCAAAGTGCTTTACAGGAGACTTTAAAGCAGAAAGACTGATAGAAATATGAACACACACATGGACAACAGGAAATGTTTGAAAAATACTTGTATTATCTAAAAATAAAATAAATGAATTATTGAATTATAGTATATAACTATTCAAAAAGTACAAACCAAACAATGTATAACGTGAATGACAAAGATAGCTGCTGTGAAAGATTGTACTGTGGTCACCTGTCTTAGTAAAACGTTTTTGGTGCATTAATGCAATATATACAGTCCAGTGCAAAAGTCAAAGACCACCATGGGCACCAGCTTGAGTTAAACATGAGGGGGATTTGAAATTTACATCCTAATCTGATGACAGTTTAATTTGGGGGAAGGATGATTGAATACATGTAAATGATTATTAATTAATTTCGTTTTTGTTGTCTTTAGTGATAAAGTAGATAATGTGATCGTTTTGCTGTGCTGTCATCTCATAATGTTATGAGCAGATCACATACCAAGAAAATAGTAAGTGGTCTCAGTGTTAATTGATAATACTGGAGCAGCAGCGAAGACGACAGCGACGCGGGAAACACACACACACACGTCTTCTAAGCCGCTTATCCTTCTGGGTCGGGGGGGGGGCGGGGCTGGAGCTTATCCCAGCAGTCATTGGGTGGAAGGCAGGATACACCCTGGACAGATCACCAGTCCATCGCAGGGCAGAAGCGAGAAACACTGCGCTTTAAACTTGAAGCCGAATGCTCTTTTATTAAGCAGGGACGTCACTTCGAGCCATACAACTCTCTCTTATCGTAGACACTTATCCCACCTAGTTAACTATCCAGCACAGTATAGCACACTCAACACTGCTGCACGTGTTAAGCTAACAACGTATCTACAATAGATGAGAGCAAGGCATCTGGGTACTTTGCCCTTGCGTAATGATCCCGCCCCTTTTTGGATGAAAGCAGCTTCTGATTTAACTGGCGGTAAATACAAATTACGAGGACTTTTAATTGCATAATTGACAATTTAATTGCATAAAATAAGAATAACCTACCCATTTATAGCTATTAGGAGCCCAAAATCTGCGGCCAGTCAAGCAAACAATTATGTCGTTGTATAGGAAAAATGAAAGAAATAGAAGTTGAAGTCCTTTCAGTCTGCTTCCATCAAAGTGGATGAACGACCCTACCCAGTGGCCGGAGGTGTCGGTTCGATTCCTTATAGTTTTATTATCAGGGCATTAATGCAGCATTTAGTCGCCCTTTCAATTTGGATTATGATGATATCATGGCACAGTCGCTTCAGGGAACAGGCAGGTGAAGCTGTTTTACTTGGTGCCTATCAACAAACCAGGGGGAAAGCCATTGTGGCGCAGCCAGTGCCAGCAAGCTAGCTGTTAGTTAACTTTACCGTTCAGAATCAAAGTCAGAATCTGTTTTGTTACAGGCTAACATTAAACTGGGATTTGTATTGCAATCATTATTAATGAAAATGTTTGTAATTTAAATCATTCCCTTTGCGTGGTAAGAGCGACGTCTTGTATTTCGTTTCTGTGCTCCTGTTAACACCTCAGGGATTTCACACCAACAGCATGCAGGTAGCCTAAGAATTAATGAAAATGAAACAGAGCATCCAACACAACTTTAAAAATGATCCCATTAGGAAACCATCAAATGCATCTAGTATCGGTCCCAGCACACCTGTTAAACCACTATAATCCTTTACAATGTGATCAGGAAAACAGAATACCTTTAGTGACTACTGGAAATCACCAGGAACCAACAGAAACTTTTAATTGTTTCAATATTTTTTTCAGCAGGGCTATCACCCAGTAACAAGTCAGAATGCTGTCAACGGTAAACAAATGTACCTGTTTTTTTAATGATTTTTTTGAGCAGAGTGGCTGATTGACGTCTGTAGAACTTCTTGCTGCTCTACTTAGCACGAATGTAGTTTGTGTGGATGGGCAGCGCGGGCAATCCGTAGCGTCTCTCACGCCTGCAGTGTGAAACAACGACAACAAACCGTTCACTAATAAACCTACCAGGATCCTCTATCACTCATGAATGCTCTTGTTGTCCTTGTAGAACAGTCTTTTAATAATTAAGAGTTTTTAGTGTTGCCTTACAGGGATCCGTTTTGCGATATTGCGTGAACGTACGTCTCATTCACGGTCAGCTACACCACCAAAGGAGCCGCGCTGTTCTGCTAAGTCTTTTGCTCTCTATGAGCCTGTGAGACCTCGGGTTGCCAGATTCCAACACTATAATCAAAATACATTCATAAGGCGATTTGTTTTGAAACTTCTTTCCACGGCCACAGTACCTACATTAACAAAGTAAGTCCAATCAAAACTCTACTATATATAATCCGCCCCCCGCCCTGCACTTTTAAACCAGCCGGATTTGTCAGAAAAATGCGAATCTGGCAACTCTGCCTGACGGGAGAAGACCCCAAGAGTGAAACACGCGCCATGTGGAAAGCAGCACAATATTTTCTGGTTTCCGTAGTGTCGCTGCAGCTTACAGTCTCTACTGTTAAATCCCTACTTTTCTCGGGCTTTGCACTGGGATTCTTCAGTTTTGGGGAGGCCAGCGACCCAATAGTTTTTCCAGTTTTGGAAATTCTTTTTTTCATTAATTTCATTTGTTAGTTAGTTTGTCCGCTTAAAGCGAATAAAAGCCTTACCTTTCCGACAGAGCAGACTCCTCAACACCACCTTTACATATAGAGCCCGTTTTAGTTCTCCCTCCTCCTGCTACTGTGTTTAGGGCTTGAATGGCCTAGCAGGCTGGGAGTGCTGGACAGAGGGGTGTCAATCAAGCATGCTCATTAGAATATCAGGTGACGCCCAGACAGTCCTCAGATGAGGCTGGTCGGCAAGTTCAGATGGTTTTGAGTATCTTTACAGCACTAGCAGTTTAGGTGTTATTCTACCATTTTAAACATTTTACCTTGAGTTCTCCAGATGTAAGCTATCAATGTTTGTTAGCTACAATATCCTCTTAGCTCTGGTGCGCATCTTAAGAAAACGTCAGACGCAAAGCATGTCTTGACTGATCGACTACATTTGAGGTAAGAGTGCAGTTCTGCACTTTTGATTTAAATTTGAATTTTACATTTTGTCTCCTTTTTTCCAGGGGCGAGAATGATTTTAAAAGGCATTCTAAAGTTAGCATGGCCATCCTTAGGACTGACCTTACAATGACTTCAGTGTAGACTAGTTAACCAGACAAAGCATAGTTCAGGAAAAAACCTACCTTGTATCTACACTCTTTGTTCATTTATCAGGTCCATTTACTATATAGGTGCAGTTTATAGTTGTACAATTACAGACTGCAGTCCATCTGTTTCTGTACATACGTTTTTAGCTTTTGTTGTTCTTTAGTGGTCAGGACCACTACAGAGCAGGTATTAATTTGGGTTAGTTACATGATTTTCAAGCATATATATATATATATATATATATATATATATATATATATATATATATATATACACACACATGTGTACATGTATACGCGTGTGTGTGTATAAATGAAGAAGGACCACAGTTCACTTCAGCGCAACAGAATGGTCCTTATTCATAATGAAGTACTTTGAGTTCCTCCTAGTTAATGCTACACAAATCAGTTACATACTTTAGTTTCAAATCTATGCTAGTCTTACCTCCTAACAGCAAAAGATTTTTTAATTTTTATAATCAATATACATATCAACATTTGATTTCTATAGTTCTCTGTGTTCAGTATCTTGCAATAGATGCTGCAGCTGACCAGCTGCCCTATCCATGCATCTATGGTGAAAATTACATCAGTCAAAATATTGAAGGCTTTAACTAGTCTTATACAAAGTTGTCTGTGAAAATGAGCGAAAAAGGCTAATCCATGCTAGGAATAATAACAGCATCCTTGGGGTGCTCCTCAGAGGTACTGTGACCTTGAAAAGAACAGGAGGAAAGGGCAGTAAGTATGATACAGAATATCAGCTGGATATCTTTTGTAACTGCATATACCATAAAATTATGTTTTTCAAATCACCAGCATTTGTCTTCTCTTTCTTAAATCTCATGCCAGGGACCTTGGTTTACACAGTAGTCTCACTCTACATTTCAAAGTCTTAGTATTAAGATGTACTCTCATCAGGCACTTTATTAGGTACATACAGCCAGGTTAAAGACATTAAAACTCTAAATTTCATGTTGCCTTACTTCCCTTTTTTAATCAATTAAGGTATGTACTTTATGTCCATAAGAGGTCATTTTAAAATAATAGCACAATAATAACATAACATAATTAATAAAAATAATAACACTTCACTAGTATTTGATGTGATTGTCTTTTAATTGCTTCACTTGAACCAAAAGTTTGGAGTAGCCTTCCACAAGTGCTTTAGTATTTATAGATAATCTTCCTTCTTCATGATGTCATCCATTTTCTAAAGTGCACCAGTCCAAAACCTCACCCTTTTTCCTTCTTACAAAGCACTGAGCAAATGGCCAACACTCATCAAATGGCCAATGCTTTGGCCAATATAGCCAAACAGTTCATTTTTTCTTACACCTGACCAAAGAACAGAGAACTGAAATACTAGATCTTTCTCCTGCAAACTGCAGTCCGTTTTTTTTTTCCGATCTTGGAGTGGGGGCTTCTTCCTTACTTCCATGACATGGTCCCTGATATCTCCAACTCTTTTACCAGTTCCCATGTTGTTTGTTATCTTGTGTTCACTTAAACCTTTCTGTCCAAAGTGAGGTCAAGGCCTGGGAGCTCAATTATTCCCTGTTTTCTGAATGATGCAGTGTCTGTGTGGTTCCAAGATTTTTATATTCGCATACAATTGTTTGTATTAGACGGTTGTGGTACCTTCAGTTTTTCTGGAATTCACTCTTAACGGAGTATGGACTTGTGGAGGTTCACATTTTTTATTGAGGTCTTGGCTGAGTTGCTTAAAGTTTTGTTATTGTTTTAAAGTTAGGCCTTTAAATACAGCCACTAAGTACAGGTGCATTCCCAGTTAACTCCTAATTATGACAGACCGCCTATCAGAAGCTTTTAAAACTTATTACATCATTTTTTGTAATCTTTCAGACTGTTTAAATAGACAGTTTAATTAGTAAACTTGGTATGTAAACCTTTGACTCAATTGAATTCTAATACAGTTGAATTCAAGCTGAAATGAATCTATTGTTATTGTTTCATTAGTGACTTACAATTGATAGAAGAAATGTATGACAACATGAAATGTGTGGATTTGTGGAAAGATTGAGTTTGAATGTCTTTCATGTAAGTGTATGTAAACTTTTGCCCTCAACCATATAAGTGATCTGTGTAGTTCTACAAGTAGTACAGAGTCCTTCTGTTTATCTGCATAATTTGTTAGCCCTCTTTACCCTGTTCATCAGTGCTCAGGCCAACCCAGCGCATGTATTATTTGGGAAGTGGATTATACTTAGCACTGCATTGACACTGACATTGTCATGGCATGTTAATGTGTGTGTGTGTGTGTGTGTGTGTGTGCGCGCTGCACAGAGTGGATCACACACAACAATGTTCTGAGGTTTTCAAACAACTCCATGTCAATGCTGGACTGAGAATAGTCCACCAACCAAAAATATCCAGCCAACATCATCCTGTGCCCAGAAATTGACCACTGATGAAAGACACTGTACAAACTGAACAGAGTAGTAGTCTCTGACTTTACATCTAGAGAGGACCAACAAGGTAGGTGGACAGTAAGTGGACACAGTGTTCAAAAACTCAGGAAGCACTGCTGTGTCTTATCCACTCGTACCAGCACAACACACACTAATAGTGTTACTGCAGTGGTAAGAATGATTCACCACCCAATTGATAACCGCTCTGTGATGGTCCTGTGGGGGTCCTAACCTCTGAAGAACAGGGTAAAAGGAGGCTAACAAAGTGTACAGAGAAACATGAACTACAATCTTTAACTGTAAAACGGTTATTTTTGGTACTTGGCTTGGCAGGTGTGGCTGTTGGACTGAAGGCTGTGCTGTCTCTGTAAGATACAAGAATTTGCATGTTGTTCACGTGATTGGTTCCTTTGCAACTCTTTGAGTTCATTTTTATTGTTTTACTGTTATCATTTATATTGTTTATATATAATTCACTGATTGTTCCACTTTATTTAAGCTATTCATTAATCTGCGGGATTTTTTGTGTGCTTCATCCCACTCCCGCCTGCAGCGGGCTGGCTATCCGCCACACACAACACAAAAAATTACCCCCGCGCCACAAGACATTGCGGTGGGTCCAGCGGGTCCAGCAGGAATCCTGTGGGAGTGCAGACCTCTATAATCCCGAATGACCTGTGAACCTATACATAGAGGTGGGCGATATAACTACATTTTATCGTTATCATGATAAATTTTATTATCGTGACACACAAAATGCTTTTCTGAGCATATCATGGATATCGTCAGTACTTAAGAGTTTTTAAATGTGGCACTACTAGATTATTGGATCTGTGTGTTGAAATATCACAATACATATCACACATCGTGAAAATATCTGTTGATAAACACAGTGCAAAATCTGAGGGGGAAAAAAAATCCTTAGGGGCTATTTTGCCTCACAATACCCTGCATGTACCTCTCTGTCATGAATGGATTTAAAAAAATACACTGTAGCTCAAAAGCTTGTCTATCGCAAACTATTGCAAAACAATGTCCCAGGCATCAGACAGTGTATTCATAACCATTTCCTGTAATAACGTTGTTTTGTTAGTTTTAGAGGCATTCCTAAATGTAAACACTGACAGAGATCAGAGGTAGAAAGACAGAAAAAGGAAGTCAGGCAACATATGGCTATTTTAATAAAATGGAATAAGACTGCTTTTGTTCTCGGACAAGCTTGGAATGACGTCATGCTGGTTCTGAGTCATTTCTAGAAGCAGATTCGTCAAGAACAGACCGGCTTGTCTGACGAAGAGCTAGACAAGGGCAATTGAGTTGACAGCTTCCTTTGGCTTTCAGTAAAAAGAAACACACCCAGATAAAAAAGGAGGAAAAAGCACCTGACCCTTTTACTTAGTCATTGTTTTGAGTTCCAGTTTGCTTTTAATGGGTAACTCCACCCAAAAAATGTATCTGCCACTAGTAAGCTTAAAAGGCATTTTTCTCTGCCAAATGCTTTTCTGGACAGTAAGTAATATTTCTGCACTGCGCAACACCACCCCACCCCACCCCGCAACACCACCACCCACAATCCGGCAGATGCAAAAAGTTACAAATGCATGGATATAATGGTTCTGACTGCTAACGCAATCAATAATACAGAGCAAGTGTAAAAGTGTGAATTGCTGGAATTGATTTCTATTTGTTGAAATGATAAAAACACTTGCACAAACTGCATGGTATTACCAAGGCCTAATAATGGCAAAGTTTAGTCACTTAATGGAATTTGTCCCTCCAGAGTGTGACATTGCTTGCTGTTCTAATTTAACGCTCAAACATGGTTTACATTTTTATGAGTGCTCAATTTTCAGTTGCACGTTAGTACAAGCTGTTGCGCATTTAAAGACTGAACTTCAGTAGCCTCCTCCTTTCCTCTCCAGAGGAGGCATGTAGTAGCTCTTCAAAGCTGAACGGTGTGGATCTTCCCTGGGCTGTAGAGTTGAAGAAAACAAGTTTAGATCAGTTGAGCAAAGGAATGAGCAGCAACTGTCACAAAAAAATTAATTAAAGGTTAAACTGCTGTCTTTTTTAAACGCTACTTGCTATTTGTTACAGTTAAAATCTAATCAATACACTGTGAAAACAAAACAGTAGCACTGGTAATAACATAGTGTGAAAAACGAGCTACTTACTAACCAGCACAACTTCTCAGAACATCTGTGTGAAACCATTATAGTAGGTATTTTAGAATCACAATGTTATTTTGTTCTATTTGTAGGCTATTCTTTGTCATTTAGTTTAAAACATGCCCACATGCCTAAAAGTAGGTGAAGTATTAAAAGTGAACTATTAATTAATGTGCATTTTCTTTAAAGCTGCACTATGTAAGATTTGAGGATTTGGAGACCTCTGTGGGAGAAATGTGTAAGTGCATGCATTGTGGGGAAGAACATTTTGTAACACTGGTTGTTCTTCGGACCCCAACAAGTGGATGAATCTGACACTTTCAAGTGTGTAGAAAGAATATTCAAAAAGAACTTAGTCTAAACTTAGTGAAGGAAGTGTCCTCTAAGAAAGTACTTATCTAGTAGTGTCTTTGTATCTGCATCAGTACAATGATGATTTTGCATTTGAAGCCTCAACTAAGAGCCAAACCTTCCTTCTGAGCCTGTGCATGTGATGCTAATACGTAAAGACTTATGACATAGCCATAAATCTGACCTGATGAGCACATACACACTATATTTTAGCATGTTTTTTTCCTTCCTGACTCAGTAATGCTTTTTCAGTTTTATTAAACAACTTATGTGTAGTGTTTCTAAATACACCTATTTTTAAAAAGTATAGAAAATAGAATATATGAACCGATAAACAATGATGACGAATGAATCACAATCCACTCCTGCACTAGTTTGTTTTATTTAGTGTTTTTGTTTACCTTGGTTGAGTGAGAATGGCACTTTTTGGAGGTGATAGCTGGCAGGGACCCTCTGTGTGGTATGGCCAGAGCTGGTAGACTGGGCATGGGGTAGGGGACTTTTGGGGCAGGCACCACCACATTCAGCTTAGGTAGCTCCACAGGATAATGGGGCATGCGTCTGCTGAGAGGGTTGCCGACATGCTTAAGCTGCTGCTGGATAGAAGAGGACAACAATTCACCATTTCTCTAAATCCAACAAACGTTTTCTGCATTTTGTGCTTTAGTCACTATGACCTTTGTAGATTGTTGTCTTTTTCTTTAGAAATTAGATTGAATGCATTATTATTAAGTGAATTCAGCAACTTCACATAATAGTGGAAAAGTGTTCCAAGCAACTGTACTGGGTGGGTTAGTTATCGTACCTGTCGCCTACCCTGTCGGGCGATGCGCCACAGGTGCTCCACAGAGCTGGGAGTCGCACTGGTCTCTGCTTCGACAGCCCCCATGGCCCTGTGCAGACCCACTGCTCTCCTTTCTGCCATCCTACAGACAACAACTCTCATTCTAAAAAACTGCATATCACTGAATTTGTACTGGTCTATATGTGTTTACATTATGCTTGAGTTGAAGGATTCATCCTACAATGCTAACACTGCGAATAATGAAAGCTTACGGGAACCAGGTAGCATGATTTATTTGGATAATGTTAACTGGTGCCTGATAGCTTGAAAGCCTTCACTTAGCCTCATTGGAAGTTTTAGGTGTAATCTATTTGACAGGAATGCACCAATATTGGAATTGTGAGTCGATGATGATACAGATGCCAATACGTGAACATTTATAAAATGTAGAAATTTTGATTACATCTACCTGGATTAGTGTTACAAAGAAATACAACATTACTATAATACACCATTAAATATCAGTTTGAAATATCAGTCAAATCTAAACATCTATCCAACACCGATATGATACCACTTCCCGCTTATTTAATGTGGTTTGAGTGTCAGAATCTGTTACCTCATACCTGCTTTATCTTTAAAAGCTAAGCAGGTATACAGGATGAACAGCTGACCCCAAGATGTTCAGTTAGACTGTTCGAATTTGCATGCATTAACAATTCCATTATTTTTTGGTAAGAAACAATACAAAAACAAAATGACTCTTATACCACTTTTTCCTTTTATGACAAGAATGTTTGTTTTTAGTATTCAGAAGCCAGTCAATCCATCTCTTTAAGCAGCTGCCCATGCAACACTCTGGGACAGAGAGATAGATGATCTGGTCCCAGATGGAAATGGCATACCTGGCCTTCATTCTTAGGTCTTGTGTGTTGTAATTTAAACACTGCCTTTAGTTTGTTCACCTGGTCAGGAGTGTTTATTAGAGCTCTGACACTCATTATATTTCTGTGTGCATGACAGACTGAGCTTACCGTAGCTCTCTGAAGCAGACATGCTGCAGTGCTACACGGGCGCTGATACGTTCATCTGGATCATAGGCCAACATCTGGTACAGCAGAGACAGACTAGGCGCAGAGCACTGAGGGATCAGCTGAGAGAGCCCACAGCCTTTCCGAGGCAGAAAATCGAAGTGCATTGCACGAGACCTTAGTTACACGAGAGACAATTACCACTGAATTGAAATCACATTTTTTGATGAAGTGTATTATTAAATATGACATACGACCAGTTTTTCCTAATCATAAATCTTAATATTAGAACAGAAAATGTATATTTAATAGTTATACCTTTATCTAAAAACTACATATTCTGAATTATGAAGATTAAAGATAGCAAAAATAAAGCTTGATGTTTTGAAGTGTTGCAAGCGAACTGTCAAACAGCAACTCCAGTGTCTCACTGCCTTTTGGCGACATTCTACTCACCCATTCAAGCTCTGCGTACAAATGTGTTTATTTCAAAATGTTTAAACCTTATGTGAACATTCAACAAAGATGGGCTCCTCTAAGCATCCGACTGAGGCTATGAAAATGAAGTTAATTCATGGCTACAAAGCAGGAGAAGGCCATAAAAAAGATCTAAAAGTGCTTCTGCTCGCAATTTTCTTTTTTTTGTCTGAAATGGGAGTGCTTCTGGTGTGCTTTGGGGTTGTGTGGCAGCCAGTGGTGCAGGAACCATTACATATTCCAGTAAAATTGTTTGCTGTAGAGGTTGAGTTTACTTCTGTTTCAAAAAGCAACAAAATACATAATTTAGCCAGACATTTGCATACAACTGTTCTAATTCAGCAAAATGTTTGAAAGAATTAGGATTAGTTCCTTCAGAGACAATATAGAATCAAAAGGGCTTAACAAATGAAGGAATTTTGAACTCATAGTGTAGCTTCAAATTTTGCATGTAGAAATGAATAATTCCTAAGTTAGATATAAAAATAGGAATATTACATAAAGTCTACATTTTATTAAAAAATAATTTTCTCTGAATATTCTCTGAAATATCTTACATTAAAAGTACATCCTGCAATAAATTACTCTGTTGTATGAATGTATTAACATGAAACCAGTTGATTTCAAGTGAACTATTATTCTTAGTGTTGTATTTATACTCAGCAAGTATTTCAACTCAGTTCAGTCATTCCATAAGCTGTTAAAATGCTAAAAGAAATTTTACATGATTGCATGAGTTACACTAAAATTTTTATTTGAAATTCATGATGTTTAGAATTTAGACCAGCCTTAAATGAGTTCGTGTGGAATGACTCTACTAGTTTCAGATTCCAGAAGAAACATCAGAACAAGAATTGTGTGTCAGGAGCTTCATAAATTGGTTTTTAATAGCTGAGCAGCTGCATGCAAAACTACGATCGCCAGGCACAGTGCCTAGTGTTGGGTGGAGTGGTGTAAAGCATCCCACTACTGGACTCTGGGGCAATGGAAAAGTGCTCTCTAGAGAGATTAAAAAATTATTCTGCCAGTCTGACATACGAATCTGGGTTTGGCAGATGGCAGGAGAATTCGACCTGCTGAATGCACTGCGCTAACTGTAAAGTTTGATGGAGGAGCAATAATGGTCTGGGGCTGTTTTTCATGGTTTGGATTGACCCTTAGGTCCTGTGAAGGGAAATCTGAATGCTAGAGCACACAGTGACATTCTAGAGAATTGTGTGCTTCCAGCTCGAAGCAGCATCCTCTAGAGCTTGTCCAAACTAGCAACAGTTGCTGTAAAAATGTGGGTAGAGCATGGATAGGTAAATAATGCAATACATTCTGGCTATGTTTCTGAATGACCTAAAACTTAAATATTGTCATGATATTATTGAATTATCATTTTTGTTAATTTTGCTCATTTTGATGGCATCCCATGTCTTTTAATAAAAATGAGTTGCATGTGTTCTTTACTTACTGCACTAGATGTGAATAAATGAATATATAGACATTTATGTTTCAAAATTTGGTGGAAATGTCAGTAAATTCTCTTTTTGAACTATTACCACATTAGCAAGTCATAGTGTTGACTGGTACACAAGCAATTACTTTGCACGAGAAGGAAAATAAATTGTTACACATCAAGTTTTTCATCAAGGCCAAGTAAGACGGAATACTAGAAGGCTAAAAATATTTAGTCATATTTTAGACATACTGGGATATAATTTAGGAATATAATGGTATAAATAGTAATCATTCAGTTTTTTTTGGCATACTATAAGATCAAACTGCACAACAAAGGTTAATCTCAGTAAAAACTCACTGCTTGAACTTCTGAAGGACCATGCTCTCTGGCGTTCCTAAAACATCATGGATCTTGGACAACTGATCCACCTCGTTACTCCCTGGAAACAAGGGACTCAAACTAGAAGACAATGAGATAAAGCACCTGATTAGAAAAATAAAAGGTGAAGTGCAAAAATTATTCAGAATTGTGTATGTTCTAAACACAGAGTATCCCATAACACAGACCTCATAATTTCAAAGAAAACGCAGCCTGCACTCCACATGTCCATTTTGAGTGAGTAGTAGCCATCTGTGAGTAGACATTCTGGAGCTCGGTACCACCGGGTGGAGATGTATTCTGTGTGAGGAGGCTTGGAATAAACACTCCTGCAGGAGCCGAAGTCTGCCAGTTTCAAGACGTCATGCTACGGAGAAAACTGGTCATGGGTAAGGTCGTAATTGGTAATTAAATTTTTGTTTTGAGACTTTTTTTTCTTGTTTGAACCAAGCCTCTTTTACTCTTTTCATTAAAATGTGAAGCTGTATGTGTTCTGTTCCAGTTTTCATTTACAATTTTTGAGTCTTGAGGTTCACTTACTTTGATCAAAATGTTCTCTGGTTTCACATCTCTGTGGAAAATTCCATTGCTTAAAAAAACAGACCAATCAGTTAATAAACTGGCATATTTTGAGAAGTGATTTATAAACAAGAGAATCTAATTAGAGCACTACAACCTGCTGTTTAAGTGAAGCCCTGTTCAGCAAAACTGTATGTGATGTCAGTGTTACATTTCAAAAGATTAAATTTTGCTCTGTGTTTGAAATTTAAAAGGCATTACATGAAAGAGGAAGAGTTGATAACAGAACCTACCTGTGCATATGATCCAGAGCTTTACAAAGCTGGTACATGTAGTGTTTGACTTTGCTTTCAGCTAAGAGATTCTGCCTTCCTACAGATGCATGAAGTCATCATAATATATAATTATCACGTATAAACTGTAAATGAAGACAAAGCTAAACAGCAGATATGCAGTCAAGATCTCAAGTCTCCATATTCAGCTTACATTATTAAATTTTAATTACTCTATCTTACCTTTTATTAAGCAGGTGTATTTGAGAACATTTCATTTAAAGCTAATATGATCTGGCACAAAAGCTTAAATTACACAAACTAGCTCTGGAGGCAGTTCATAGTACCTCTAATCAACTCATAGATGTTCATCTCCATTAGTTCACATATTAAGGAAAGGGTCCTTGTGTCCTGGTCACTGCAAAAATATATTTGGCTGGGATTACTTCTTTGCACAGTACAGTTGTTGTTCATTTTTATTCCTTATTAGAAGGTGTGGTATACTTACAATATTAGTTCATGAAGCTGCAGTATGTTAGCATGTGGACTCAGTCTCTTCATTGCTTGGACTTCACGGAGGTTGTGCGCCTGTTCCAGGCTGAATGAGAGAGATATGTGGTCCAAATGGGTACATACCAACTGTCACTAAGGCATCTTCTGTTCAATACGTTAAATGTGAGGCTGCTAATTATTCATTTTGGGGAGTGAAAACAGAGAAGCAGGATATTTGACCAAACATGCTGACTACAGACTGACATCTCAAAACTGCAAATGTCAGTCCCGTTGTATTCATGATGGGGCCTGGAAGGCTGAAAGAACTAGTGTTGGATTCTGGAAGATGCAGAACAAAATGTTTGCCAACTGAAAATGAATGTATTTTTCATTCTAATAAGGTGTGCTTGCCCTTTCCTTTTGAATATGATCAAATTTCTTTCAAAAAGCTATGTTCAAAAAGCTTTTTTAATATTTTTCTTTCTAAGGTAGTCTTCTTGTTATTTAGAAAGTGCATTAACTAAAAAGTCATATGCAAAAGTTTCAGTACCCCTTAGGTAAATTACCTGTTTTGTTGATTTTCTAATAGAAAATAGGTTACACATCCTCTACATGGAACAAACCTTAATTGCATTTTCTGCTAATGTTAGTACATAATTTATTTGCTAAGTTTACCACATTGCAAAGAAAAAAAATAAAACATGCAGAGGTGTGCTCTCTGTAGAGTATGTGTACTTACATCCACTTAGAAAATCAACAAAACGTTTTTAATCAGTAATTTGACCAGGGGCACTCAAATGTTTGCATATGACTATACTATGGCAGGAGAAAACGAAAAAAAAGTGATGGGCATTAGGAAGAGCATGCCTGTCTACAGATGTTGTGATATTTAACTCTAAAGCAAATTTACAATCTTACCATCTTGAATATTTGTTACTTTGACTTAAGAATATCAAAGGTTTTCACCTTTGATTATACAAAAAAATGCCATGTGAAATGCTAATAAAAACAGAAATTGGTAATTAGTACATTCTGTCTGACCTGTATTCATTTGAAAATAGTACAAAAACACAATATTTTATGTAGAGATGAAACGGTTACCGGTAAAATTAATGACGGTTAGTAGTACCGTTTGAACTTTAAAGTATCGTTCAAACCGCGGTCGATTACCGCGGTGTGAAAAACTCGCTGTACAGAGTCAAACAAAGGCAGAATCATCCTCTCAGACGCAGCTCTGTGTGTGTGTAGAGGGGAAGGGGAGGAGGAGAGAGTGAAAGGGAGAGGGAGAGAAGGGAGAACATGGCGGAATGTAGTGACAGAGATTCGGACATATTTCAGCCTTCTAAGAAGACCAAGTCTGACGTTTGGTCATATTTTGGGTTTTATAAGAATGCAAAAGGAAAGTTAATTGAAGATGACCACCCTGTCTGCAGAACAGGCCGAAAGAAAATAGCGGCGAAAGGGGGCAACACATCAAACCTTACGAGTCACCTTCGCGACCACCACCCGCTACTTTTTAGAGAATGCAAGGTTAACTTTAACGTAGAAGTCTGTGGGGACTTCGAAATAGAAGAAATGTCATGGTCTGTGTGGTTCAACGTATGCTTATGGTTCGATAATAATATGAAATGAAGCTTTTAGCGTCAAAAAAACAAAAAAACAATTGGTGAATCAACTGTGAATGGAAACTAAAGCTTTTAACACATATTTCTGTGGAGCAGTGTCTCCAAAATGAGCTCTCAGTTAACAGTCACACAAGCTCTGGAACGAGACGCTGCAAAAGTTCAATCTGCACAGCTCCCCTTTCTCGTCTCGCTTGCAGTGTTTACTTTCTGAGAAGAGAATAACTGTCTCAAATCACTCAATGTCCCCTACATAGTGCGCTACTGTTCAAACAAACACGATCATCATATAAATAGGGAATAGGGAATTTGTAACCTATTGTTAATGTTGATTATAGATGACTTAGTTGAACATTTCATGCACTCTTTGGGTGAAGGATTTGCTATTTCATGATCCACGAAGTACACTACATAGGGAAGATAGTGTGCTTTGGGACGGGACCTCGCGCGAGTAAACGCTGTGTGCTGCTTTTAGGAAAAGCAGAGTTTCAGAGATTAAACTTTAGGAGTGTTTCTGCCGCAGCTCAGATGCATGTTAATTTGAAGTTATGTTTTTTTTTTTAAATGCTTTTAGAAAAGCAGCTCCACAGGTGAAGACACACTGTGTGAGTTCTACACTGTCTGCAGCTCACATCGCGGTCACACAATTCCTCTGTGATTTTGGCTGTTTTTCCTGGTGCACTGTGTTGATTAGGGGTACAGCGCCACAACGGCACAATAATGCTGCAATTGCAGTTAGGACAGAAATCCTCGAGTGCAACACTTCTTAGAAGTAGTAGTTTTCCATTAAGACCCACCTCAGAGTTGGTCGAGATTTAATTCTCTATGCAGGGAAATCCCTAATTATTATTATTATTATTATTATTAATAATAATAATTACAACAGTAATAATAATAATATTTTACAACAGTAATAATAATAGTAATAACAGTAATAATAGTACATTTGCTATTCTTTTGTTTACAGAGTATTGTAAGTAATACAAAAGTAATACTACAAATGTACTGACTATATTTTTTTAATGTTTATGCAAACAAAAAGTGCATATTGCTGCCAATTCTATTTGTGTTAATATAAAAGTTGGTGAAACGAATTTCAGTTTGTGTATCAGTATTTATTTATTTATTTATTTTACTTTTCAACGCTTTTGAACAATATTGCGATAATATTGATAATCGTGATAATTTTGGTCATGATAATCGTGATATGAAATTTTAATATCGTTTCATCTCTAATTTTATGTTTTACTTTGTGAACCTTTTTTTTGTAAACATAAGCTTCCAAATTTGATGCCTGCAAATCGTTCCAAAAAAGTTGGAACAGGAGCACGTTTACCACTGTGTTACATCAACTTTCCTTTTAACAATACTTAATAATTGTTTGGGGACTGTTAACACAAATTGATCAAGTTTTGAAATTTTTGCCATTCTTCACTATACAATAAGTCTTTAGCTGTGCAACTATACAGGTCCTTCATTGTTGTATTTTGCACACATTTTCAGAGTGAGGTGTGATGAACAGGTGTGATCAAAGTGATGGCCTTTTTCTTCCTGGCCTAGAGACCACGATGGCCATTATTTCCATAAACAATCTGAAAGGTTGACTTGTGCATCAGACCATTTTAGATAAGTTCAGGTCTAGAAAAGTTTTCTGGATGTTGCTGACATATGACTTCCACTATACAGTCCAGTCTTAACTTGCATTTGTGGATGCAGCGATGGAGAGTGTATACTAACAATAGTTTGTCAGTTCTCCCAAGCCCCTGTGGTTATATTCATCACCGAGCATGTTGGTTTTTATTGCAGTGCTGTCTGAGGGATTGAAAATGATTCAGTTGTGGTTTTTGGCTTTAGCCTTCACACACATAGATTCTTCTGGATTCCTTTTGATGTTATGATGCACCATAAAGGGTGAAATACCTAAAATCTACGCAATTGCTCACTGAGGAATGTTATTATTAAATGGTTAAGTGGTGAGACCTCAACTAATTCTCACTCATAAAGGACTAGGCCTTCCCTGGATGCCCCTTTTATACCCAAGCATGATTACATCCCCTCTTTAAGATGTTTTTGGAACATTTCAAAATGTTCCTAGTCTTAAACCACCCTTGTCTCAACTTTTATGGAAAGTGTTGCAGGCATCAATTTCAGAATCAGTGTATATTTACAAAAAACAATGCAGTTGATGAGGTGAAACATTAAATATCTTGTCTTTATACAGTCTTTTGCCCAAATACAGGCCTAAGTACATTTAAAAATCACTGCTTTCTGTTTTATTTGCACTTAACCTACTGTCCAACTTTTTGTAATGGGGTTTGAATTAGTAGTAATCTACTGATTACTCTTGGATTATTTAATGAGTAATCAGTGTAACAAGAAATTTTGACTGCCATGCGTAACAAAGAGGGCTTAATCAAACACTGGCGGACTCAGGTGTGACTTGAGGGCTGGGGGTTCCCATGGTTGAAAAAGCATCACTAAAGCGCCCTCTAAAGTGGCAAAAACAAGAGGAAGTGCCCTACTGGCTTCCTTTCACACAGGGAAAAAATTATTAGTGTACATTAAATAAATGCAATAAATTATGATGATGTGCCCTCAAGAGCAAGCAAATTTAATAATTTGTCTTAATGAGTGCCCTTTAGTGGAAAAAACATAATGCAGTGCCCTATAAGGTGTCCCTAGATGTGTGAGAAAGTGGGTAAGTTTCCTAAGTGCCCTCATAATGGAATAAACTTGACGCTATCTGCAAGTGCCTTTCTAATGAAAAAAACTCATGAAGTGCCCTCTTAGATTCCTTTCCAGATGAGAAAACATGATGAAGTGCCTTTGAAATGGAGAGTAAAAACACAGTGAAAAAAATTAGATTAACTGTATTTGATAGTAATAGTATATTTGAAAGTAAATTGTTGCCAATGATGACACAATTAAGTTTAAAATACTCAGATCCATTGTTAAAAACTTGGATTAAAAATGTCTATTCCATTCATTTAAACTTTCAGTTTTAGCTACACCATCTCTAGAATGTTCAGATGTCAGAGTGTGTGTGTTTGTGAAATAAATGTTAATAGTTCTCTCTTTGTTTTACTTTGGAAGTGTTTGTGAAATAAACAGTTTAAAGGTTTATACACTGACATGCCAAAAGTTATGGGACAGGAACTAATATTGTGTAAATGGTCACCAAGCAGTGAAGCGTAGTGGTCACCGGTCATTGACGTGTTCAGGCAGACCAGTGGACTCAACCAATGCCATGGGAACACACCTCACACCAGTATGGAACCACCAACAGCCTGAACAGTGCCTTGTTGACAACTGGGGTCCATGGATTCATGGGGTCTGCACCACACATGAACCCTACCATCAGCCTGAAACAATTGGTACTGTGACTCATCAGACCACACCACATGTTGCCAGTCCTCTAGGGTCCAGTTAGCAACCTTATGAGCCCAGGTAAGGCACTGAGTCCAGTGTCGCAATGTTAACAGGGGCACTGTGGTGGGTCTTCTGCTTCCATATCCCAATGAAGCTAAAGAACGTCTCACTGACCTGAAGGACATGCGGGATGTAAATGTGGAAATGTGGATGTTATTTCTGCCAGAGTCACTTGTCTGTTTGCACAGACAATACTAGCCAGACGCTGCCAGTCATGATCATTAGGCACCTGTGGGCGTCCACTGTGCTGTCTATTGTGGGTGGTAATGCCTTCTACGACGTATTCCTGGTATACACGTGACACTGTGGATCGAGGAATGCTAAATGCTCGCACAACTTCTGAAATGGATGACCCATCCATCTGGCACCCACTAACACGCCTCATTCGAACTCCAATAATTCACGCTGCCTTGCCATGAGCACACTGAACAGTGTTCAACCTCACTCACAAGATAATACCTCACAACGTATACAGATGTGGCTGTTTCCAAGCTGTCCCCTTGAGGTAACACCACTTCATAATCAGTTTACATACTGCTATCCCATGAATTTTGGCACGTCTGTTAAGTTCCCAGTGTGTTTTTATTACAGAGGTTTGTTTAATCTGGATCACCAAACAATAATATTATTCCTAATCAAAGATGAAGACTATTTTATAAAACATGATGCATCATAGCTTTTTGTGCACTGGTGGGGCCCCATGTTGTGCAGTAGGCACCCTTTTTATTTTTTCACCCCTGCCCGTCAAACAGCCTAAGTCCACCATGGTAACAAAACATTAACAAACTATTGAGAGCACTCCAAAAATTCAAAAATATTTCACTGAAAAAGATGAACATTTGAGCTGTTAAAAACATACACACATGTTTTACACATTATATTTATAAGGATCTGTGGGTACCTTAATTATCATTCACATTGCAGACTTTTGCCAATTCATCGAGAACACACATTTTAATAGATTCCTTTGTCTATCTTGTACTCTATTTTAACCAAGTAATTCTTACATGTCCAATAATATTTGTACTTTTATACTTTTCTCCGGATCCAAACGGAACATGATCGAACATTAATTTAATTCCAGTTCAGTCCCAGACATCCAGCGCTAAGCAAACAGCACTGTGGTGTCTTGTTGAAGGAATCTGAAGAGTTAAATGCCCAAGAGTCTCTAATAGCTGACCTCACTCTGCCTAGGTCACTACAAGTGCGCCTTTTCATGTAGCTGTCAGGGTGCGGGACTCAAGCGAGAGAAGCCTCACGCCTATACTTGACGTCTTGAGCCAGAACATACCAAACGAAACGTAGCCAGGCTTACCTGTTAATGCTCTGTTTCATCGTTTTACAGGCATAGTACTTCCCGTCCTTGAGATTTTGCACTTTCACCACTTCTGAAAACGTTCCCTCTCCTATCTTCTTGACTATTTTATAACCTGCGACGAAAAAAGAACATTATCGTTAAATCCGCAATAGCCAAGATTTTTTTTATTTTTCACGTCGGAGCTCTCAACGAGCGTCCAACGATTTTCTCCGTATGAGCTAACATAACGTTAGCTAGGCGGTGTCCGCAAACAGTGCTTTAGCATTCACAAGCGAATAAAAATTCAACAGCTCGGTTAGCTACAGAGATGGCTAGCGAGATGGCTGGGCTCTTCAGCATCGAACACTCTCTTTTTTGTCGATTCTAACACTTTTGACTTACTATGCATTCTTAAGCGTTGACACGGGTCGTACGAGAACGAGCCACAAAAAAACAAGATTTTTTAGCGCACACATAGCGACGGTCACATTGTGCATTTAACCTTAAAAGCCACATGTAAAAACACCATCGTTTTGATTATCAGAACAAGTTCCCAACACCGAGTTCGCCTCGGCTCTCCAGCACCGCCATGTTAGCTTAGCTAGGTGGCTACCGTCGCCCTGGTAACGGGGCACGCGCCCGGGCTCCACTCTGACCTGGGGTGAGCCAAGACAGAAAAGTCAATGAACACAGAAACACACATTTCTTTCACAACTACAGAGGCGGTTCTCTCACTTAGCTATATTATTGCATGACGTTTCGTCTGGGCCCCTCGGGACGCTACAAGGCCACGCTGGATCTTTGGAAGCATCTTTAATGACACCGAGGGCAACGGTTATAATAGCGACTCACCTTTCTTAGAGAGAGAGTTGCTGAGCGCTTGTCCGGGCTCCCACCGTTTCTTGTCGTTGTCCATTGGATGCATCGCAAAGGTGCTCAAAAGCTCATATGTGCTGTTTCTCTCAGCCTATTTTCATATCTGTGCAGCATGTATTAAAAAAACCCTTACCATAAAGCGGTTTTTGGAGAATTTTCCACTTTTCACTTTCAACCATTCATCATCATCATCCTAATGGTCGGCTTTTTAGTGGCCGGTGTATTATAATGTCATGTTTAACCTTGTACTTTATGACAGCGATTAATTAACATGTTCCCTCTTGTTCACCATTTTTTTATCGAGCTATCTTGGAAGTCATGACCAAGCTTCTAACAACACGGCAAGCGTAAGTAACATCCAAGATCTCGTTCTAAGCTCAAATATCAAACATAGAGTCAAAAGTAAGGAGATATGCCTCCCTAAAACACGGGATGTAATTCCTTGGTGGTTAACATGGTTCACAGCATCATGAAATGACCACACCGTCTCTCTTCCTCTTTCCACACAACGTTAATCTTAAACGCTCTTCGACTTTTCCGACCACCTGAGCGGGCAAAAACAAACAGGCTTCCGTAGACTATGACACACATGCGCACTGCCAGTTTATTAGCTAGCTATCGTGGTTAGCAGGGCTGCGTGTCCGGAGTGCTGTAAATGAAAACTTAATTCTTGTGTCTTCTTGACAAGATGAAAGGCAGATTTAACACAGTCGATGTTAGGGCGGTGATTGCAGAGATCAATTCCAAGTAAGAAGGATTCTACTCTCTCGTACGCAGCAAAAAGTGACAGGGAAAGCTTGTTTGGACATTGCTAAGTTAGCCGATAGTCAAAACTGTATTGCATGTGTTCGTTTGTCAATAATTTGATTTTATCTGCCTGATTTGGGACGAACAGCTTTACGTCGTGGACACATTTCTAAATGGCCATAAAACCTAGCCATCCTTTTTGCGAAGTCATTAATGAGAGAGACAACTTGATTAGGATTTGCGGAGGAAGTATTGAATTCGACGTGTTTTACATATAACTAATAATAAAATTAAAAGAAAAATCTGTGCAGCATGTGTAGTAGCACAGTGTATAGCAGGTTCTGCATTATGCAGATACGGTTTTGCGAGACAACTGTCAAACAGCGTCTCTTCTTGGCTGCATGTTGTTTTTGCCCTGGTCTCACACATCTTAACCAGTTTTTGCAGTTGTAATCCTGACTGGCTTTAGAACCTTGCAGTTTTTTTTAGAAAGACTGATACTACCTTATCATGTCTGTTAATCATGCTAATTTTGATGCCGTTTAGGCAGCAGGGGTTCCTGTTGTCTGATGTCAGTGAGGGACCGAACCCTTCTTCAATCATAAGCCCAAACAGGCAACCTTAGAAAACTTTTAATAAGAAGAAATGGTACCTGTTGCAATACATGGGAATAAGCATTTCTCATTGTGAAGCTTTTGAATTTGGTGCATATACAAATAAACTCATCAATATTATTCAACTTGATTATGATGGAAGATATAGCGATGCCTTAAATGCAACCGTTTCAGACTGCATAAGCAAGACAGACTGATAACATCCATCAAATTGCTATTCAAGGCCAAGCAACACCTCTCATATAATTTTGTTAGTGAGATAGCATCTACGGAGCTGAGGTTTTTAAGTAGATGTATTTCAGCTTAGTTTCATATGTATATTCTTTAAACCAGTTACATAGCAGGTTATTAAAAAGAAACCAATAGATTAGTCTGTATCAGACTCTTAGTCTGTCTGAAAGTAACTCCACTTTAATGTTCTGCAGCTATGTTGGGATGCGAGTGAACAATGTCTATGACATCGACAACAAGACCTATCTCATACGACTCCAAAAGTAAGTGTTGAGAGACAAGCATCATTGCTCATTAACTCATGTGCTTTGCTAAAAATGTAGCATTAAATCTTCAATTGGGAGCAGTCGAAGGCATAGTCCATGAGTGAGAACTGAATCAAGACCAAGTGAAACTTAATACTTTTTAACAGACGTCTACAGGAATATGAGGGCTACTGTTGGCAACTTGAAGAGATTTGTTGTTGTTGCATTTTCCTTCCTTAAGATGATTATTTCAAACTTGCTTTTTTCAGGCCAGACAGCAAAGCAGTCTTATTGATTGAGTCCGGCATACGGATTCACTCCACAGAATTTGAATGGCCCAAAAATGTCATGCCATCTGGTTTTGCCATGAAAGTAAGCATCTTGCATTGTAATGTGTGCATCCCCTGTCTATCATTTCTGCTATGAACGGAATATGTTACATTTACTTCAAACTGTTGGTTTTTTTATGATTTTTTTCAGTGCCGAAAGCACCTAAAGTCAAGAAGATTGGTACATGTAAAGCAACTTGGTGTAGACAGGATTGTAGACATTCAGTTTGGATCAGATGAGGCTGCATACCACCTTATAGTTGAGCTGTATGACAGGGTAAGAGAACTCTGGTGTGGTTCCTCTACTTTTTATGAAGTTTTTTGTTTTTTGTTTTTAACAATAGTATCCTCTAAAACATTGGTTCTTAAAACAGTCCTCAGGTCCCTCAGACGATCCACATTTTTGCTTGATCACTATGTAGGTCCCCAAAAATTTTGACTGTCCCTTGGAACCTGAGGGCTAGTTCGAGAAACATTGTTCTAATGTATTCTCATTATTGACAGTTCTATGCTATATGCTTTCTATACACTATGTTGTTGTCATGATTGACAGTCTAAACTCTCAGACAAAGTCAGATACTACATATGTGAGATACTACACATTGTACCACTGAGATCCACTTTAATATATATGGTTTGCATTTGCAGGGAAACATAGTCCTGACAGACCATGAGTACACAATACTAAACCTTTTGCGCTTTCGCACTGCTGAGGCAGAAGATGTTAAGTTTGCAGTGAGGGAACGATATCCTGTAGAGAATGCCAGGCCTTCTGAACCCCTCATCAGTCTGGAAAGGTAACTGAGTTATTCCATGTTAAATCCTTCGAGGTGGTAAGATGTTGGCACCATTGCATCAGAAGCTGAAGTGGATGTCAGAGGTTGTGGTTTGTCACATCTTTTTAAGTGTAGCTGACTTGTTTCCCACACTTGTCAATAATTCTATAGCATGACATCATAACAATAACTCAAACATGGACCATTCTCATGTGGTTCATGCTAATATATCATACATGTATTTTGTTATTTATTTTTTTATATGTTCTGTTATTGTTACAGGACCACAGGAACCAAAACAGAAATTAAAACCTCACAGTAAAACCTCCAGTGACATTTTTTCCCTACACTAAAATATTTTTACACTGTCATCTCACAAAGATGCATATAGCCATAGCATGCATAGAGGAAAAATTAATCAAACCAAAACATGCTTTTAGAATCCAGTGGTAGCTTCAGAACATATTTATAAATCAAGAAAAGAATAAAGTAAGAAAAGAAGTTGTTTACCATGCTTATATTTAACATATTTTGGTTATGCTGAGGAGTTGACAATTTCTCAACAACTACACCAAAAGATAGCAGTAAATGGCTCCTCCGTTAATGATCATTGTTAGGCTTTCAGTTGAAGTATTTACTGATAGATTGGCTGTGAAACTGCAGTGTAAAAAGTGAAGAATGTTACTTGAATGTCAATTTAAACATCCACGTTTTTGGTTATACCTGCCTTAAGTAGTAGTGTGCTTTTGTCCTCTAATTGGATCTTGTCTTTCTGCTGGTAAAGGTAGGCTCTGAGTTTAGACTGACTTTAGCTTTAACTCTGTAAGTTACAAGGCTGTCTTCTGGAACCTAGTGCTTAATTTCCTTTTTCTCTGGGTATCAATAGGGACTTTTTGTTTCTAGCAGTATCTGAGCTCAGGACTAGCTTTCTCTCTAACCTATTGGTAACTAGCAAAGATACTTTCTGTAGATAGACAAAGCACTTTTTGTAAGTTGCTCTGGATAAGAGCGTCTGTTAAATGCTGTAACTGTAAGTAGTATTAAACCCAGTGTGGGAAAACAAATGTGTGGCACCGTGGAGATCCCATGGAACTGCTAGTGGTCATTAGCATTATCATTGCAGTGGTAATTTGGTGAACAAAACTACTTAAAATGTGAATGTTTCTGCATTAGAAGCACTTTGATACTTTTTCATTGTTATAAGACAAAAAATCTAAAAGTTTATAAAATAACTGCAAAATACATGCAACTGAAAGTTCTTGTCCTCCTTCACCTGTCTGTGGTTGTTTGTTGCAATAGCACACTCTCAACAAAACACTTTTCTAGATGAATTGTTTATTACTATTATTATTAATTAGAACTTAGATCACTTGCTGAATAAGCCGTGGTCATGCATTACAGCTATTTATCGCAGGTAAGATTCACTTTGTAAACACACCTTACCTGTGATAAAATCACTGTAACTCACTGCCTTTGTGGAGTATTGCTTTATTTGACAGATTTCTCATTTACATTTAAAGTTTTAACATAATATGTTCACAATACATACTTTTCTGCAGGCTCACAGAGATACTGTCCAAAGCACAGAGTGGAGATCAAGTTAAAAGGATTCTTAATCCCCACCTCCGTGAGTCTTCCTGTTATTTAGTATGTAAAATAGGATTCAAATAGTCTCCCAGGCAATATTCTTGTGATATTAGGCAACAACATGAACTGTTTCTCTGTATCTCCGTAGCATATGGAGGCACTCTAATTGAACACTGCCTTACAGAAGTTGGTCTCCCTGGTCTTATGAAAATGGACAGTCAGTTTAACATTGCTGAAGGTTTGTTTTCTTATTGTTTTAATAATTCAGAAATTAATGACAGTTATTTATGTAACATTGTATTATTGGTTTTTGAGGAATTTAACACCAAGAACAGCATTAAAGTCATGTTCCGTCTTGCAGTTGGACCAAAACTTTTGGAAGCTTTGCAGATGGCAGAGGAGTATATGGAGAAAGCAGCAAGCTTTGATGGAAAGGTCTGTATGAATTATGAAAATCTGACTAAATATTTGTTCATTCTTCATGGTGGCAATCACATAATTCTCTGTTGGCTATTTTCCTTGATCAAAGGGTTACATCATTCAGAAAACTGAAAAGAAGCCAAGTATGACTCCAGACAAGCCACACGAGGAGTTGCTCACGTATGTTCATCCATTCATATTGTTTTATCTTTTTAAAAAGATAGACTTTCCATTGTCTCATCTTATTGATCCTCTCTTTGGCTTAATAGGTACGAAGAATTTCATCCATTCCTTTTTGCTCAACACTCAAGTAACCCATATATTGAGTTTGAGTCCTTTAATAAGGTTTGTGGTTCATTTCTCAATTTTTTGGTTTTGCCCGTCCTTCTCAGTTGAATTAATTAACATGTTTTTTTTTTTTAAATCAGACTGAAATCGTATATATTTTTTCTTCATTTTCTACTCTCAGGCTGTCGATGAGTTTTTCTCCAAGATGGAGAGCCAGAAGATTGACATGAAAGCTCTCCAGCAGGAGAAACAAGCCCTGAAGAAACTCGAGAATGTCAAAAAGGACCATGAGCAACGGTTGGAGGCCCTACACCAAGCCCAGGTGAGGAGGAAGCCTGTTTGGAGGAAGCCACTGTCTCAGTTTTACAAACTGTATTATAACTCAGTTGTTTATTTGCAATCTGTGTGTTCCTACAAGTGTGAACACCATACCAAGAATACTAAGAATGCTGTATGTGCAGCATCGCTTTCGCTAGGGATGTTGTTTGCAGTATTCCCATAATGCATTACTTAAAGACATGCTTATATGTTTGAGATGGTGGATGTATCCCTTTTTTTGTAGGAGGTGGACCGTCTGAAGGGGGAGCTGGTGGAGATGAACCTCCCCATCGTGGAGAGAGCTCTGCAGGTAGTAAGAAGTGCTCTTGCCAATCAGGTGGACTGGGCAGAAATAGGTCTCATTGTAAAAGAAGCTCAGGTGGCTGGAGACCCTGTGGCTTGTGCCATCAAAGAGCTGAAGCTACAGACCAATCACATCACTATGCTACTAAAGTAAGGTCATATGGAAGTACTTGCCATAAAAAGGACTTTCAATTTGAGGTTTCTGAGATTGTGTGTTTGAGCCAAAAATTAAATGAGTAATAAAGGTCTTGCCTCACAGGAACCCATATGTTGGTTCAGAAGAAGGAGACACAGAGGAGGAAGAGTCTTTGATGGATACTACAGAGGGCTCTGAGCAGCAAAAGGGGAAGAAGAATAAGAATAAAGACAAAGGACAGAAGGGCAATGTCCAGAAGAACAAACCTGTCCTGGTGGATGTGGACCTCAGTTTGTCTGCTTATGCCAATGCAAAGAAGTGAGTTCAGGCATGTGATTTTTAAACATTTTATAACATCCGACTGGCCGTTTAGAAGACATTACAGGAAAATCCATATATTTGGTGTTAGTTTTTCCTTTCTTTTTAATGTACAGTGGAGTCCAGTTTAAACCTGGAAATAAAGAATAGAAAGTGTTACGATCTTGAAAAAAAAAAGTTATGACAAAATGAAAAAATATTTCAAATTCTCTACTTTTCCTAGTTCGTTATTGAAATTGAAGCAAATTTGTGAAATTGTCCATGTTAAGGCCTTTGTACAAAAAGGTAAGATTTTTTTTGTTATGTCCCTTCCATTAAAAAACCTGTTTAGATTTTGAAGTGGATTTGATCTACTCATCAGAGGCTTTTGCGAAACCTTATGGAGTCCATGCCAGCTCAAGTGCATGCTGTCATTAAAGCAAAAGAGGGACATACCAAATACTAAGAAATTCTGAAATTCATGGTAACTTTTAAAGATTCTGCTTTTCACTCAAATTGTATTAAATTAGAAAAGAATGCATAATAGAAGCATTTTAACAAGTGGTCTCAGACTTTTGGACCCCACTGTATGTGATGTGGACCATGATTAGGTTGCCCTAACCCCGGATGTTATTCCATGTTCCATCATTGACTCTTGAAGCCACTATTTTAGAAGATTAAAAAGTGATGTCAAAGACGCTGTTTATTGGCTGCAAAGAAAAATGTAAATATTTTTATATGAGCCATTTTTTGTTTAGAAATGTGCTTTTAATTTCAATCGTTTCACAATGATTTAGCCCAGCTTAATTTAAAAAATGTTTTTGTTTGAAATGTACATTCATTTGACATGGAGTGACCTGTAATATGTGATATGTAATTTATGTATGTAAAATATGAATTGATGTAACTACATGTGTATTCTAGTAAGGGGTGGGCAATATGACAATGTCTTACAGTTACCATAATCAATTATGTCACAATATGGTTTTCTGAGCATATTATGGATATTGTCAGACTGACTAAATTTTTTTTACAAAGTGAGCATAATTAGGCCTGTTAAGTTGGATTTAGCGCCTGCAACTGTATGTTAATTATTATTGTAATTATGATATAATATTTTTGCCATATGGCCCACCCCTAATTACATTTATGATAATAAGTAATGTGAAAAGCCTTTTGATTTTTTAGAGCCTCAGTTAGAGCCCATCTCCATGCACTGTTGTATATGAAATGCATGATATGTAACAGACAGTGAAGGACTGTTTATTGTACATGCCATCATACCTTATTCTATTACTTTAAATATGAACATAATGTCCTTTTAGGTATTATGACCACAAGCGGAGTGCTGCAAAAAAAGAGCAGAAAACAGTGGAGGCAGCAGAAAAGGTAAAGAGAGAGCAGCACGGAACACTGCCAGATTTAATATTGAATTTTATGTAAAAATGTGTTTAATATGTTGTGCATTGCTTTTGGTCAAGGCCTTCAAGTCTGCTGAGAAAAAGACCAAGCAAACCCTTAAAGAGGTCCAGACAGTTACAACAATTCAGAAAGCAAGAAAGGTCTACTGGTGAGGCACAAATGCTCATCATCTTTCTAACAAGTTAGTCTGGTGATACTGTTATACATTTGTATTCATCCTAAAATCCCTTCTGATCACTTCCTGCTTTCTTGCCAGGTTTGAAAAGTTTCTTTGGTTCATCAGCTCAGAGAACTACCTCATCATTGCTGGACGAGACCAGCAGCAGAACGAGATGATAGTCAAACGTTACCTGCGAGCAGGTACGGGGGTGTTTTATGTTGTTTGTGCTTGTGTTGTTTCATTGTTCTTCTTTTCCTCTAAAACCTCAGTGACAAAATTGTCCCCACATTTTTTCTTCTCAGGGGATATCTATGTCCATGCTGACCTCCATGGAGCTACAAGCTGTGTCATCAAGAATCCCTCTGGTATGAGAACTTTAAACTTGAAGCTTTTTACTTTACAAAAGTCTTAGGCAGCCATAAAAATTGTTTGAAACTATCAGCAGTAAGAGTCTGAAAACACTAAATAACATTAGAATAAACACATGTATGGATTTCTTAAATTACTTCAGTAATGCATCTGATTGAATTTAATAAAGGACTGATTGGCCAGACTACACTGTAAGTGATAATAATATACTTTATTACAAAGTTTTAAGCAAGTTTACCTATTATGGAACAAACTGATGTTTAATTATTTTAAGTTTTCAGAAAAGAAATGAAACTACTTAGCAAATTTCTATGAGTTATAACTTAGAAATGTTAACTTTTGATTCTGAACTTCAAAATGTATGTACTAGTTTACTAAGGTTAAAATCAGTTTGTAGACTTAACTTGAAATTAATTAGTCAATTTACTTGGAAGGTAAGGCGATCGGCTTCCAAGCTGTTTTTTAGTAAATCCAATGTTTAAAGTTTAAAGTGGTATTGGATGACTGGGCTTCCTCAAGAAGAGCTTTGGAAATGGCTGGGCCAACACACTAACTTAAAAAAACATCACAATGTAATCATTTGTATATTAGGATTATTTCTAATGTTAGTGCTTTTTAATAAAAAATGCTACAACTCATATAAATGGCTTTATATATTATTTTCTCATCTGGTCTAAAACTTTTGCACCGTATTATATGTTTCTGTACTGTATTTTCAGGTGAAGAATATGGTAATGCTATTTTCTGAGTCATCTGTTAATTGACTAATTGTTTGCCTGACCAATTTGGCTATTCATTGTTGTGTCAGTACTGACACACAAAGTCTGTGATTATGATTAGAAATCCATCCATCCATCATCTAAACCGCTTATCCTTCCGGGTCGCGGTGGGGTGCTGGAGCCTATCCCAGCTGTCATCGGGCGGAAGGCAGGATACACCCTGGACAGGTCGCCAGCCCATCGCAGGGCAGACAAACAGACATATACATCCACACACACACTCACACCTAGGGGCAATTTAGCATGTCCAATTGGCCTGACTGCATGTTTTTGGACTGTGGGAGGAAACCGGAGTACCCGGAGGAAACCCACGCAGACACGGGGAGAACATGCAAACTCCACACAGAAACGACCCTGGTCACCCGGCCGGGAATCGAACCCAGGCCCTTCTTGCTGTGAGGCGACAGCGCTACCCACTGCGCCAATGATTAGAAATGTGAATGAGAATTATTACCAGTGTCAGAGCAAGTGGTGATGGAGAGTTAAAGCCCCAGTGAAATCTGTATTTTCCTCATAAGTATGTTAATCTTGCTGTTCTGGGCACACAGTATTCATGTACAAAGTATGCCCTATGAATGACTTTCCACTGGCCAGTAAATGGCCAATATATTTGGCCAAAACTTTTCTTTCAGTGTAAACTGGGCAGTCCTAATCTTGGGACCGCTTATGTTAGCAGTATCCTCACCAATCACAAGGCTCATGTAGCTTGACCCACCCACACAGCTTTAACAAAACTATGTTGTCCAGTGGTCTCCTTCTCTCTGTTTAAGTTGGATAATTAAGTTTTATTTTTCTGTTGTTTTTTTACATTTTTTAATATTTTGCACGGTGCATGGGACTTTAAAGAAATTTACATAATTAAATAGAAGCATCGAAGAAAAACATACAAATTGTCATGAAATCTATTTTGGGTTTATCAAAATGTGCCTCTCATTATTTTTCTGCCTGTTGCCAGGCTTGCATTACAACACTCTAAAGTTATGATATTGCCACAAATCTTCACCTTCAGTGACATTGTTCTGGATTTTTAATCATCCCCTGTGTATTGTATGATGGACCAATGATGATCCCAGACTAAATGACAAAAATCTAACTTTATTTTTGTGATCTTCAAGATGCAATCATGTTGACTGCCTTAAAGCCCACAGAACAAAGAATTTACTGAATGCAAGACATTGCTGAATGTAAATAGGAGTTCTCTACTGTTGTTGCAGGAGAGCCTATTCCTCCACGTACACTAACAGAGGCTGGGACTATGGCTGTGTGTTATAGTGCTGCCTGGGATGCCAAAGTGATCACCAGCGCTTGGTGGGTTCACCATAACCAGGTAAGACAGCGTCATGTTTTTAGGCTGGTGAAGCTTTATGGTCTTATGGTCACAATGTTCATGTCTTGCCCGCTTCAGGTGTCCAAGACCGCTCCAACAGGAGAGTATTTAACAACAGGAAGCTTCATGATTAGAGGTACAAATGAAAGTTTGTCAGTTTCCATCTGAGTGTTGATGTAGTATTTAATTGCTGTTGTATCTGTACATTTTGGATTTCTGACATGTTGTATGAATACTGTTTCAGGCCTTGTGCATTTTGGCAAAAAGGTGCTCTCAACACAATTGACATTTTGCAAAATTCTGAAAAGTTTCACCTCACTTATTTACTGTTGCCATGGTTTTCAAACTTTGAACTCAGACTACCTTCTATTCATAACTCTTGTTCTAACTGATTAAACAGCTTAGTAGCCTACAGGAGAATTGAGAAGCTCACAGAGGAGTACCTCTGAAAACATTTTATTATTCAAAAATAAACTGATTTGGTGCATATGTTCAGTGCACACATACAGGACAAAATCATCTCGTTAATCATGGTTTCATTAATCAAACCAAACCAAAAAAAAACATTACCGCCTTCCAGGTGATCACTGTTGTTGTGAGGTTTGTTGGAGGAAGTAGTGTACAACGTACAACATATCGTGATTGGATGGGAGATACCAGTCTTTTTTGTGCACATGGTCAATTGGAGTTTTTTAGGCACTACTAAATAGCCTTGTGAAAATTCTGATTATCTGCCTTCAGCAATTGTTTACTGAGACATAGATAATGTGGTTACACTTTATTTTGAAAGAGCACTGTAGACACACACGTTGTCTTGCGCTAATTATCTATTAAATTCAACAGAACTTTAAATTGAATTAAATAATAGATTCTGTCAAGTCTAACCTTAACATCTAATACAGACACTGTTGATAATCAACTGAGTTTCACCAGATCAATTTGGGAATCTGTAGATCTATAGATATAGACTATGAAAATAAATTTTGACTGTTAATGTAATGTTATTATTTATGCATGTTTTATTCTCGTCTTTCAGGGAAGAAGAACTTCTTACCCCCCTCTTATCTCATTATGGGCTTTGGATTTCTCTTCAAGGTAATAAATTTTGTATTCACAGCTCAATCTGCCATACTCTAATTTCAGCTATGGTTATAATTGGGCATGGCATTCAACAAAAATGAATAAAAAGCTGATTTGAATTGTAATTGAATTGTATGTTGTATGTAATTGTAAAAGACAGTAAAATTATCTTTTTCAACCTGCTCAGTCTACGGTGATATGCAAAGGTTTGGGCATCTCTGGTCAAATGATGTTTTGTTGATTTTCTAAATGGATAATAGGTACTAGTTCTCTACAGACAACACACATCTGCACGATTCACTGTACAATTACTGTTTATTTGCTTAATTTAAAGCTGCACTTCAGAGTGTTCAAAGAGAACTCCGTCAACTTGGTGAAGGACATGACCATAGTAGATAATTCATTTACATCATATCTTTAATAGTATAATGCTGATTTTGCATTTGAGACCTAAGCAACGAGTCAGGCTTTCTTTTTGAGCCTGTGAGTATGATGTTAATACATAAAGACGTAAGATGTGGTCCAAAAAACCTAGAGATCTAACACCTTTGACTTTTAAAATACTGCTGTAGACTTTATAGGTTCACTCACAGCACCGTGCAGACAACATATTTTAGCGTGTTTTTATACTTTTGACTCAGTAATGCTACTTCCTTAAGTTTTAACAAAAAACATCATACATAGCACAGATTTAGCATAAAATGTGGCCTGTGTGGCACATTTACAATATGTTAAACTCAGCAAATAAGTAGTAATTGTTTACTAAAATTGTACACAGAAAAATGCCACATTTAAGTGTGTTTCTTGTAGAGGATGTGGAACTTATTTCACTTAAATTAACATGACAATTTTACCAGAGGTATTTTTGCTTTTTTCTGTGTAGAGCATAGGTCACTACTACTATTTAAAAAGTGTAGATCAAATGAACTAAATAATGGCCAAACTGTTATGTGTTTGCAGCAGACAAATCAAAGATCGTGTCAGCGCCACTACCAATCCAATTGTGAACAGGGTTGTAAATATTCCTTCAGACTGTAGTGTGCTTTAGCCAGTTGGCTCAGCATTATTTGTTATGATTGTAGGTGGATGAGCAGTGTGTGTTTAGACACCGGGGGGAGAGGAAGGTTAAAACTCTGGAGGAAGATGTGGAGGACGTGACTTCCAGTACTGCAGAGCTCCTAGAGGAAGGAGAGGAGCTCTTAGGTATTTGCGCACACTGGGCATGTAACGGTACACAGAAGTCATGGTTAGGTTCACACTACAGTTTGGACATCATTGTTCGGTACACGTTCAGTACAATAGGGGAAAAAGCAACAAAAAAAACCAAATGCATAAGAGTAGGTTTCTTTTCATTTATTTTGAACAGACAGTTGTGCAAGTTACTGTTTGTTCCACCTGGTGTCATATAGTCCCCCCTAAGGTAGTTGGTACAGCCTGTAGTGTGACTATACTAACGACTTAGAGCTTATGGCTTTCTGCTTTACGTTCATCAGTATTCGCACATAGGCTACTGCATATTCTCCATATGACTACATGTACCAAAGTGTAACATCCCTACCGTGACTGTTCGGGATGAATGCACATATCGTTACACCCCTAGTGCACACACAATCCTTCACTGGTGTAAATACAGTTACTATGGGTAATTTACCATCAGTTACACTGAATTTTAAAGAAGGATTACTACTTTATTTGGAAACGTGAAAAACATCTATTCAGAATTTCTGTGATGGCAACATACCAAAATATTGAAATATACCAAATATAAAAAAACACTTTTCAGCATCACTTTTAGCATCTGCTAAATTGCCACCATCTTAAAAGCCTGAGTACATTAGCGCACTTGTTGGATGCTGTCGTGACATAGCAGCTACTCTTATGTACATGCCTCAAAATTACTTAAAAATCCATAAGCAACATCATAAACATGATTGATGTCACAGCATGACATAATACAAATTAAAAGGGAATTCTAACGATTTTTAAAAATGTATCCATACCTGTTGAGATGTAGTCATTCAGAGAATTTTAATGTAAAATGGCACAATAAAATTTGTCGTCTGTTTTCTTTGCAGTCGTGGTCATAGGCAGGATTTCACTGGAACGCAGACATAGATAAGGGCAATATAGAAAAAAATAGTGTCTCATGATACGTAAAGAAATTTTCACAGTACACAAAAATGTTAAATTTGAAAATGTGCTAGTAGTGTCAAGTTTAAGAACTGCTATCAAAAATTCAGTACAGCAAGACTCTCTTTGTGAAGAAACATGCAGTTATTCAATGTTTTAGCACTGATGATATCGACAATATGCTCAGAAATGCATACTGTATATAATGATAATGGTTGATGATGGAAAAAAGGGAGGGAAAAAAGAGGGGGAAAAAATCAAGTTTTCCCTTATATAATTGTGCATATAACTTTTGCACTGCGTGTATTTTTAAGAAATATTGTTTTACCTGGCCAAAAACCACAACTGATTATTGCAAAACTATTGCAAAAAATGTAGCTGGGATCACATGGTGTATTCGTAACTATTTCATAACTATTTCATGTAATAGCAGTCTGTATAGTAGCGTTAAACACATCAGATGTCTGGTTATTGTTACCATCATTGTGACTTCTTAATTTTTTCTCTAGATTAGTGCATTTCACCTCAAACTACTCTGAATGACTTTAATATCTTAACATTGAATGTTGCAGAGATTCTGGAAAATCTGTGGAATTTGTTCACGCACACATAAAATTCCGGAATAGAAAGTAAGCTATTCTGTATTCTTTAAGGAGAAGCTCAGCTTAAAAAAAGGCTAAACTTGATTTGAATCTAAAATTTGAGTCACCACCAGTCACCATTTCATCATTGAATAGAGGTACAAATTAGTCAGTGTCTATTTGAGTTCTAATCTAGTGTTTAATTCCTGTTGTATCTGTATTTTTTAGATCCTTTTGGATCAGCATTCCTACTCTAACATACTGTATGACTACTGTTCCTGTATTTTGAATTAAAAGATTTTAGACATTGAGTTTTCAGGTACTGCAACAGTCAACAGTAGCTCACTCTGTCTGCACAGTACTAGGATACCATGATGTCCTGGGAAGGAGGGGCCACTGATCTAGGACTGATAGATTAATTGTTTACGTATAAAAGTTTTGAAAGAGTATTTTTTAAATCGCAAGAGCTCAAATTTTGATTATAGTCTTACAGTCTATTATCAGTGATGCTGATACATTGATAGTTTTAATTAAAGGGTGATTTAACCTAATAACATGGAGCTGCTTTTAAATGAATTTGACTAATCAGAAGCAAACAAATGTGCTGTGACATCAAAACCACAAATAACTGACAGGCTGACGCACTGTGTTAAAGTCTCACGCCAGAAATATATGCTGGTCTTAGCCAAAAAAAAGTTCATACCTCAATTTAGAGAAAACAATCGCAATATTAGTCAGAAATATCGCAATTAGATATTTTTCCAAAACCATTCAATCCTACACTGAGCCAGTTTGCTGCTCCAGTTTGTTTCTCCAACATGGTTGACTCCACAGTGTGGCAGTCATGACAGGGTGCTGGGAGCAGGAGGAAGAAATGCAGCCTCTCATAGCTCAGCATTCCTAGATCCAAAATAAAAGTCCTTGATATGCCCTGTAACTTTAGTCACAGCAGGATAACAGTCCTTATTTCCACATCAGAGGTATAGTTGAGCCATAGAAAAGAGGTAGACTGAGTCCAATCTACCCATATTATATGATTCTTTGTCCAAAAGCAGTTTGGTAGCACCTCTTACCAACTCAGGTGCAGCAGATGAAGGCTTCAGGATAAGGTGGGATGAGCTTTTCCTTTATCACTTAGATACCCCCATCAGTCTTGAACAATAATTAAAAGACCAAATGTTTATAATTATTTGGTGAATCAGTAGCAATTACCACTGATGGGCAGAGAGAATCCAAAACATTGCAAAGGTCAAGAGAAGATTGATCCTCAGTATGCAGAGGACACAAGCAAAAATAAACTAATTGAATATGAAACAGCAAAAAGAATATGATTCAGTCCAATAATATTCAGTATAAGGAAGGAGTTTTATCTTTTAGCCTCAGGCAATTTTGAAATAAACTAAAATTATTTCTAGCCAGACTAAGCCAAACTTTATCCAACTTAATTCTGTTCTGATGGTTCTCACCTTGGATACATGGTTCCAGTGGAGGTTTTAATTAAGGTTTAACCTCTTATGCTAATGGGTATATTTTGGTTTTTCCATCTGAATTTACATGACCAAATCGTAAGGCAAAATATTCAATAACTGCATGAAATAAATGTAATTTTTTATTTATTTATTTTTTGTAAACATTCCCCTCAAATTAACAGAAAATGTGTTTTATGATCATACACATATTGCTATATGCTTATAATTTACTGCTGAAAGCCAAAAATCTTAGATGCTCTTTGTATTTTTTTATAAAAATAATTTTTACAGAGCAGATCACAGAAGAGACACCATCTGTTTATAGTTTATAGCCCAGATTTGTGGAAAAATGGGTCAACCTTCAGCAGACAAAAAAAAAAAATTGTGAGTTCAGCTTCTTTTATTATATTACCCATCTATTTAACAGGAAAGAAGACAGTTACAGCTCTTATATGACACCCACTTTTTGAATGTAGCTTATGAAATATGAAAGTTATGAAGAATATGACCGGTGGTTGCCAAAATTACCAAACCTGAAATTACCAGAGATTGGGTTACAAAGGGTTAGAAGCACACACACAGGCTGGTTGAATCTGCTGTATCGTATGAGAGAATAACAATTAACAAAAGAGTAATTCATCTCAGTGTTCACAAGGCATGCCACCTCATACTACATATGCACAGGTAAAACATGCAGATATCGGTCAGTTAAACACACATACTCTTCCAAAAGCTTGTCACATCAATTTTTGTTATTTTATTCAGTAATAACCACCAACACAGTGTTGATTGACACATTATAACCTGTATAACAAAACGCATCATAGACCTTTCTACACTGTACTCAACATTTCTCAAACACAAGCTATCATTGACAGTAATTTCATTATTCTCAAAGCTGAAAATGTATTAACTGAGTAACAGGCAGTAATCATTTTCAAATTTGTTTCCGTGACAATCAATCAAGCAACGTTCACTGATACTATAACCTTTAATTTTCCTGTGGACCCAGCATATTAAATTTTACCACACTATGTTGTATTTTACATGAGACAACGCAGGTCTGCCAAATAATCCATTACTAGTTATCCATTCAGCATTCAATAACAATCTCTAAGCTGGTGTCCCCATATCGTTAATCCTGTTAATTTCATCCACCAAACCCTGTTGTCACTCCTCATCACTGCTCAGCACTAATATCTGGCAGCCTTTGGTATCACAGCTGGGGAAACAATGGAACTGACTGTCAAGGGGCTTTCAAGGGGCTTGGGGTAAAATGTAGGCAATGGTGTACAGTCATAAAATTCTAAGAACTCATTGTCATACCTAAATGAATACTGGCAATGTAGAAAAAAATCCATGAAAAATCCAACATCATATCCTTTTTTTATTTATAGCTTTTTCAAAAAATGGGAAGAGGGTGACCCCTTACCTGGGGCCACAGAGATTATATTTGCGTAGCACCCAGAAAATGGAACACCATTGCTAGCAACTTTAGCCCCCAGGGTGCCCTAAAACCTCATCGGCAGCTCACCCAGCTAGTGTCCAGCCACTCCAAATCTGGGAGCCAAGGAAAAACTCACCACTAAGTCAGAGCGCAGTGCCAGAGTTTTACTAAATCTGGATGCCCTAACACTTCACTTCCACTCCTAGAGCAATCAGACCCCTGAAAATCCAACTGCCAAAGCCCCCACTGCAGTGCAGTGTCTATCACTACCAGCCCACCCCAACACAGCGAAGCATCTTCTAGCACCAGTCTTCCTTACTCAGTCATTACAAATGTGAATTAAATAAGGCTCATTAAATATTGGAACATAATCACTTTCCAGCATTACAACAGCATAAAACAGAAAATGTCTGAATAAAATAAATAAAGCAACACTAAAAATTTTAAAATCATCCCATAGCCCTCAGCACATGTGTGTAAACACAGCCTCACACAGAAAGGTTTAACAAGGGCAAAAGGGTTTAAAAAGAACCAAAAAGATAAAACTGATTCAGACATAAGCATCAACTACTGCAAGTAGGCATAATATGATTGGTTAAGGTCAGTAAATAAGACTCACATGGGTCTCTGATGCACATCCCTGTAGCGTCTGCAGCAGTCACTCTCAGACAGATGCGAGGTCTCAAAAGGTCTTGGCTAATTCCCACAAAGTCGCTTTCACCCAGTTCCACAATCTGGGGCCATGTTTCTCAGGATAGTGTGGAGACTGCTATAAGCAAGTCCTTATCTCAGTCACAGCTTCTCAAGGAACAAGCACACTCCAAAGGAAGAGGCAATATGCAACACAAACACACCACAAGCCTTAAAGAGAGAAAAGTCCAAGTCTTGAAATGAAGAACAGATGGATATGCAGTAATATAATAGCTATTATTACATTGAACAGGGATTACCTTACCTTACCTAACTAATTTACCATTTATTTTGTGTCTTTTTTAATGTTGACTGTTGAATTTTTTTCAGAAATACTCTATTATACTCTCTCTAAATTCTTTTTTTGAATACTCTGTTTCTGTGTTCTGATTATTTACTGACTGATCCAAGTCTTTGAAATAAGAATGAATTGATCATTGTCTGCCGCTCCAATTTCCAAAACACCTTGTTCTCTCCAGGAGAAGACAGCGCAACTGAAGGAGAGGCTGAGGGAGAAGACGGGGGTGAAGAAGACAGCAGAATGGCAGGAGATGAAGACGTGGTGACAAGAGAAACAGAAGAAGATGGTAAAGAAGCAGAAGAATACACAGAAGCCCAGGAGACATCAGGCCAGACCAAGCCTAAGACTGAAAAGCCAGAGCAGAAGGAGGTGGGACGACACAAAGGAGAAAAAGGGGTCGATGAAGAGGTGAAGAGTGAGGAAGAGAGTATAGACATCAGTTTTCCAGACACCACAATCTCACTCACACACCTTCAGTCAAACAGGTACTATTCTTCAATAATGGGCTCTAATGATCAACCAACCATGGATAAGTTGTTTCAGACATTTGACTTGGGGACACTGTGATTTTGTTGTCAGTAGACATAAATATGACAATAAAAGCAAATACAGAATTAATATTAGAGATGTAATACAATGGAGGATAACATCATTTTTCTCTAAAATAACTTGTATGTAAGAACAGAATGTGAAAGCATTTACAAGTGAGTAAAAACTGAATGTAAGTATTGGAGTATTCTTGTATTTTATTACAAGCTCTAGTTTTAATTTGATAATGAATTTCAGATATTTGACTGCCACTGTTTTTAATAATGTCTACATGAAAATCACACAGACCTATTCTGATTCAGTTAAACAAGGTGTCTGTGTCCTATTAAGTTTTTCTCTTTCCATTTCAGGGGAATCTCAAATGCTGGTTTCAAGCAAGACGTTTCAAAACAGGTATATTACAAAGAAGAGGTGTATTCAAAACCATAATACTGTAGTCTTCTCAAAGCTATGAGCCAGACTGACAGCAAACTCCTGAAACCACAGATGAAAACATAATACAAAGGGATAGCAGAATCAATGGCAGAGTTTTTGCAAAATAATGATTGACATGTCAGAGCCAGTCACAATTGTTTGTAAACACTGCTTTTTTCTGGCAAGCAAAGAAAAAACTTTGACAAACCTCTTTAAAACAAACCTGCAGAGATGTTTTATTAAGGGATGTATTATTAAAATGCACACTATTCTGATAATCAGATTAAACAGGACTGTACAGTGCCTACTTTTGCATTAAAAATGATTTTGTGTACAGATAAATATCAATGCACTCATACACATAATTTCTGTTTAAAGTTTGCTAAAACTTTAATGAAACAAAGTTTTAGCAAGTTTTAGCAAACACTGAAGCTAGTCACCATCTCTTCTGACTAGCTCCAGTGTTAGTTTTAGCATTAGCTCATGTGAAGGACCAGCTTTCTTTGTTCAAACCTAATTTTTAGACATGAAAATCTGGCGATTTAACTCCCAGTCCCTAAAAGATTTCCTGCTTTGATTAATGTAAATTTGGTTTCCAAAATCTCTGAACCCCTTTTGTCTTTTGAGTTGGCCTACATTAACATTTTGTCTGTTTTCAAACACGTACATCTGCACAAAACATGTAAAACCAGTTTATTTTGGAATAATGAAACATTTTCAGGGGTACTCTGTGCATCTAATGTTTATCATGGTATGTTTTCAGAATTTCTGTTTGTCAGAGAGTACCCAATATACCAGATTAAATATTCAGTTGGAAGACACACCTTCACCTACATGACTCATGTTTCCTTCCAACAGGACAACACAGAGTCACAAGGCAAAAAGTACATGAGTGCTAAGCAGAGAAGGTAAAACCTTGAAAATGAAAAAACTGGTTTTGGCATAGTATAGCACCTATCTAGGGTTATAACTTAATGCCATTGATGTTTCTGTTTGTCAAGGGATATGAAGAAGAAGCAGAAACAGGAAAGTGATGAACAACATGAAGAAGCAGAGGGCAAAAGAGAAGAGAATCAAGGTTCCTGTGCATCCAGCCAGAGCTCTAAGATTGGAGGAGCCACTCAGCCCCCTCTAAAGAGGGGACAAAAGGTTACACTGCACTGTTATTCATACTTTATCAGCATGCTGATGAATTTTTGTGATCTCTTTAAAGTAATTTTATAAAGTTTAATGGAACACCGGAATGCTCTGCTTATCTCAGGCCTAATTTTACAGCCACAATGCTAAGTGCAAAGTGCTGCGCTCTACAAAAGGCACTGAATATGTGGTCCCATGATGGCTGTGCTCTTATGTTTAGAACAAGCTGAAGAAAATCAAAGATAAATACAAAGACCAAGATGAGGAGGACCGTGAACTGATGATGAAGCTGCTTGGGGTCAGTACTGCTTGCTGTGTGGATTTAGTCTTGTGGTTCCCAACCCTGCTCCTGGAGTAGCTCTACCCTGTTTGACTTTTCTCCAAGAGGCTGATGACTCGGACCAGGAGAACCATTGTGTTTTTTTTTTTTGTTGTTGTAACATGCCCACTACAACTCATAAGTTTTGTTAATTAGCTGATAAGTTGGATCAGGTGTGTTAAAGCAAGGGAAACAACAAAATATGAAAGGCAGAGGACTTCCAGGACCACGTTTGTGAACCACCAATCTAGTCCATAAAGCACAGGTTACTTCTTCATTTTTCTTACAACTGATATCCTATTTCACAGTCGGCAGGCTCCAGAAAGGAAGAAAAGGGAAAGAAGGGGAAGAAAGGAAAAGGAAAAGAGGAGCCAGTGAAGCCTGGCCAAAAGCAGAAAGCAGCCAAGCAGCATATGGTGAAGGCTGAGCAGCCTGGGGACGATTGTGGCCCAGCAGGAGAGGACACCACTGAACAGGATGACAAAGTAGAGGGAGTTTGTGTTTTCATTGTGATTTATTTTTTGGGATCTCATTGGTAACACAGAGGAATAGTCATTTAACAACCACAGGGCCAAGTCAAATTTGGTTCCACTGACTACCAACTGTTTAGAAAGAAAAAAAGAAAGGTGTATCTTGTCTCACTCACTCATGTTTAGCAGGCTGAAGAGTTTTCACAAGTCGGAGGGTGATGTTCACACTCAGCTTTTGGTGCTTCTCATCAGTGACACTGTGTGTCCTTTTTAACATCGTATAATTTCTTGTTAAAAAAAAAAAATAACTAAAGACTTCAGGATTGTTTTTACTACTGTTTGTACATGTCTTTAGCATTAGACATCACATAAGTCTGTTTGAAATTACTTAACAACTCTACATGGTTTGAGGCAAGTATGTGATGATTTCAGCATGCAGTTTGCCTGATGCTAATTGCTTGGGTTTAAAATTCAATTTGTTTTGCAAAAACTGTTCCTTTAACCTAATCATGTAATATGACTGCCTTTCTGAGTATGGCATACCAGACTGTCTGTGACTCAGCTAAATGATCTTTGTGATGTCTTATTTCTGAAGTGACTCACTTATTTTTCTTCAGGAGGCTGATGACTTGGACCAGGAGAACCCTGGAGCAGAGGTAAGCATTTTCTGCATTTATTCCTCTGGTTTTATGTTTTGAGCTTGTGCTGTGGTAATTTTCAAGGTTGTATTGTAAATTATATTGTATTGTAATTGTAAATTAGTTTCACATTTTAGCAGTAGAGCTGTCTAGTCTAGTGTTTCTTAATCCTGCTCCTGCTGACCCACAGCACTACATGGTTTCAGGTATTTCTTGATTCAACACACCTGGGGGAATATTTCACAATCCCCCCCGATTCAGCTCATCAACTAATAATGGAGCCCTATGTTAGGACAGGTATTACCTCAAACTGTTCAGTGCTGTAAGTCACAGGATTAAAGGGACACACTGGCCAAAAAGAATTCACCCACATCTGTCGTTACATTTGTTGTAAACATGTTTACTTGCCTGTTACAGCAGTGCTGCAGCAGCCTATAGCGAGATTTCATAGTTGAAAGACTAGGAAAGCCCCCCTGATGATGTGTCTGGAAGGTGAAATTAAATTTCAAAAGAATACGACTGCTTTGGGGTAGATACTTGAGGGCAGGCTGTTTGAATTTCTTTGACAACCAACTGAAGTTAGTGCTATATCACTAATGTTAGCAAGCACCATGTATGCATATTAGCCTCTGGATCTGGCAGGTCCAATCTTCTCTACAGAAGGCTGGTTTGGCTGCAGGTTTCCATTCTAATAAAACAGGAGCACACCTGATCAGTTGTTTGAAGATGAAGACTAAATGATTAAATAAGTGGGGTCAGGCCTGCTCCTGTTTTATTGGAATGGAGGTGTGTTTGGAATAAAAAACCTGCAGCCACATCTGCCCTTTGTGGATAAGAATGAACACCTCTGCTGCTCTAGATCAGTGACTACTGGTTAGCGGTTAGGAATTCCCAACGATTGTGTGATGTATTCTCATAATGTATGCCTGATATTGTGGTGAGAGAAGACCAATAAACAAAGACATAAAAGTGATTTTAAAAAAAAACAAACATGAATTCTGTTAAACCAGTGAGGCTATTACATCTGTTGTTAATGCTTTTTATAATGAAATGTATATATGTTGGCTGCTGGTTTCTTAGGAAGGAGAAAACTTTCTTGACTCTTTGACTGGCCAGCCACACCCAGATGATGTATTGCTGTTTGCAGTCTCTGTATGTGCACCCTACACAGCCCTTTCAAATTACAAGTATGTTACCTATTTTTTTGTTCATCTATAACCACATCATTCAGATCTGTTCACCTATATGTTCATATTGTGCTTGTAATCAGAGGATTACATATAGTATAGATTACATACGTAGTGCCTAATCTACAGTATTATGGTGTATTTCAGTTAATTATTGTTCAGGGTGTGTCATCACTCCTTCAAACATGTAGAAATATCCACTTCTTTTCAGCCATGCTGTAGAAACATTATTTATGATGTGGAATATTATTAAAATGTCTTGTTCTCCTTCAGGCATAAAGTGAAACTGACTCCAGGCACACAGAAAAAGGGGAAAGGTAAAGATAAGTCAACATAGTGTTGCTTTAAATTGTTAATAGTGGGAAACACAGTTATTTTCACCTCTAACTGTTGAACCTTTGAATTTCACAGCTGCTCGTACTGCTGTGTTCAGCTTCATGCGTGGAAAGGAAGCTAGCACCAGAGAGAAAGACCTTTTTCGCAGCATTAAGGTATTTGTATCTAAAATGTGCGTCTTTCTGATTTAGTACTGCTAGAACATTTTTTACTGTTAAATTTCCATCACTTTCACTGTTCTTTGTATCTTAATATGTAGGACACAGACCTGTCAAGAAACATGCCTGGCAAAGTGAAGGTATCGGCGCCGAACCTGCTGGCAGCAAAGAAGAAATAAGCCTCAGGAAAACTGTGGTTAAATTGCATAGAATATCATGGTGATAACAATGGAGAAGCCTTGGACAGTTCACAACCTGTAAATGCCTGCCTTAAGGAAGACTTGCACATCAAGGATATGATCAGGAGCAAATTGTGAGAAATGTGGTCATGCACATCATCCTTAGTTTGTATGTACCACAGCCTTCTGTGGGGAGGAAAAAAGCTAGAGATCATAGTGAATCGTAAATTGTTATGTGAAAAATTACGTTATTGTGGCTTTCGCTACATATCAGTCCATTTTGAGAGATATGAGAAATATAAGGTGTACAGCAGGCAAAAAAAACTTGTACACATCTTTGAACAAACTCTTTTCACAACCATTTTCACAAATCCTTGTTTTTTTTTTTACATTCAAAATATACAAGGATTATTTATGATTAAAGAATTGTTTTTATTCATTTTTTTTTTTGTTCAAATGAAACATTTCAACCTAAGTATTTACAGAAAAATGACTAGATCATACTGCCTACCTGAAATGCAAAACAGAGCATAGCAATAGTAGTTTGGTTCCTAGTTAGGCCCACTTCTCCTTCATCAGTAATCCAAGACCCAAAAATTGGTTAGGAAGTTAGTTCAGATAGTTCTACTATTAAACCAAAATATACAAAACCCACACAAAAATAGCTAAAATAAAGTATATACACTTACTAAAATTAGGAATTTAACAATGTCTGTATATTGTAACTCATCTTACCTCGCAAATCTGTGATGGGTGAAGTTTTTATTCCCCATCAGGTCTATTTCATTTATCAGTACAATGGAAAATTTCAAAAGCATGATGTTTAGCATATTTTAATGGGTGGAAAATAACCTAGTCACTTTCTACATTAAATCAAACCTAAGCTATGTATATAAAACAGTGGTTTATAGTCATATGCAAAAGTTTAAACACCACCAGTCAATCTATATGTCTAGTTGAAGTGAAAATAAGTTAACACATCCTCTATGGGAGCTAACTTAAATGTGACATTTTTTAACAAATGTTATTGCGTAATTTCTATTTATTTGCTGAGTTCAATAAATTGGAAAAAAGCAAAAACAATATAAAATGTGCCATTTTATGTTTTATTTTTCATAATGTTAAATTCAGCAAATAAACAGTAACTGCATTAACACGTGAAGATGAGTGTAGTGGATGTGCACTTATTTCCACTTACAAAATCAGCAAAACCTGGAACTTGACCAGGAGTGCCCAAACTTTTGCATATATAACAATGGGGCTCAGACATCTAGTGTTGCAGATTAATGAAACATGCTTTTGCGTGCCTGGCAGCACTACTGATTGTCCCACCTTATGTGATTGTTGTAAACAAAACTGCCAAAAGCGCAACACAGGGCAAATTTATTTCATGACAACACACAAGATATCATAGGTAGATCTCCTCCTTTTAAAAGCAATGTAAAGGCTAGAAAAAATAGTCAACATGGTTTGCATTGTTAATAATAATTAATAGCATTATAATATGCTTTCTTCATGATAATTATCAGCCTTATCAGTGCCGCAAGTTACTTCCTAAATCCTTTTTTATACTGCTTCTTGTTATTTAGCAATGTATAGTGGCTTTCAAGCCTTCTGATTATATACTGCACTTGGTTCTTGTGCTGGAACACTGGGAGGTCAAAATTTGGACACAGCTGATGGTGTATTTTTCAAAAAAATTTGATGTAAAAGCTCATACTTTAAAGTTGTTTCTAAGACCAATATACATTTGCAAATGAATGCCTATGTAGAAATTTATGTCCAAAACAAAAGTATATATATTTTTTTTAAACAAGTACTTTTCATGTAGGATTTTAAGGCTGTGTTCACCTTGCATCAACATGCATTTTCAGCAATCTGAGCACATTTGGATTTCACTTGACCATGCAAAAAGCAACGTGTAAGCAGCCCCAGAACGCATTTTGATCAGATTAAAATCTCATCACTCAAACCACATTCGGAGGTGGTCAGAGACAGATTATGACCATATGCAACACAATAATAAATTGAATGTTTTTCTTTATCCGCATACAATTACAATGAGTGGAAAAACAAAAGATTTAGAATATGCAAAGCTGGAGTGCATTCTTGCACTTTGAGCCAATGAAAGCGTCCATGCCAAGCTTGTTGATTCATAAGGTGACATGAGAAAAAGTAACCATATATAAAGCAGAAACAACATATGAATTGGTGTGCTTTTTACATGAGAAAGTAAAATCGGATCTCATCTGGTTACATTAGGGACGTATTTTAGTGAAAAGTGTAAACAGAATCTGGCCGAAGTGTTTAATCAGAAAAAAACAGATGTAATCCTGAGATGAAAACAAGTTAATAAAAGGTGTAAACAGCCTCTTAAAACTGGAAAATGGAATTGGAACCAAGGGTGTTATATCATCCCGATTACATTGTGTTTCTTCAAATGTGAATTAGTGGAACGTCCATCCTTGTCAATGCACTTCAGCCAATCAGTTTTGCTGTAACAAGGAGGGGGTCTAAATATCCCTGTTTGGTAGAACATGATTGGTAATACCATATGAAGTATTTCATAGTTTTTGATACAATTATTATTGCAAAATGTTGAAAATAAAAAAAAAACCTATTCTATGAAAGGGTACGTCCAGTCTTTTGAATGGTAGTGTAGGTGAGAGTTAGGAGCTGTTTGAATGTAAAACCATGCCAAATGCTAAACCATACATTTCAGTTTATATGTCAGAGCACGACTATTATACAAAACACAGAAAGTTGGACTTGACTAGAAGAGTCCTTTGACTTCCCCACACCTAATTTTGGCCTTGACCACCTCCTTGAACAAGCCAGTGGGCCTTAGCAATTAAGCAAAGCTGCTGTGCCTCATACACAGGTGCACTATTGCTCTCAGTTTACTGAAGTGCGCATGTGTGCACTTAGTTCTAGGAACCTCCAGTGTTGGTGGTACCAATCCACTGTTTGATGCTATGTAGGAGATGTTTGGGCAGGCAGTCCCACATGCTCTCCAGCTGCTGTCTGTGGTGCACAATAACCTCCATACAAGACCTATGCATGCAAACAAACAGCAACTGTAACTCAAAAAGTCCATCTCAGTAATAAGACCACTAAGATCATTGTATTGTGTGTTAATAACAGTGGTGGACGAAGTACACAAACCATGTACTTGAGTTAAAGTAGAGATACCCAAGGTAAAAAAATTACTTTAGTGAAAGTAGAAGTCCTCCCTTTAGACCTCCACTTGAAAAGTACAAACGTATTTGGCTTCAAATGTACTTAAGTATCAAAAGTGAAAGTACTAAAAGATTAATTATGGCTCTAATGTCCTATTATCTTTTTTGTAACAAGACTTTTGCTTTATCAACTTATTTTAGGTGAAAATACTCTAGTGTCACTCTTGTAACACCAATATTTTAATAGAATGTCATTAATTAGCCTGACGCTGATGTCTATTAAAATAGCACAAAACACTGAAGGCAAACAATTTCCATTAGGTAGAACCAAGTGGCTATGAAATCACCTTTTGCGAAGAAGCAAAGTTTTGGTTTAAGATTTATTTGCAACTTAGTTTAAATAAAAATGAGTTTAAATTTAAACAAGTTTAAATTTAATAAAACCGTCCTTTACAAGCAAGTTAACACAGGTTCACAAATGAGTTTTCCTTTACTATATTGCATCTATAGGTCTCTGTTCATAAACATAAACTAGCCAAAACTAATTTACTATAAAATGAAATAATGTTTGTGTAAATTCAGAAAAAAACCCATGCCAGTTACAACTGCATGTGTGTATATATTTCTATATTGTGGTCTATTTACACAAAGTTTGGTCAGAGTCAGGAGCTTCCTGCATTATTTATCTAGGAATAGGCACTCCCAAACTTTTATGCTGCTACACTGTCACTGAACTGTATGCTTGCACTGGGTAGCTATGTCCAACAGGTCAAAACAGGCTCACAACAAAGTGTGCGCTGTACCCTGATTGGTATGCTTGCTTAACGCTTCTTTCGTTTTGACGTTACATTTTTTTAATGCATGCATAAACCAAAAGGAACAACAGATTTTGCATAATGTAGTGGAGTAAAAAGTAAGATGTTTGACTTTGAAACGTAGCGGAGTAAAAGTAAAAAGTCACCAAAAATGGAAATACTTCAGTAAAGTACAGATACACGAAAAAAACTACTTAAGTACAGTAACGAATTACATTTACTTTGTTACTGTCCACCACTGGTTAATAATACTCACCGAAGCAGTGATTTGGGCTGAACATTGAAGATTAATAATTCATTGCTGTGGGCCTGTTGAGAAGACAGAAACAAGGCAAAGAACATACTAAATGTTTCTCAAGGTGAGTAAGCTTTGACTGAAAGTGATGTTCAGTTTTACATCCAGGCTCAGCAGAAGTTAGTTTTACTGGTTTTTCCTGAATCAGATTTGTAGAGAGATGATCTTTACTAGATTATTGTTGGCTGGACGCTAAAACTACATGAAGGGGTAATTCCACCGATTGTTCAAAATATCTGCAGAATTCAATCGTTAAGATGTAAGCAAAGTCATTCAAGGTGGTTGTAAAATGCACCATTCTAGAGAAACTTAGTCAGAATTTTCACAGCAATAATGATAGGAACCAGACATCTGACACATTTAATGCCTCTAATAACTAAAGAGAAATTTACTGGTTACAAATACACTGCATGATGCCAGAATTCCCACATTAGTATCTGGTGTAACCTGTAGCAGCGAGACACATTTCTCATTAATCATTAATCTGCTGGAAAATGTGAGTAAAACCAAAAGTGTCGTATTTATATTTTTGTTCTGTATACATTCATGGTGAAGGGGTTCATGCATGACATTGTAAGACACAATAGTACAAAAAGAAATACTTTTTTCAGGTTTCCATCTGTAAAACCATTGTCTACATTACATATAAATACTCAGAAGACAGGCTGTGATAGTTTTGGATAGTAAATAAAATGGTTATATTTGTATGACTCCTGGTCCCTATTATGAACACGCTGGTACATTTCCAGTATTTTCTATTAGCCAAAGCTGCAACATAAGTAACATTATTTCCTGTTTAAAAGAGCTAAACTGACATTTTAAATTCTTAAAAGAAAAATCAGTTTCCTATTTAAATAATATTAAATCAAATTAACATGCTACATAGAAAGTAAGACCTAACTGACTACTTAGCACAATGAGTTATGCATAATTACTCTGACATATTGATGTAGGTCTAACAGTAGCATTCGAATATAGTGCAAGTGCATTTAAAACAAGCTCAAAACAAAGTGTGCGCTGTACCCTGATTGGTATGCTTGCTTTGCGCTTGTTTCGTTTTGACGTTACGTTTTTTAATGCACAAATAAACCAAAAGGAACAACAGATTTCGTATAATGTAGTGGAGTAAAAAGTAAGATATTTGACTTTGAATTGTAGCGGAGTAAAAGTAAAAAGTTACCAAAAATGGAATACTTCAGTAAAGTACAGATACATTAAAAAACTACTTAAGTACAGTAACGAATTACACTGAATTACTTTACAAGTGCATTTACCTGGCTCATATTATTGACGTCAAAATTGCAACCCAGATTGGCCAAAAATGTTCTAAATAATAAATTGGCAGATTGCACATTCCTGCACTCGTAATAAAAAAAATGGCAATGTGCAAATGGCATTTCTGTTACTACTTATTTAATATTTAGCCAAAATGCCTATTTTCACACTCCTTGTCCCATAAAATCATAAGATATGAACACATGCAGGAAAATGAGCTAAGATTAAGTGTCAAAAACATCTTTGTCACTTTGTGGGTTGGCTGGGTGCCAGGCTGCACTCACCGCTCGCTGGTGTGAGAGAAGGTTATTGGCGCAGCCTCCAAACACAAACACTTCCCCATCTGGACCTGAGCATGCTGTGTGCCAGAGTCTTCATGAAAAACACACACCACATCATAAAAAGAATGTAGCATAAACAGCATTTGTTATGTTATGGGTTGCAATTTACAGCCTCACCTCAAATTCACAGACTAGAGACGACCAACGCACCTGGGACTTTCCGTGTGGCTGTGTTTAAATGGTCTCCACTCATTTGTGCTCACACAGTACAGCCAGGCATCACCTATGCAACAGAAATCCTCTTGAAATCTGCCATGTCTTGAAAAATGTGCACTTTGTGTCAATGTCATAATTTATGTCTTACTCACTCAGTGTTTCTCTGTTGGTAGTAAAGCCACCGAACAGGAAGATGTGGTCAGATGAAACAGGTATGAAAGAGTGCCATGAGCGGCCAACTGGACCATGCTGTGGTACAGACCTGAAATGAGAATGAACTTCAGCTTCAAAACGTGACCTTTCTATAGACTGAAATCGGAGCAATTACTGCAATAGCAGAAAAAATGAAATTTATTTCTGCATATTGAGACACTCGCTTAAGGGTTAAAAGGTGGGCAATATGATGACGTTTATGGTTAGCACAAAAAAATTACATCACAATTTGCTTTTCTGAGCATATCGTAGATATTGTCTGTACTTAACACTGACCAGCGTTATTTGGTTTACTGGATAATTTTAAGTTAAGTTAGATTTAATTCTGCAGAGTATGTGATTCATAATTCATATTTTTTTTATTTTTTTTTTTATTTTTACCCAGTTTTCTCCCCAATTTAGTGGTCGCCAATTCCACCCGCTAGTTAGGACTCCCCCAATCACACAGTACTATCAACGCTAGGAGGATGAAGGCTAACGCAGACTTCCTCCGAGACCTGTGAAGCCAGCCACCGCTTCTTTTCGAGCTGCCGCTCACGCAACGTCATTGGACAGCTGAACGCGCTCGGAGGAAAGCGCCAACCACCAGATCTGTTACGTCAGCTAACAGACGCCTGCGCTGACAAGCATCGCGCTGAGTGAGTGATGGGGGGGAGACGGGAAGCCATCCCACCCCCACAGAGAGAGCGAGGCCAATTGTGCTCTCTCGGACTCCCGGCTACGAATGGCTGTAGCATCACCAGGGATCGAACTCGCGATCTCCTGATGATAGGGCCAACGCTTCGACGGTTGCGCCACTCCTGTATTCATAATTTTTGGCAATATTTCTTATGTGTGGCAATGATGGCTGTTTTTTGTCTGTTACAACTTATAAAAATCATAATGCTTATCAGATACTGTGAGAATGCATAGATGTAAACTTTCACAGACAGCACATCTTATACTCACAGCTTCCAAACTGTTTAAATTCACTGATGCCCATAAAGAACATTTCTATCAAATCAATATCTATTAAAGTCATTAGCAACAACAGCAATTCATACAGTTCTGAGCTGGTAATCAAACTAATTTGTACATACAGAATCAGAAATTTATTTTTACTTTATATTTACCTGTTTAACAGTTAAACAGCTACACAGTCTCTCTAAGAGACTGAGAGTGTCAGGCTTATCGGCCGTACACATCTAAAATTGACACAAAACCATATTTTACATGGGAGAATTGTATGGGTTGAACACCTATGAAAATCTCTTAAAGCTATGCTACGTAAGATTTGGGGATTTTGAGACCTCTTTGGTGGAAATGTGTACTTTTTGTAGCGTCAGTTATGCTTCGGACCCAAAGCAGACGAATCTGATTATCGCAAGCAATTTAAAAGAGCATTCAAAGAGAACTCACTAAAAACTTTTGAGCCTGCATGTGTGACATTAATATGTAAAAATATATGACGTGGTTCGAAAAACACCTGCAAAATCTGACCTGACACCTCTGACTTTTTAATTATTTCAAGCTTTACATGGCGTCTCACAACAGTGCATGAAACATGTTGTTGCTGCCCCACCCCAAAAAAAATTCATGTATCTGTTTTTTCAATTTTTCTATGTGTTTTGAGCTCAGCAGCTGCCCTTTACATTGCGTGGAACTTTTGTGATATAACATTATACTTTACATTAACTTACATTAAAAGTAAGTTTTAGCCTCTTTCTGTATAGTTGCTATTTTGGAGATACTTTTTTGTTTTTTTTTTTGACAGTGATGATATTTTAGTATGTTTTTCCCCTCCTGAGTCTCCTATATTTTTTGCCATATCAACCACTTCTACCGTCAGCATTTGTTATTTCTTAGATCTACACTACAGAGGACTATTGTACTACTTCTCCATAATTTGAAAGCTCACATTTCGCTCCATTCCCAGGTGTCCATGTTGATATAGTACAAGTCATTCAGACGATGATCCTGTTGAGAAAGATGCCTTCTTTAATGCATACAAACTGAAAAAATGTAAATAAATTATATAAACATATATATATGACATGTATTGTTACCCACCATGTAACGCCCTCCAAAGACATAACCTCGGTTTCCTACAGTGGAACAAGCATGGGCTGCTCTTGGGGTTGGAGCATTTCCCTGCATAACATGTGACATTAGCAGTGTAAAACAAATAAGAAAACACAGCTTTGTGCTTAAGAATAGCTGAATACTTACTCTGTGAACAAATAATACATTGACACTCAAAACACTCTCAGTAAATGAACCAACAGATCAAAATAACCCACCTTTGTGATGGGTTGACTCCAAGACGATGTTTCAAGATTGAGAACGTGAATGTGATTGTTCCAACCCCGTCCCACGTGGTTACCCTGGAAGAGCAATAGTTTTAGACAATGCTGTCTTCCACGACATTAACAGTAAAGCATTGTGTCATGCCATGCATAATATCTACATTTAAAACACAGATTGGCTCCCCACCATGAGCGAATTCTCATCTAATTCAAATGTTCCGCGATGACCTGCTTGTGCCACATAGCCATAGCCCCCAAAATACGCCAAACTGTGAACACGGAGGCAGAAATCATTAGAACAAACTTTACAAAAGCAACCTGCGGAGACAATACAGGCCCACGCTGTGCAAATCTAATCCAGAAAAGTCAAAGCACTGAATAGTTGAGCGCAGTAGTCTTCAAATCTGCACATTTAATTCAGTTTCCAGTCCTAGATTTTGTAATGACAAGTAATAGTTCACTGACTGGCCACCTAGTATCATACCCACCAACGAATACAAAGTCCAGAACCAGATACTGGATTTAAGGTCCAGATTTGAAGACCTCTGGTAGCTCCAACTCTAAGCTCCTGAAAGACTTGACCATTATCTAATGAGTTGAATACTAACTTGTTCTTGTACACCCAACAGCCCAGTTTGTCTTTACACGAGGGGGCTAAACCCTTCAGGTCCTTCATCCTCTCCCAGAAAAGCGTTGATGCCCTCAAGGGCAGACGATAAACCTGAACAGTGTGATGAAAAACCATTAAGCCAGACCCCAGCCTTGACCTTAATTACAATGAAATATTCCACAACAGCAGCTGAAGAAAGGCCTCACCAAATTAGTATTGCCTCTAGCATGATGGCCTCCAAAGAGATAAAGAATGCCATCTATGCATACACCACAGCTGCCTGACATAGGGGCAGGAAGGTCTCCTTTTGACAGTTTCATTCTCCTGCAAAATGCAGATATGTTGTACTGTAAGTTGCAAAATCTTGTCTTGTTAGAAACTCTGATTTGTCAGGGTCATTCCCTGCCTCATTTCAATTCATGATTTTGTATTTTTGTCCATCAGTGTGCTTTTACCATAATAGCCAGCATGCCTTATTCAAATACTTCAGTTATTAGCCACTGATATAGAAATTAATAAACATCATTTTTTCTTTGTTAAAAGAATATTTCAGTGTGACTCTCTACTCCAAAACACTTGTAATCTTTCAAAAATTACTTCCACCTTCAAGACACATCATCAGATGTATGTGATGTATCAGATTTTCCTAGTCTTTAAACAAGAAAATCATGTTCTAGAGGTTACTTCGGCACTGCAGTTAAAGGTTAATTGGCATTTTTCAAACTGATGTAAGGGTTTTTCATTTTGGCCATAGTGTCTCTTTTATACGATGGCGTTTTAGGGCCACTGTTAATAAAAATAAAAATAGTAGACTTAGAGAACAAAGTTGTAATATTTCAAGAAAAAAAGTCGTACTATTTTGAGAAAAAAGTTGCACTATTTCGAAAATAAATTCATAATATTTCAAGAAAAAAAAGTCGTAATATTTCAAGGATAAAGTGAGGGGGCGTTGGGGTCTCGGTTGCTGTACTGGCACCAGAGTTTCACTCACTCCTGTCTGCTTGTGAATCAATCATTTTGATTATCATTCTCATTGTCTGTGAAACTTCATGCCCTCTTTGAATGGCACGGAGATGTAGCCACTGATAGCCGTGTAGACGGTCAGTGCCTGCGATTCTCCTTCGACAAAACAGACGGACAGTTTCCTCCGAGTCTGTCTGGTTCTTTCATCTAAATAAACACAGTTTCCTGCACAGCCCTTTCTTATACTAATACTGGTGCTGATGTGCCAGGAGAGACAGAGAGACTGAGTATTTCATTATGGGTGAAATCGATTTGAAAGTATAACTCCACCAACTCCTCAACGCCCCTCATTTCAACACAAGGAGGTGCTGCCTTCCCTTTGCAAAGCCTTAGGCCACAATATTGCGACCTTTACTGGTATTAACGCCACTTTAATGTTGTAATTCTACAACTTTTTGTCTCAAAATATAACGACTTTTTTCTCGAAATATTACAACTTTTTTCTCAAATTAGCACGATTTTTTTCTTCTCGAAGTCTACTATTTTTATTTTTATTAACAGTGGCCCTAAAATGCCGTCGTACATTTAAGTTTGAATAAAGGTCTGTACTAAATTGATTTCACGATGCATTCTTTAGTATTTTATTCTTGAGGGACGACTACTGTATCCACCAAAATTTACCATCTTCCTGTCTCCATGTTGTATATCCAGACTTCATTCTTTGGCAAGTACAGGTCAAAGAAGGCTGTTGCTTCAGCATTCTAAAAAAAAATGAAAAAGAGACATTTACTTGGCTTTAGTTCCAAAATGAACATAACTTCAGGTATTATCAGCGCATACACCTGCTTTGCTCACCTTGTATCCTCCCCAAACATACATGCAGTTCCTATCGACCACAGCAATATGTCCACTCCTCTCTGCTGGAGTGTCTAAGTGAAAGGACTTGGAAGTGTCAGTGTCCAGAACGACCTCTTCCTCCTCGACCCAGTCAAAGTCTCTTACATCTTCTGGCGCATCCCATTCGAAATCCCCCTCCTCTTCCTGCTCAGAATCGCCTTCGTCTTCGTCCCGGACGTTGTGGAGATCACCGTCGTCGTCCATCTCTGCCATTCTTGACTAGCTACAACGGGCAAGGACCAAGTGTCTCGTTTTAGGGATCTCACACAAGTTCTAACTGTGCTAACAACAAGCTCCACACAGTAATGCACTGGCTATAACGTTACATCGCTTTTAAAGCACAGTGACAAGTGAAGCAGACCACGGTTCGTCTCTAATTACAAAATGGGGGACAAATGTATAAACAACTCTGTTTGCATTTTAGTTGTGTTTTTAATCGCCCGTTGTTTACCACATTGAAGTCCTTCACACACACTGTGCTGTTTGCTGCAGCTAAGAGCGACTCAGAGTGACTGGCGCACACATTCACGGACTAAAACGTACAGGTTAACATTTACAGTGCCCTCGTCTAAAAGATCTCTCAGATAACATGAAAAATGCAGCTATATCCACAGAAACAGTTATTTTGGTAGACTAAAAAAACGCAATAGAACGTACCACAACGGGTAGCGATGAACCGACTCCTGAATAAGTCGTTCTTTTGAACTGGTTCATTTCAATAAACCGGTCGAACCGATTCACAAGTCAAACTGAACTTAAAGTAAAAGGGGCAAAATAAGAAAAATGCATTATAATATTTGTCAACAGCAATGCCACAGAAGTCTCTAAATCGAGACTTTATAGTTTATTAAAAATTATTGTGGTGACGTATCTTGATCATGGGAGGATCTTTTGAAGAACTACAAGGGCTTTGGGGCGAATAGGGCAGGCTATCTAATTTTTTCTGCTAATGCAGAAGGAAGCCAGATTACGCCTGCACTCATTAGCCCATACATCAGTGGGTACACTAGCATGTTTGTATTAAGTATTTACATAATGCATCCTGAGTACTGTAGTGAGCTGAAGCTGAGGGGTGAAATGTTTACATTTACATTTATGGCATTTGGCAGATGCTCTTATGCACTTATACGTTTACTTATGTTACAAATGTAGGTGAATGTAGCATTAGGAGCCTTGAATATTATATTACACGGCAAATAACATTAAATGATAATTTTAGGTTGGAGTGCCCCTTAAAATCCCAACACAAAAATGTCGCGTCACATGTTAAGATCAAACTTTTAGCATTTGCCTTACAACACTTCTTGACTTTATTTGTTAGTAGACTGAGCGGACATCAGACTTCCCCGCCAAACCAAAAAAAAATGTATATATATATATATATATATATATATATATATATATATATATATATTATATATATTTATATATTATATTATATTATTTTTATATATTATATTATATTATTTATATTATATATATATATATATATATATATATATATATACGTCCTATTCATTTGGAGAATTTAAAAGAATCGATTAAATACAATGAAGAATCGACACTCCGATCACTATCATATTCTACGGAAGCCTGTATTTTGAAAGGCCAAACGGAAAGCGGCTTCAAGCAACATCACGCTGCCATGTTGGGAAGGTCATTTGGAGAAGCAAGCTAATTGTGCGCATGCACACAAAGAGTACAGCGCGGGATAGTTGGCTGCCTCAGAAAAAATACTGCATTGTTTTTTTAATCGCATAACTAGTTATTTATTGTTACCAATGGCCGATTTGTGTCTGTCTTGCTATAAATATACTGAAAATTCACATAAGCCTGTCAGAATTTAGAAAAAGACTATGTCCAGGTAAAATTAAACGGCCTTTAGCCTATCCGTTTCCTAACATTGGTAAGCTGTTGAGCGTTTTAATGCTAGCATTATCTGGATAGTCTACTCGAAGACGCTCTTTAGTGTTTTGAACGTCGAATGTCTTTTAACTTTAACTGTTATGCACGTATTCGTTTAGCTAAATCTTATGTCGCTTCCATTAAAATGTTTGAGTTTTAGCATGTCTAGTAAATAGCTAATGTGTGAGAGCTAACTTTAGCCAACTTGAGATAGGCACTGTTCAGTGGCATCGTATATGATGGGCAGGTCTGGTAGTGACTTACTGCTATGCAAGTAGTAAGTTAGCTAGTTTTGTCCGTTGTAATTACGACGGTTAACTATATCGAAGTGGTGAAGCAAGCGCCACAACAGCGGTGGGTGTTTCCTGTGGTCAGAACTGAAGCAATCGTCGCTCCTTGCCTTTGCATTTAAAGCTTCAGTGTCTGTGATCGACTTCGCTCGTTGATGCTGAGCAGCGATGAAGTTACAGTGCGACGTCGAGGTTATAAATCGGATGCTGCCCACATTTGGACTCAAAAGTAAAGGGAAAGGAACTAGGGCCATGCTGTCCATAGGAAAACATGTGGATAAAACTACCCAGCGTAGTAATGTGTATTTACTGATCTGTACGGCAAAAGATAGAGCTGGATCCAAATACAAGGTACATGTCTTTGTCCAACATCATAACTACAGTTATTTCTGTATAGTGACTGTGTATGCGTATTGAGTTTCATTTCATTAATAAACAGTCGTGTAATTTTTAAATATAAGACCGCTATGTCTCATATTTATTTATGTTGTATGCGGAAGTAGGTTCTTAGAGGTTTTGTTGCCTTCTAGCAAAAGTAATACAAGTTTTAGCCGGTTTGTGATGACTCATTAGATACTCAGAATGACAGTGACTTTCATACTTCTTTTTTACATTTTAAAGCTGAAGGAGAACATCGAGAAGTTCTTTACCTGGTTTGTTGAGGAGGGCAAAGCAACAGTGCGACTGAAAGAACCTGCAGTGGACATCTGTTTGAGCAAGGTAAGACAGATCTATGGCCAGTTATAAGCCTAGGAGTGTTGGTATGTTAATTCAGTATTAGTAGAACGGTAAGAAGTAGTGATGAATTGCTTAATTTTCCTTAACTAAGAAAAGTAGGCAGTAATACTTTATATTGCTTTCATTTATACAAGCCACAGTCTATCATCCCACAAAATGTAAAAGCATTCCCTGTGTTTTCTGCCATATGGCATATTTTCTATACTGGATGTTAATCTTAACAAATAATGCTCACACTTCCATGCAGCCGTGCTTATGTGCCCTTTAAGGAGTGTGGATCATCACTCGCTTGTTAATGTTTACGTGGGATTATGTCTGAACCTTGATTAAACCCTTAATTATTTAATTGGATATACATATACTCTGCACATCACAGTCTTGTAGCAAAGCCTTATTTTCTAGGTGTTTGTAGCTCCATCGAAGTCCTGATAAATCCAATCATCACGAGTCCTGCAGTAATGTTTCTATTCACATATAAAGGAAGATGCACTAATTTGCACTTTCAGTTTGCTACATATGTTTGGAAATTCACTATATGCTAAAGAACAACTTGCATCTGAAACTTTCCCTGACTGTGGGGGTTCATGTTAACATTGATGTTAACATATGTTTATACACTGGAATCACTTGGGGAAGAGGTTTGCATACCACTAAACTGCATAGCTCTTCATACTTAATTACTGATGTAGCAATATCTTCCCATTCACGTCTGCTTTCTGCGCAATTACTGGGTTTCAAGAGAAGCTATCTCTTAGTCATGCTGTGGGCTATTTAACACAAATTATACTTTGTGATTAATATGCTAGCAGGACATGTTAAGTTACATATGCATTTTGCATACTGTATATTCCATCTGTTTGAGGACTTTAGGTGTATGTTGCTACGAATGTTAGTTGCAGTCTTGCTTTTTGCCCATATAAGTGTATTATATTTTCCATATTTTTCTATTTATGTGGTGTAATTGTTTTTTTTTTCTTGAAAATTGATATTTTTCTTGTGATTGCAACAAACATCACAAAGGTTTATCAAATTGGTTCTCTGCTGTTTTTCTTTGTGTCTTCTCAGATAGCAATCAATTGATGAATCTATGTTAAATTGTCAGTGTTAACTTAATTGAATTTGCGTTTCAATTTTATGTTGATACTTCACTTACTTTTGTATCCTGCATTATTATTGCGAGAACATTGAAAGTCGACTATAAACTCATCTAAATACTTTTGGTACTTCAGTTGATTTTCAGCCTTTTAAAAATACTACTCGTACACTACAACATAGTCTGTCCTGGTTTATCGCAATGTAAACATTTGGCCTATAAACAAAACATACGACATTCAGTTAGTTTCAGACAAAATTGTTTTCTTAATCGGATTCAGTGGATAGCAAGGCAGCAAGAAAATGTTTTAAAAAGTCCTTTTAAGCAGTGCAGAAATATTCACATAATTTATAAAAACAAAGCGACTGGTTGACTTCGGGAGATGTTCTCTTTTCTTGAGTGCTCTGGAAAAAAGCAAGGAGCTGTTTTTCTTACCAGTTGCACACAAAGCATAACAGTAAAAATATTTTCCTTTCTTACTATTATTTCAAAAGCATACAGTTACATTTCTCAACTCAGTGAATGAATGTTTAATAGTTAATTTTCATTAGTTAGAATATAGCTACTATCCAGAACCATTCCCGGGCATTTTGCAACTGTAACATTAAATCAGGTAGAACTTTAAAAGGATTAATATTCAAGTTGAGACAATGTTTTTGGTAACTCAAACCGTTACCAAAAAACTGTTTTTGCTTACAAATTGAAAGTAATTTAACTTTATGCCTTATTCTGGGAAAAAATTTTTATGGGGTATTGATATGTATTCCAGTATTTTGTAGTGCACAGGAAATCTGGGTTATACTGTTTATGGATTATGTTTCCTAGTGAGCAGTTCTGTAGTAATTACCTTTCACCTTGTTCCCACAGCTGGTAGAGCTATAGAGCACTTTCAGGGGAATCAAAGGGATCATTTTGTGTGTTGTCTTAATGTAGTTCTGATGATCTAGAAACCTTATGTTCTCTGTGCTCTAAAACAAGCTTTGATCTTTCTGACCTGATTCTGGAGTTCTACCATAATTTTAAGAGAATATTCTGAGTCATTGTCCTACTTTTTCACACTCTCTGAGGTATAGTTGGAATACTATTTTTAAATGAATAAAGTGAATAAGTGATGATGGTGCCATAGGAACAGCCAGTTATTATACTTAAAGAAATTATTCACATATTTTTTAAACAAAAGTTAATCAATTATAATTAGAATTTTTTTCAGTAATTATAACAAATTCTCACAAAACCAACAACGCACCAACAGCTGGGTTGCAGAGAGTCTCTGTCTCTCCTTCCCCTGTGGTTGACTTTATAGACAAGAGGGTTTTTTTCCTTTTAAAATTGGCATCTTGTGCCAGCTGGCATCATGCTGGCCAGTAGTTTTGAAAAACTGACTGGTTGCTGGCTTCATAAACACTGGAGATGTGCAGACTTTCAGCTGCCCATATTCTTGGTACTGACGTACAAAGGGGAGAGACCTAGTACTTTGGGAGTTAGCTGTGAGGAAAACGAGGATTAATTTGATTCTGATCTAAATCCCAACAGTGACGTTAGTGATGACTATATTGTTAATGCTTTGGTGAACTCAGGGCGGGGTGCACCTTGTGGTCATCTGCTGTGTGTGGTGCATCATTTTAGAATTGAAAAATGCTGATTTGCACTGTGCTCCTTTCTTGCTTTACAGGCAATAGTTGAAAGAAGCATGAAGACATTCATCCTACATTTATGTGAACATAAATACAAGTACAGATTTTAGTGTAAATGGAATGTGATGTGGAACCTAGAAAAAAACAGCATAAAAATTCTTTTACTGCCCTAACTATTTTGTCCTCTTACAGGCCTTTTCCACTGGGAACTTACTCAAATGTAGGCCAAACTGCTGTCATTTATAATGGACGCAAATGAGTGTAAAGTCGATGATTGTGGCTTTTGTTTGTGTGTATTTTGCAGGCAGATGCCAACAGCTTGAAAAACTTCCTCTCTGCTGCTCGACTTGCACACAGGGGATCTGACATAGACAGCCTTCCCCTCTCTACACTCACCCCTGTCCGTGCCAGGGATGTGGAGAAACCCAAGAAAAAGCTCACAATCATGTCCAAGAAGGACTATCCCCTCACATCTAACTTTCCTTATTCTCTGGAGCAGCTCCAGGTGTCTTACTGCAAGCTGTCCAGAGTGGACATGCGCATGCTGTCTCTCAAAGCACTCCGCAGACTGGACCTCAGCAACAACCACATCAAGAAACTCCCAGCCACCATTGGTGACCTTAGTTGTCTGGCAGAACTTGTTCTCCACAACAACCACCTGGAGAGCTTCAGTGAAGCACTGTGTCTCTCCACTCTCCAGTGCTCTCTGCAACATCTGGACTTAAGCCAGAACCGTCTGCAGGTTTTACCTGACCAGTTATGCCAGCTGCGGGAGCTGGTCAGCCTCAAGCTGGATGATAACAAGCTCTTGCGGCTTCCTTTTCGCATTGGGCAGTTCACAAAGATGCGCTTCCTTTCAGCCGCACACAATCAGCTGACTGTTCTCCCTGGAGACTTCCGAAAGCTGTCCCTGGAGAACCTGGACCTGTTTGGTAACCCATTCACCCAGCCAAACCCTCTGGACCACACCATCCAGCTTACATTCCCTCTCACATTACAAGAGATGGCCTCAAGAGCTGTGATAAAATTCAGGTGAGAGCCCTTAAGGTACATAAGATATGATGCATGGGAGGAGTGGGGTACTAACTAATGCTAAAGTAACCTTTTACATTGTGTTTTCATCAGTTGTTGTGATGTTTTTGTTTTTTAAACTGAAACTGTACTGAAAAGACAGGTTCCACACCGCAGGGTTAGTTGTAACACAGTATTTCACCTATTTCTCCTAAAATAAATAATGAAATATGTCTGAGAGAATATTTTCCCACATATAAATTCAAAAGTCATTTTTTGTAGGTTTTTAATGCACAGATCCATAAAAATCAAGATATACATATAATGTAAGTAAAATATATTTAATTTTTATTGTACTTACATTTGCTCTTCCACTTTGTGGTCAAAAAGAAATTTTCCACATTTGAATCTTTTTAACAAATAATATTTGTTATGATGAATTTATCTTTATTTGTTTACAGGGGAAGCTTGTTTGGTTCAAACATCATAGACTTGTATCAAATTCACTGTGTTTACATCAATTGACCAGGCTTTTATTGACTATTAAAACGAATCCCTCTGTGTTACAATTAATCGTGTATATGGGGTTAATTGTATCTTTTGCACTCGCATCATAATTGAAAGGTGCTAGAAACAAAGTTTACATTTTCATTTGTAGCAGAGCTGTGTAAGCCTCTTGTATATAGTTTAAAAAAGTATTAATCTTGCTTAAATACTTAAAATTATTAAGCAAAAAACAAATCTAACCCCAGTGGAAGACCAATGAAATGTTATTTAATTTGTGTCTAAATTGTGAACTCATGCGAGTGCTCTTTAAAATGGCTACATACTGTTATGTCTGTTCACACATCACAATTCCTTATGGACTTTTTTTTACATCACAACAGAATCCCCTATGGACCTCATCTCATTCCCTTCCACTTGTGCCATGAGCTGGAGTTTGCAAAGTTCTGTGATTGTGGCCAAGCCTGCTTGAACTCCTACATTCAGACAGCGGTTAGCATGAACCTGCACCTGGTCTCTCACACTGTAGTGCTGGTGGACGACATGGGTGGCACAGAGGCTCCTGTGCAGCGCCATTTTTGCTCCCTCGTGTGTTACTGTGAGTTCTTGGACGGTTGTGTGCAGAGAGGCATGAGATGAAAAGAACTTCACATTTCTACAGACACTATTTCCAGTAAAAGTGATGACCGTGTTGACACTGAGAAAACTGCAGTGCAGCAAAACCGTGTTTGTCAGCTACCTGTCTAGGTTTGCTATGGTTAATCTTGCTACTGTTGCAACAGTGGCAGTTCACTACGGCAGTATCTACACATCAGTGTTAGCCAGTGAGGAAACCTCATATAGTGAGAAGTGGCATGTGCTTGCAAGGCTGGGCTTTATTTTATCTTTTTCATTGACCTGACATACTTGGTGCATTGACAATTGCAGTGAGCCTTTCTCTTCCAACATTGTAGTACTTCTGTGTTCTTGTTAATAAATAAATAAAACTGATTTAACAACAGAACCATGAGTCTCTCCAATTGTTCTCCTTGATGTCTTGGTTATCCCTAGGGTGAGTCCAGCAAAACTGTGATGAATAACCTCATTTCTCCATTATAGTAACTATACAAGAGAAAGAAACTATAACCTTAACTTTGAATGGAAGTGAATGGAAAATAATATTGGACCATTTGTATAAAAAATGGCAACAATGGAGATACAAGGTTTTGTCCTGATAGCAACAATATATTTTTTCAAAATTGTACTTGACTTAAGAGGGTCTTAAGTACTGTCCCCCTTTTGCTGGAGATGCTAGGAGAGAGAAAGATACATTTTTATGGTAAAGTATGATCATTTAGTATCACACTTTTGTTATCACTCATGACGACTATAAACTACAACTGTTATCAAAGTATTTATGCCATGATATTTCAGAATAGGCCTAATCGTATGTGAGCAAGTAACAATTTTGAGCTACTAATAGTAGCTTACCTTTTTGATGTCTCTGTGACACTGATATTAAGAAAGTGAGACTGGAAATTGTGTGGAATCATGTTGCATTTAGACCTAATTCAACAATTCCAACATTTTATCACTTCAATAAAATGGCACCTAACCTAGAACTGAAAAAGAACAGAAGACACAAAAGACAGCAACCAATCAGTGGTAAGAGGACAGAATCAAAGGTGGAATGGAAAAATAGAGAGCAGATTTTAAAACATTAAGCTAGTTCATGCTATTCATTCAAAAAATGTAATTAAATGTTGCTCTAAGTAGGATTCTACTGTACTGCCAGTAGGCTATAGTAAATTAATTTTCTATACGCTTAAAACTCTGTCTTTAATAGAAGAAAACATAAAAAGTGAAAAACAGTCCCTAACCAAGGTCAATTATATCTGATTAAACACTATATTCAATAAAGTCCTAACACATCTACATTTAGAAGATTTGTCACAACCCACAGAAACACAAAGGATGTGAATGTATTTTAAATTTCTGGAGTTACAAGTCATTGTAATTGTTGAATGTAAGCAGGTCATTAGTCCAATTCAAACCACAGAGAATTCTGGAAGGTGAGGCCAGCGTATGTAGCATGGTCACCTATAATAACCTCACTGCCATCCTCAGGGTTTTTCTCTCTCAGGAGGGCAGTGGTTTTCATTTTGAACTCTGTTTGGCTCTGCTCAGAAGAATGAACACTGTCCACTTGTTCTTTTAGCTGTGCCTCGACTTTCTTTGTGAAAGATGAAAACACAATGTCCTTGTTTTCTGGTGTAGGCCTGATCTGTTCAGGTGAACTGTTCACCACTTTCTCTTCAGCCAGCATTCCAGTCTCCTCAGGGAGGCTCACGGTCTTAATGATATCCTCATCCAGAGTAGAATTTAGTTGGGAAGGACCAACACTGATCACTGAAGGCTCCACCACAGACTTTTGAATGGGCTGTTGGGATGAGCTGTAGGGATCACATGGAAAATCACGGGACTCTTGTTCTAAATTTGATACGCCATGAATCATTTCTTGCTGTGCTACAGTGAGCTTATGTTGCAAAACATCTGCTATTTCAGCTCTCTGAGGACACTGTTTGACATTTTCAAGTACAGCAACAGGTGGAACAGTGGAAAGTGCTGTGGGTTCAACATTTGAACACTTCCCCTGCAAAGCAAAATTGAGGTAAGAATCAGTTCGGCATGTAGCTCCAATAGTTGTATGTGATCAGTTATCTACAATTATTAAAATGTTATGTATGCTGCGACTGCACATAATTCCATATCTACTGTACTGTGCAAAGGCAGAGACCACCTTTTCATTTAGTTAATTTCCAGTCAAAACTACAAATTATGTATTTTTCAGTTTCAAGATAAAAACAGACAACATATTTAACAGAAAAAATCAACATCCATCTATCCATCGATTGTATTCAGTGTGCCATTTTTACATCTTCCATTCTTTTCAGGAGACTTGCTTTCTCCTGAAAGAAATCTGCAGGGACACTTTTCCTCATTTCCAAAGTACAGTCTTAAAAGTTGGTTACATTTTTTGCTTATCACTATCCAAGTAATCCGTATTACCAATTTACATTCACCAGTCCATAAGACCATGCTCCACATCTCAGCTGTACAGGTCCGATGTTCTAGTGCACATTTTTTTCTTTTTTCTTTTTCTCATAAGCGGCTTCTTGACCCAACACAGACTCACAGCGTTGTCTTCTCACAGTGAAAGGATGGACAGAAACACCTGTGGATTTTTCCAGATCTGATTTTCTCCTATTTCTCAAAGATGAAATCTTCAAGTACTGTTCATCTGATTTTTATGAGACCACAGTTTTGGTGGTCTACTAGGTCTTGCACAGTTGTTAAGAGTCCTTTTTTCTTCTTTTTTTTTAACTTATTTTTCTTTGACAATTTCCTTTCCCTCCTTTCTCTTCATGGAAGTGCTTTATTTTATATCCAATCTTCTCAGAAAAATAATAAAAAAAGGTAAAACTTGCACCTAAAAGCTGTTTTGTTAAAAGGTGGTATCTGACTTTTGCACAGTACTGTATTTTCCTTTTAAACGTGTTTTTAGAGAATACAAATATCTCATATCTTGCAAACGTCTCTTACCTCCTCTCCTAAACTGCAGCTTCCAGTGTGTTCCGTACTGTGATGCTTGGAGGACATCTTTGAGGTGCAGAACTCTGTCCCAGGGAGGAGGCAATCTTCTGTCTCATCAGTGCTATTCTCCTCTGATACATATGTCTCAGTGTTGGTTTCTTCACAGATGAGCAGTGCATCTACTGCCTTGCTTGACTGTGAGGGATCACAGAGAGGTTCCAAACAATCTGTTTTACTCTCTACCCTGTCAACTGTCAGCTGAAGCTCACTTTCATGATCCTGCACAGGCATGTCTCTAAGACACTGAGCATTACAACTAGAATCTGAGAGATAAGTATCATTGTATTCATCTTTGTCCACAGAGGCCACATCTTTTGCTTCACATACCTCTCCCTCAGCTCTGTCTGCACTGTCCCTGCCATCTCTCTCCTCCTCATCACTTACGGGCTGCTTCCCCTCAGGATGAACTACAGCAGATTCCTTAGCTGGCAGAACAGGTAGAGTTATGGTGAGCTGTTTTTTAGCCTTGTTGAATTTGGCATCTCCTTTGTCATTATCCACAGGATAAGATAACTGTAGCTCCAGTTTGTAGGCCGGCTTTTGAGACTCCAGGACCAGACTTCTTTCTGTCACATTTAGGTCAACGTCTCCAGCAGATTTGATGAGGGGCAAATCAATGGTGACAATAATTTCTTTGGGGCGTGGACCCGGTGCAGAGTCCCTAGAACATCTGTAGTCCAGCAGATCCACCACTGATCTGTATTTTACAGTGTAGTGTGGTTTTGTGGGCTGTCTGGGTGCTGAGGAACTCTCTTTGATAGGATTCTGATGATCCTGGGGAGGAGCAGTGGTGGGCTTTTCATTTGGTGCAGTGTCCGGGTAGCGAATGGGCAGAAGTTTCTCATCGGGAGAAGCTTTATCTTGTCCAGGGTGACCAGGAATAGGCTTTCGTATGACAGCTGGGTGAGGCACACCTTTGTATTGGATTTTCAATACCTTTGCATTCAATTTGTCCAGTTTGACTTTAAATGCATCTTCTACCCCTTGGATGGCAGTGCTGTTGACGAGCTTCATAAACCTCGCGTTCTTTCCCGCTATGTAAAGTGTGTCCGGATGGAAAACGACGTCGTATATCGTGCACGTGTTCCCTTTGGCGTCTCCGTCAGATCTCCCCGGTGCCAGACTGTACGGCAATGACCAGCGCTGACCCACCCTGCCGTCCTTTCCGCTACCAGCTTCACATGTAGGCTTGCTGATCACGTCGTTGGAGCAGATGTTGATGAAGCACTTTTCTTTCCCGTTAACGCTCGTCTTCAAGACGTGGTGCGGTTTGGGATGGACGAACTGCACGTTCATGCCTCTTTCCTGCTCTAACTGTGTGATTTCCTCTTCATACTTTTTCTTATTTTCTGGTTTTGATATCTCCTCGGCGTATTCGTGTAGCATCTGACGGAACTTCTCATCCTTTAGGGCTTTGCTTAAACGGTTTATTTCGTCCGTCGTCAGCTGAAGTTCTTCCAGTTTAGTCCCAGAATCCATTGTGAATGTTTACTCGCCCTAAAACTGCGTTAGCTTAGCGCTTACCCGCCTAGCTAGTAACTACTATGTCAAAGACTTTGGAGACTCCAGTGTAAAAGTAAAGATATAGTCACCGGTCTCCTGTATTGCTGTGTGCAGTAATTTCAAGAATGCAGCTAGTTGCGGCGAAGTTTATGATGCCCGGTAAAAGAAGCGCTATGTCTCCAACAATCGTGCCTTCTTTTTCACTCCTAACCGCTTATCCAATGTGTCCGTAGCCATGGCAACCTGTCACTTTAGCCTTGTTGCAATGACGGTAGATTAACGCCAGAGGGCGTAACGCGGAGGATCTTGTAAATATTTTTTTAGAACTGTAAATACATTCTTTGGTTACATCACGTACAGTTTTTGATATGTAAAAGTCGTTTATTTATCCTAAGGTATATTTGTGAGGAAAGGAATCTACGTTCCCCTCTATTTCAGTAATTCACATTTAACATAATAATTTTGTGTTTATGTTCTTTTGGTATAACAGTGCTAGAAAAAACAGCATAGACCAGCATGTCAGCATGGCTGGTCACCAACAAAACCTGCTTATGTTGTAGTTTGGATGCTGGTATATTGGTCAACCAGCATGACCATACTCGGTGACTAGATAAACCAGCACTAGACCAGCATAAACTAGTTTGTAGTGTTGCTTGGCCGTTGCTCACAGCTCTCACCTAATTTAGTATCATCCCAAAAAGAGAATGATAGCCTCCAACAAACTTTCGGTTGCACTGTAGTAACTCTTTTGTACTTTTATTAACAGGATTCTCAGCCAACATGTACAAAGAGTAAATGAATGAAATAAATGAAGAATGTGTCCTCAGGCCACTCAAGTTTTATATAATATTTTTTGCATAAAGGGATAGTGTTGTTGCTATTTTCAATGGAATATTTCAGTGTCTGGATAGTGGTGTTAGCGTTTAGTTTAGTGTGTAGAACTACTTCTGTGTTTGCACTTTGGCTTAAAAGAAAAACAAGAAAATATTAACTTTTACACAAAAAGTACTGATTGATACAATGTAGACATAATAGAATATTGCACATCGATAAGGCTAATTTAGTTCATTTTCAAAACAAGAAAAAACAAATTTGCATTGCTTAAAGTGCACATAAACACAAACATTAAGTTTAGTATAGCCTCACTTCTTTTTCCTTTTTTTAAATTTCACAATATTTACAAAATTCTGCAAGCATTATGTTGGCACAAGACGATCATCATAGGAACAATGCCACTACTGTTGAGAATGGTCCACCATCCAAATATCTGGTCATCAGTGGTTTGAGATGCGATCAAACAATGAATGGAGTAGAGCAGAGATCAAAAGTCACCCACAAAGGGCCAGTGTGGCTGCAGGTTTTCATTCCAGTCAAGCAGGACTACCTCTTAAAACTAACCAGTTGTTTGAAGACTGGGACCAACTGATTAAACAAGTATCAGGTGTGCCCTTGTTTGACCAATGAAAATAGGCTGCAGTCCATAACTACACATCTGTACAGTGGAGCTGTAAGTTAAAGTAGCCAGTGCGTGGAAGCACAGGGAAAGTGTTCTTGATAAAGTGGACGGTAAGTGGATGTTTTTGATAAAGTGGATTGTAGGTGTTTTTCAAGCTGGAGCCATTGTGATGCACCTGCAAGTCAATTATGGATATTTATTGGACATTTTTGTAGATAAGAATGTCATTAAAATATTGACATATCTGACATATACCACACAGCTGGCAGTATGACATTTAGGGATTTATGCTGAACATAGTTTTTTATTTATCCTCTTTGTCTTTTCTTTGACTTCACACGTCAGAGCTGTCATTTCTCTTGCTAAGCTCATTAACAATCCAGCATTTCTTCAGCAGAATAAAACACTTTTGCATTCATAAAACTATACTACATTCCTGTGCTTACTGAACACACTCAAAAGTTAAATGAAAAAGTACTGAAATCCATAATAAAGTTGTATTTAATCTACACATCCCAGAGGAAAAAAAAACAAAATGAAATACAGCATCAATTAAAATGTTTTCTAATACTTTTTGCTCTGTGATAGTAAAGAACACAGAAATACTGATTAAGCAGCTGATATGGCAGCACCATAGACATTATACCAATGCGTATATATCCATAGAAGTTTACTCCATAGTTCTCAAAACTCTCTGTGAATTTCTTGTTGGTTGAAAAAAAGTCATCCTTTTTTCCACAGCCTGTCTCAGCCTGGGTGGTAAACATGCCAACTGGGTCTGGAACATTTTTGCATTGCTTGCAATGAAGTCAATACATAACCTGTAATAATGTAAGATTAATAATGCAAGATTAGTTGACACAAAACATTTGTGGGATTTGCTTTGCAAACTGCAGCACAGTAATAGGTGAACTAGCTTGTTTTTATTATTTCGATCTCTTTTAATTGCTGTGACTTTTTCCCCTTGTATCAATAAGGCCTAGTGATTAGGGTTGTGCAGGTTTGAATAAAGGGAATTCCAATGATTTTTCAAAATTTCTGCATTACTAAATCGTTTAGCATGTAAACAAAATTATTCAGTTTGTTTAGATGTAAAATGCACCGTTGAAGAGGCTGAGAGTAACTCACAGTCAGAATTGTTCACAGAGGTGGTGACAGGAAAAAGACAATGGAAGCATTTCATGCACTGAATTGTTAAATGACATTGTCTGTAAATTTGTTTTGTAATAATTAAGATAATGTTGAGATAACATTTTGCCCTAAACTTTTAGTTTTTTTATAGTTACATGCGGGTTGTTATAAGGCAAAACAGTAGAAAAAGAAACATTATTTTTTCAGATTTACCACTCTTTTACCTTCATCATTACATATAAAGACTCAGATGTGTGGGTTCATTGCTCACTTTAGTAACGCTAAGTAATAAAAAAAAACCTGTAGACATCATTAGACCTGGGGCCGTATTACAGAAAATGTGTATCTTTTGGTCTTAACTTAAGATCTGACAGGTAAAGATAAGATTTTTATAGAAGCAAATCTTATCTTAATTTAAGAATCTTATCTTACAGCATCTTTTCTTATCTCAACTCGATTGAAGTCGACAATCAGCTGGCATGTCTGTTACCTAGCAACCGACCATACGTGCACAGCGGAAACGTAAACATGCAATCAAGTTAGTTAGCCAGACAGCTAAAGTTAGATGCTGTTACTGGTACACACACACACACATACACACACATCTTCTAAGCCGCTTATCCTTCTGGGTCGCAGGGGATGCTGGAGCCTATCCCAGCAGTCATTGGGTAGAAGGCAGGATACACCCTGGACAGGTCACCAGTCCATCGCAGGGCAGACAGACAGACATATACATTCACACACACACACTGATACCTAGGGGCAATTTGGCCAGACTGTATGTCTTCGGACTGTGGGAGGAAACCGGAGTACCCAGAGGAAACCCATGCAGACATGGGGAAAACATGCAAACTCCACACAGAAAGGACCCTGGTCGCCGGCCGGGGAATCGAACCCAGGCCCTTCTTGCTGTGAGGCGATAGCGCTCACCTGCACCACCGTGCTGCCTGTTATTAATGTAAAGAAAGTCAAATAAAACTAAAGCACGATAAAATGAAAGTTAAGAATATTATGGCAGCGCTTCTTGCTGTTTATCGGGAGCGTCGTCGCTCTCCACTTTCAGTTTCATTTCCCAAGCACTTTAGCTGAGCGTGCTAACGTTATTCCTCCTAATAAATAGACACACGTTCAGCTCTGTCTCCTCATTATTCACCACCATCACTGTAACATTTTATCTGTCTGCAGCATCTGGGGCTTTTAAATGCTGTTAGAAAAAAGAGTCAAAGCACCATTTTCAGTGTTCAATACCTATCACTGTATAAAACAATAGAAACAGACGATTAAGCAGAAGTTAAGAGGGGTTGTCTTAACGTTAAGAAAATATTTAGGATATTTTGGCAATTTAGGATGTTTCTGTGATATCGTTTTCTTATCTAGAACATAAGATAAGATTATAGACTTAAGAACTGTTGTTCTGTAATGGCTTCTGTCCTAACTTCAGTCTTAACTGAAGTTGCCATGACAACAAAGCAGATCTCAGACTTAAGAATTTTCTGTAATACGGCCCCTGATTCCTATCACCACCACGGTAAAGATATCTGATGCAGTCATTTTCTCTACAATTCTCCCTTTTACATTAACCTACTCCAAATGACTCTGTTTACATCTCAACAATTACAAGTTATGCAGAAAGAATGAAAAATCAGAGGAATTTTAGTGCTTTATGCCTAAAAGTGTGTATTAAGAAGAAATTATTATTTAATATTTCTGCAGTTACGTTGACACTTAGTGGAAAACATTTAAATTGTCTTAAACCTTGAAGCTAACTTCAGTCTTGACAAAGCAGAAAAATAACGACCTTACCATACAAGGGAGTAAGGCTGGGTCTGGAAAACAAGAGCATCATTACAATGTCCCTGAAAAATTTAAACACAGCAACTTCACTCTTTATTTCAGTTTAATGGCAAACATAAATGTAATCTGAGTTTTCAAGCACTGCCTGTAATACAGCAATGATGTCAGTGCTGAGTAATGATAAAATGTGTATGTGTGTGTGTATATAAAATGGTAGAGTTCACAAAACTTACACTGTCCATCAAAATTATATCATCATGACTTCCTCCAAACACTATAACATCAGAGTCCCTTCCCAGGCAAGCTGTGTGCCACAGTCTAAAAACAATTCAAAGACAGAACAAGAAGATGGATAAAACACTGATTCCACATCAAACAACTGCTTCAAAAAGCTTCATCTCGTTTTATGATTAAAAATAATACATTCTTTGAACTTCCAAAATACTACCATAGCCATCCGAGTTCGAGAAATATGCATGTATCATACATAGGCAGTCATGGACTGAAAAGGCTGTAGCCACACTGCTGTTTCAGAGCATTGCTGTGTCCATTCCTGATTAGGCATGCTCTGGCTTGCATCAGTTCATCTTATTAATTTTCTTTAGTCTATTTTCTGAAAGTCAGCTTGATTCCCACCTGTTTTCCCTTACCGGGGTTTGTCCATGTTTGAATGTTTCATCTCTGTCCATCCTTTTGTTTTCAGATCGAACATCCAACCATCACCTACAAAGAAAAGGTTCAGAGTAAGGTTTTCATGAAAAATTTGGATACAAGAAAACACAGTACCTTGCCTGACAAACTACAAGATTAGTAACTAAATGACTAACTATGATGGTCACCCACACAGATCTCATACAGAAATTCTTCTGAAGAAGTGCAAATAGGAAAGAAGACAAACTGAGTGGCAATGAACACGAATGATGTTTGGGTGCACCTATTTATTTATTTATTTTTATTTTTTTTCTGGCCGTTTTAACAGGTACCACCATGCACCACTTTACTGACTGTACTCCCATCAGCTACTGCACAATTTATCAGCAAAACTTTACTCCATCTATCAATGGAAAGGGAATGGAAGTGGCAAAGTAGTGTTTGTTGAACTGGTAGTGTCACTGTGTACTTTCTAAGTGTACAGTTGGAGACTATAGGTTGTTATTATTATTATAGGGTTAGTCATCCTCTAGCCCTTCATCAACGAAGACTCTGACCACAGGATCACTGTTGATTTGATATTTGTGATTGGCAGACTACTCACACACATATTTTCTAAGCTGCTTATCCTTTTGGGTCGCGGGGGGAGCTGGAGCCGATCTCAGAAGTCATTGGGCAGAAGGCAGGAAAACACCCTGGACAGGTCACCAATCCATCACAGACAGACAGACAGACACACTCACACACACCTAGGGGCTATTTAGCATGTCCATTCGACCTGACTGCATGTCTTTGGACTGTGGGAAGAAACCGGAGAAAACCCATGCAGACACAGAGAGAACATGCAAACTCCACAAAGAAAGGACCCGGCCGGGAATCGAACCCAGGCCTTTCTTGCTGCGAGGCGACAGCGCTATCCCACCGTGCCACCTGGCACATTATAATCAAACCAAAAGCCAAGCAAAAGAGGACTGTCCACCCCTCAAATAATATTGAGTGGCAGTCCTATGGTGGTCCCTTTACAAAGACAAACAGCAAAGACGGTGGCTAATAATTTGGTCTACAGTCAGTTAATTGTAATTGTATACCTACAAATCGCTCGTATATGATAGGTGTATTTGATCAAATAAGTGTAGATACAAAGAAGGTGTACCTAATAATCTTGCAATTTAGTGTGTGTTCACTTATACAATGATAAGATTTTGGTTGCTTGGAAATTTTTCTCCCTCTTTTGTTCTCCTAATTTGCATCCAATAAACTTTTTACTATAACTTTTTTTTATCATAACTTATTACCATAAATTCCCCATACAGAAGAACAAGAACAGTGAGATCTTTGTCAGAGACATGCCTAATGAACATCTGATTCTGGAGAAGATGATTTCCACATGCTTTGACTTGTTTATGCTTCTTAGTTTCTTTAGGTATTAATTAGTAATTTGTACTGGAGTTTAATACAGTTCTGAAGTGGCAACTAGATATACCTGTAAAGGAGATACAGTTTTGCTTTGATACTACTTTTTCACAGAAGCAAAGTAATCAATCTGTTGAGCATTGACTTACTCATGGGTCTAGAGTCCACGCTAAGTCCACCAAACAGAAAGAGTGAGGTATCCGACACCGCTGTTAGAGTATGCCATGAACGCCCCAAAGGCACTGTGGTTGTAGGTACACTAAAAAGCAACAGAAAGCAAAGGAATGCAAGAGAAATTATCTTGTTGTAATGAGTGTATACCAAACAACATGGTAGGCCTGTCACAATCATGAAATGTTAGCTGGCAATTAACTGCCATACAAATAATTATGATTAACGACTAAATTGTCTTGTTTTGAAAAACAATTAAACTGTTTTATAGGACAAACCTAAAATGTCCAAACTGGTGATCAGCAATCTTGCATCTTAGCTGTCGACTTAGGTAGTAGTTAACAGACATAGCTTAAGCTCAGTTAAACAAACATTACTCACCTCTTGGTATAGCACCAGTCAGAAGTTAAAACATTTGTTGTTTTCGTAAGACCCATGATATTTCTCAGTGAACGCACTTTCTCCTTTCCTTTATTTACATATATATTGTCTCAGCCCAACAGATAAAACGCACTCACATTCTGTCTGTTGTGGCATAAACATACAACTGTGAAAGCTAACAATTGTGGAAAACAATTGCAGTCAGTAATCATGTAAACATTGTGACAGGCCTACAACATGAAAAGGTGCATTTCTAAGCAGTTGGAACAAAAATGATTAGTAGAAATGGCACTGATCCAATACCAATTAAGTTATTAGTCCGATTTCAGAAGAAACTGCTGGATCAGATATTGGAGGGAAAAAAAGAATCAGATCCAATCCTGTGACAAATGTAGCCTAAAACAGCACATAATCAAACTGTGTGACGTAGGGTGCGTACTTTGGCAAAAATATCATACCGTGATACTTAAAGACATTTACTCAATGTACAACACGTACCACCACATCTCATTTTTAAAAACTGCTATCAAAAAACTCTGGCTACAATGATTTTTATTTTGTGTTTAACATATGCTGCATTCCAATTCATAGGCTTCCTAAGCAGCACCATTATACTTCCCAGACACTTGAGCACCGTATGTCGGTTAAGGAAACTGCAGTTATAAAACTGATAAATGCCTTTATTCAGAATGTCATGCAGCGTCATAATCAAACACAAAGCAATATGCATCTTCAAGAGACATGCAATGACTAATGAGTAAATTTTTCTGTTATTTCCTGTTGTGTGGTTTCTGAACAATTAAAAAATGTCCATGACTCGTACAGCAAATTCTTACATTTCAGTCCAAGTCCATGAGTCCAGATCCAGACAATGAATGTCACTTGTTCTCGTCTCCTGTCAATATGTAATTAAAAAAATACTTGACAGTTCTTGGTGTAAAACACAGCAAAAAATGTCAGAAAGTATTAACAACAATCAAATTATTTTGAAGGGGGCTCACCATTTTTCTTCCACCAAAGACATACCCTTTGTTGCCTATGGTGGCACTGGCATGCGCAGCTCTTGGTGCAGGGGCTTGTCCCTATGTCAAGTAATAGTTATTGTCTGATAGCTTTAAAATATCTGTCAGAACATGTTTAAGTCATACACAGTTTGATATGATGACTGGGTATAGTTATTTAAAGGAATGGATTGAAAAAGAAAAAAAAAGTACACAAATTTCCACTTATGCCAGATGTAGTGGATCAGCTAAGACGTGTCCAAATTTTGTTTCTTTGGTTTAGCACTGAAGCTAACATTGCTAAGAAATACTAGGAGTCAATTGTTACCCTAATCCTTTTTGTAAATACATGCTCAAAACTTCTCTCAACCCACTCAAATAGTGTCCAGGTTGTCATTAAGGTTGCATAGACTTGTCTATGTACAGTATGACTTACTGCCAGAATTTGGACACAAACACAACATGGCTGACCAACAACATCACTGTATATAAGACATGACAGTGAGTAGCATACACATACAAAATATTTCACAAGGCAAAAAATCTAAAATGTTTGTAAGTCGTACATATAAATGTCTTACAAATGTTTTTGGTTTATTCCAACTTTTTGCTCTGGAATCAAACACATGAACTTCATTGTTCCACCCCCAATAGACGTCTTCTACCTAAAATGAGAGAAAACAGTGTTTAAGTCTAAATATCTTGTTTATATTGACCAGTGTTGAGTTGAGTATAAGATGAAAAAAATTACCCAAGATGCCTCATCCACAATGAAGGTCCTGGGGTTATCGATTGCCCTGAGCAGCTTGTGACCATATCCACCGAAATAAATAATGCTGTCAAAAACCAACATCTGATCACATTTATAAACAGAATCTACACTGTGATGACTTTAAATTTAATTGAAATAAGTTGGATAAGTCATTGTGTAATTACATTACCCATACACTCTCACCTGCTTTTGTGAACCCAACAGGAAAGCTTGTCTCGTGGAGTGGGAAGTGATCCTGAGTGATGTCTTATCTTTTTCCAGGAATACTTCTCATCATGGAGATTCACCGAATAGTGCTAAAAAAAACACACACAACAACACAGAATTCATACCAGAGATTTGTTGCTCACTCTGTAAAGCAGTGTAGAGGACAACACCACCAGGATTACCTCATTGGTCTGACCGTCATCTCCACATCCTCCAAATATATACATGTGTCCATTCAGAATGCAGCCACAAGACCCTGACATGGAAGGAGGGATTTCTCCAACCATGTCAAACTTTTTCCTTGCAATACATTACATAAATACATATTAAACGGCATGTTGCTCAAGTTATGAAGGAGTAAATGTCATTAAACTTAAGGTGCATTTACCAATGTGTGTGTGTATATATATATATATATATATATATATATATATATATATATATATATATATTAAATTCATCGTCCAGAGGCCTAACAATAACCCACAAGATTCAGTAACAGTTATATAATAACAACAGAAATATAAACTATATATTATATCATATATATTCATAGCTGCATGTAAATATGTGTACAGGAAAACCAAATATATACAAACACAGCAAAGGCTTACCATAAACCACTTTCCAAGTCATACAGCCATATCTCATCACTTGGTAGGAAAACTTCATGATCAGCAACTGACTGAGGAAAAAAAGATTAATAATAATATTAGTGCAAATGTTGAAATTTTCTACAACTTTTCATCAAGACACCTTAGTGATCCTTCATAAAAACATTTGCCAGTTATATAGTTAAATAGTCAAGTTTGAACTATCACCAATTAAAGACCCAGCACAACTACTAAAACAAGTTTATGCTATCCATTTTCTCTGTGGACTTTTTTCTGTTCGCTGTGTGGGCATGAACCTTATGTATTGCATATTCATGACAACTACAGCATAGCATCACATTAACTCAAATGTACATGTATGATACTATCTTTAAAGCAAAAGACTTAAAACCATACTAAACAAACCCTACATACGAATGCAATTTTGATTGACAACGAGCTCAGCAGACAGCTAAAAGTGGGATGTTCCCAGGGTCCTATGTTTCCATGGTCCTGCATTTCCACAGCTCTTTTCATTATACATCATACCTTAGTATGATACATTAAGGAAACCTATAAAAGGGTTAGCATGCTGGGGTCATGAATAGCCATATGGGGACAATGAGAAGTATTTTTTTCAAGTGAAAAGTAGCATTGTGCCATTGGTGATAATCAGTGAACAAAAGCTATTTGCAAAGCGAATTTTTCAATTTGAAACCGCATGGCTAGCACACCCCTGCTGAAAAAAACAGCACAGACAAGCGTTGCATGCTGGTCTAAGCTGATCTCCCCAGCATGGTCATACTGGTTGACCAGCATAAGAGCATCAAAACACAACATATGCTGGTTTTGGTGGTGACCAGCAGACCAGCATCCAAAACACAACATATGCTGGTCTATGCTGTTTTTTCTAGGAGGGATGTTCATGATCACGTAACAGAAAATAAATAAATAAAATAAAAAGTTTATGAACTTACCTGAATGTCCCATGGTTTATTTTTTGTTGTTAATTGTGCTAGATTGTGGATATAGATGTTCACAGGCAAAACTACGGAGGCCCGTAGGGGTCACTAACGAGAAAAAAAAATTGTGTGGAGGAAAATCTGTCCCCGCAGTTTAGTAATCCGTACTCTCAGTTTATAAACCGTGCCCACGGATTTGTAAACTGTACCGACGGATTTGTAAACTGTACTGTACTGAAATGACGTGATTTCAACATCGATTGTTCACTGGGCTATAAATATCGAGCAATTCTTGCATAGTCAGGGTTTAATGTTATTCCTTTTAACATGCAATGGGCTCTTCGGGCTAAAACTCCGTTCAGTTGTCGCTGGCCGCGGGGTGGGATAATATAGGCAAAAACGAGGTTATTTTTGCCTCGTTTTAAACAAGTGCATTCACATAATACATTTCTACAAAACACTCAAATTAAGCAGTAAGGTTAAACTGTAATTTAATGAAATGGTAAAGCCGTTGAAAATGGTGTATGTGAAAGCCACAGCACAATATCCTACCTACTTTCTAGTAATGTCTGTTTTATGTCACGTTAACGTTACTTGCTTATATTTATCTTTTCATCATGAAAGGGCGACACAGTTGTGTCGTCCAATTGCCTGCCCTCTTTCAGAAATGTCACAAAATTCTCCAGTTTCTCCAAATATCTCATAAATGTGGCCTGTACCGTCGGTACAGTTTTGCTAATCGAGAGTACAGTTTACAAATCCGTCGGTACAGTTTTGCTAACCGAGAGTACAGTTTATAAATCCGTGGCCACGGTTTATAAACTGAGAGTACGGATCACTAAACTGCGGAGACAGATTTTCCTCCCCACATTTTTTTTCTCGTGACCCCCACCCGGCTCCGTACAAAACAACACAAATAATTTTTTTAAAAAAAAAGTTCACTATAGACCCACAAAGAAATTTAAGCCATTTTAGTTTGATCTCCGAGACCGAGCGTGGGTCGTACTGTCAAGAAAAGTGACGTGGAAGGGCAAGTTGATTTCACACTTTATGAATATGCAATATTAGGTAGACTATAATTTGCTATAATCAAATAGTGGTATGCAGGACGCCACATAAGGGTAATTCCAAAAAGGTGGGTAGGGGGCATTGTACAAATAATCTAAAACTTCACAGGCCATTTATGCACTGCTTAATGTACAACATAAGTTGCGTTGAAAACAAAAGCATGCGGATAGTCACATTAGGCTAGAGTTTGAGTAAGAAGGGAAAATACTGTGATGGGCCTTTAATGAAGGCTAAGCCTGACAGAATGAGACATCTTTGTAATAAACAACATGCCTTTTTAACATATTTAAAAATTCACGAAAGCATGTAGAAAATAAAGGAGTCATTACGAACTCCAATGTAAGTGTACAAGGTCTCTTAAGCGTTTAGAGCTGCAGGTGGCTGTTAGCTGTCTCTGCTTACCACATAGCCTCCCCAAACAAATAAGACATTTTCAGACACCACAGCCGTGTGCCCGCTTCTTTCGCATGCCACAGAATTGGTTCGACATGAGACATTTGAAGTCATCGTTTTTCAGAGAATATTTGCAACCAATATCCAAACTTTATTTACTGTCCCATATAGCTACTCATGTAGACTGTTTACGCCTCAGCCGATGACTGAGCTGGTTTGAGAGGGTGGTGAGTGATACCCGACGAGGACAGAACAAGTTTCGTCTCAGGTTCTTTCTTTCTTTTCCATTCAATGGTTATCTTTCTCGTAGTTGCCCATAGCAAGTAGCACGTCTTTTAAGACAGAAGCTCACACTCTCTGTTCGTTAGAAGCGGAGTGGTTGAGTTCACTAGAACGTCCCTGTCTCGACGTCACAGAGCTTTTATTTTGAAGTGCATTATGAAAGAGTGTTTTTTTATAAGCGGAAGTTGTCGAATGAAGGCGCGGATGCCGAAATTTAGCGCCAAGAGACGAAGATGGACGTACGGAGGCTGAAAACAAAAGTTTCTGCTGGTTTCAAGATGCGCGGATTAATGCTCCGACCGTATGTCTTGGTCTCCATTTATATTATATTTACGTTTGTGTAAATAAAGCACAGTGCCACGGGTGTTGATGCGGGTTATATGAGATTTTCTTAGTACCAAATCACATAGATTTACATAGATTCAATAAAGATAGGTTAGCTATATTAGCTAGTTAAATGACTAACGTTAGTTCTGATAGGTCTGTAGGTGCTGGCATCTCTGCTTAAAAAGCTGCACTACATTCTGCTTACTACATTAGAGTGTCTCTGCTATGCTGTATGCTTACTGTACTGCACTGTCTCAGCATATTACTCTCTGGCTTCTTTTTATGGAAGTCAATCCCAGGTAGTGATGCACTGCTCTTCAATTTTGTAGCTGATGTCGGTTTATTTACAGCTAAATTTTTCTATCGATTTTTATTATAAATAGCACCGATATAGGAATTGTGGGCCAATATGTGCTGAAGCCTATAATATAATATGTATACGTGTGTGTGTATATATATATATATATATATATATATATATATATGATATATATATATATGTATATATGTATGTATGTGTGTGTGTATATGTATGTGTATATATATATATATATATATATATATGTATGTATGTGTGTGTGTGTGTGTGTGTGTGTGTGTATATGTATGTGTATATATACACACATATATAAATATATGTGTATATATATGTGTGTGTGTGTGTGTATATGTATGTATATGTGTATGTATATATAATATATCTCAAAGAGAGAGAGAGAGAGTGAGTGAGTTTATAGCCAGTCACTGAGTGTCCACTACAAAGACTGTAGTCCATCACCAGCACTGAATGGGCAGCTGGCTATTTAATACAATCTGTCATGCATAATTATGCTACAGCATTTTGGTATAGGTATAGCAGCAGTATTTGAAATTTGAAAAATTGGCTGATTGCAAGTTTGGAACAAAAGTCAGCAGATTTCGACATTACACACCTACTCCCATGGTTTTCCCTCTGCAATATTGTGTATATCAAATATAATTCCTTCTTGCTGTGAGGATAAATGAAAAGATGTTTGTTTTACAGTGAAGCCAGCAGATATCTGGTGGAGGTTTTGGAGTCTGTCAGCGAGGTGGAACTGGATGATGTCATTGAGCGGATCTTGGACGCAGTTGAAAAACAACCTTGTAAGTGCCTGCTCATACTGATATTGTATACAAGTCATAGTTACCAAATGCACAGAGTTAATAAAAACTGTCAATCTGCTCATTTGACAGTAATCTCTAGCATGATCGAGCTCTCTGTAGCTGAGACAGCTGTACAAGACTGCAGTCAGTCTTGTGATGAAACCATGTAAGGGCCCACATATCACCTCATTGCATGCCATTTAGTACTCTGATTACTGAGAGCTGTGACTTAATGATTGATTTCTTTTCTTTCTAGAGACAATGTTTTTAACATTATTGGAGCTTTCGACGTACCAAGATATATCTACAGCACAGAAAGAAAGAAATTTGTACCGTAAGTTTATTTTACCATAGGATCTTCTTTCAGATGCACCACTTTAATGCATTTTTTGTCACTGATCATAAGTATCTATCTATCTGTCTGTCTGTCTGTCTGTCTGTCTATCTATCTATCTGTCTGTCTATCTATCTGTCTGTCTATCTATCTATCTATCTGTCTGTCTACCCTCACAGTATCAACATGACCAACCATCCTGCACCTAGTCTATGTGGCCAGGCCAAAGACAAGGCTGAGCTCTTCCGTGAACGATATACCATCTTACAGCAGGTCAGCCCCTTAAAACGGAATTCCATTGATTTTTCAAAATGTCTGCATAATTCAATTGTTCAGGGTGGTTTGATGAAAAAACACACTGTAGAGAAACATACCCACTCAGGTTTTCTTTACCATGGTTGTAATAGGAACCAGGAGTGTCTGCAACACCAGAATGTCTAAAATTTAAATATAGCAGCTTTATTTACTATCCAAAATAACGAGTGAACTTACCCATATCTTCTGAGTTTTGATAGTGGTGCAGTTTTATTTATGGACTGTTTTACTTTACAGTGCCCTGCATGTACCTCCTTGCCATGAGTGGCTTTAAAAAATATGTTTTAGGCCAAAACCAGATGGCTGGTTCATATCACAAATTGTTCACTGGTTCTTGAACAGTTCTGACTCAGTAAGTTTCTCTAAAACAGAGAATTCTCAACGACTTTGTTTACATCTTAAATATTGAATTATGCTGAAATGTAGGAAAATGAGTGGAACTCTCCTTTAATTTCTTTGGAGTGTGTATGACCACTGTAGTGTGTATGTCTACATATTGGTTATGTAATAGGAGATTTCTGTTTAAATCTTTTTTATTTATTTTATTATTATTTCTTTTAAAACTTCATAGCGGACACACAGGCATGAACTTTTCACTCCTCCTGTGATTGGCTCAGCCCCAGATGAAGGGAGGAATAAATTTCAGGTAAAGTGACTCATCTTTTTGTTACATTTCATATCTTATGTCTATATTTCATGTATATATTTCATTTGTTCTTATGGTTATGACCTGTTACTTTTTCTTACCTGTCACAGTTTAATATTAATATGATTTCTCTTGCAGTTGAAGACTGTGGAGGCCCTTTTGGGAAGCACAGCCAAACTGGGTGAAGTTATTGTACTTGGCATGATCACACAACTTAAAGAGGTAAGGTGATTTGGGGGAAGAGGCCCATCAGGAAAAGATGTTATTTTCTGTCCTGGTAAAATGATGGAGCCAAATCTAATGTCACATTTTACACATTTACTGAATGGCTATGATCTAACTAACTGTGAAATTTTATCTGGATCACTGCATGGCTGGAACATTTTCGGGTCAGTTGATGTCATTTTTTTGTCATGTTTGGTTAGACAGAATCAAAACCAAAACCAGATTGAGATTTTTTCAGAATATCAAAATAAAAACAAAAAAATGAAATTGGTTTGTAATTCATCAACATTCATTATCATTCATTACACAGGGTATATATTAATGAATAATATTTTATACTATATTTTGTAAAATATAATGTTAAACTACATATGCCCTAAAATATTTGTAAATATTATTGCATTATTAATAAAATAATATTAATAATTTATGATTTTTTTTTTGTGCTATAAAAACAAAATTGACGAACAAATATGGGTTAGCCTAAAGATAAATTGACATTGTTTTAAAGAGGGCAGCTATCTCTTTGCTTTTGTTCCACTATAGCTTTCAGCTAAATAGGAGGTTTTGACAGTTCAGAGCTTTTAATTTGTGTTTTTAAAACTACCTGTAACTTGTATGGAGCAGAAGAACGTGAGTGGAATTAACCATGTGTAGTCTCTTTTTCAGCTAATGTGCTGATTCTGTTCCGCTGTCCCCTAGGGCAAATTTTTCCTTGAAGACCTGACTGGCTCTGTGCAGCTGAATCTTTCCAAGGCAATATCCTTTTGCTGCTATGCCAAAAAGCAAATGAATTAATCTGAGTTGTAGTTCCATAAAAATATTAATCCTCTGAACCTTGACACCATTCTTCACCAGTTCCACAGCGGACTTTACACAGAATCATGCTTTGTCCTGGCTGAGGGTGAGGTGCTAAATGCATTTTGACTGAGCAGTGTACAGTTAGTAGCTTTGAACCAAGACCTTGTGTTATAGTTGTCGTAGTTACACATGACTAAACAGTAATGCTTGACAGTCAGATACTTTATTATTTTTATCTCACTGATGGATTCCCACAGGATGGTACGAGGACTCTGTCTTTTATGTCAATGCCTTTGGATTCCCTCCAGTTGAGCCCTCCTCTACTACGAGGTCAGCATAAGAACTTGCGTACTGTTCTGTATACTCAGTATACATTCATTCACAAAACTAAGTACTTGATTTAAAGTTTTTAATTTAATTTAAGTTTTGAGTAGTTTTTGATTTAAACTATACAATTCTGGTGAACGATGTGAGTCAGTTCTGCTACAAGTGGCTAAAAACACTGCTATCACAATCATGGTAGAGATGAAACGATATTAAAATTTCATATCACGATCATCATGACCAAAATTATCACGATTATCGATATTATCGCGATATTGTTGAAAAGCGTTGAAAAGTAAAATAAATAAATAAATAAATACTGATACACAAACTGAAATTCATTTCACCAACGTTTATATTAACACAAATAGAATTGGCAGCAATATGCACTTTTTGTTTGCATAAACATTAAAAAAAATAGTCAATACATTTGTAGTATTACTTTTGTATTACTTACAATACTCTGTAAACAAAAGAATTGCAAATGTATTATTATTACTGTTGTAATTATTATTGCTATTATTATTGTTGTAATTATTATTATTATTATTATTATTATTTACAATAATTAGGGATTTCCCTGCAGAGAGAATTAAATCTCGACCAACTCTGAGGTGGGTCTTAATGGAAAACTACTACTTCTAAGAAGTGTTGCACTCGGGGGATTTCTGTTCTAACTGCAATTGCAGCATTATTGTGCCGTTGTGGCGCTGTACCCCTAATCAACACAGTGCACCAGGAAAAACAGCCAAAATCACAGAGGAATTGTGTGACCGCGCTGTGAGCTGCAGGCAGTGTAGAACTCACACAGTGTGTCTTCACCTGTGGAGCTGCTTCTCTAAAAGCATTTTAAAAATAAAACATTACTTAAAATTAACATGCATCTGAGCTGTGGCAGAAACACTCCTAAAGTTTAATCTCTGAAACTCTGCTTTTGCTAAAAGCAGCACACAGCGTTTACTCGCGCGAGGTCCCGTCCCAAAGCACACTATCTTCTCTATGTAGTGTACTTCATGGATCATGAAATAGCAAATCCTTCACCCAAAGAGTGCATGAAATGTTCGACTAAGTCATCTATAATCAACATTAACAATAGGTTACAAATTCCCTATTTAAAACTCAACTGCTTGTTAATGATGATCGTGTTTGTTTGAACAGTAGCGCACTATGTAGGGGGCATTGAGTGATTTGAGACAGTTATTCTCTTCTCAGAAAGTAAACACTGCAAGCGAGACGAGAAAGGGGAGCTGTGCAGATTGAACTTTTACAGCGTCTCGTTCCAGAGCTTGTGTGACTGTTACCTCAGAGCTCATTTTGGAGACACTGCTCCACAGAAATATGCAGCTTTAAAAATAAATAAATAAAAAATTCATCAGGGCAGAACTACACTGAGTAAGGTTAAGCAAATAATCTTTTGGAAGGTATGTGGTCAAGGCTTTAGAATACAGTATATGAGAGCAGTCAGAGTTGGAGTGGCTCAGTCCATAAGTCATTATTATAATAATAAATGGCACACTTTTTGCTTCATCTTTGTTAAATAAAAGAACATAATAGCTCAGTAGTAGTTGCGGATATTGATTCTGGTGAACGATGGCTCCAGCACTAAGTTTCTCGTTCAAATTTTCCCGTTCCACCTTAAAAGGTGCAGTAGTTAGGACTACAGTCTGGTGCGTTAGCTTCTTGTTCGAATTTTCCCTTTCCACCTTAAGTGGTGCATGCACAGTGCTGTGTGGAAGGGCACTGCCTGGGAAGGGCAAAACAAAACATTTTCACAGGGCAGGACTAACATGCATGCGTGGCTGGACTGGCTATGAAAACCAAAAAATCAGAATAGCTCAGATTACAGCACATACAGAGGGGCTGTGACTTCATTCATTTCTCATCATGCCATTACTCCACTATGTCTTTACATAGAAAATAGTTGTTTGCTGCTATATTAATGTTTAAAATGTTGTGTATATGTAACCTGTAACGAATACAAAACTCTTCCTTTTATTTGACAGGGCATATTATGGTAATGTGAACTTCTTCGGTGGCCCATCCACCACTGCGGTCAAGGCCTCTGCCAAGCTGAAGCAGCTGGAGGAGGAGAATGAAGATGCAATGTTTATTATCGTTTCTGACATGTGGCTAGACAGTGTGGAGGTCCTGGAAAAGATCCAGACCATGTTTTCAGGTCTGGCATCTTCTGATATCTCCAAAAAAATCAGTGGCTGCTTGTACTTGTACCAAAAAATATGTATGTAATAAAAGACCACCACAGCGTGCTTGCATACACCTAAAATTCATCTAAAGATCTTTTGTACCCTTTACAGGCTATTCAGCAATGCCTCCCACCTGCTTCATATTCTGTGGGAACTTCTCCTCTGCCCCTTATGGCAAAAATCAGGTCAAGTCACTCAAAGGTAAGATTAATAAGACTTCTGTTTCCTCACCCTTGTCATGTGTTTACAGTTGATGTTTTTTACTGCCATATCTTAATGAGGATGCTGTTTGTTCCAGAATCTTTGAAAGCCCTTGCTGATTTGATTTGTGAACATCCTAGCATCCATAACAGGTAAGATGCACCTCCACAGGTCTCTGAATAAATTGATCCAGAATCTAGAAGTTTGATTCTTCAGGATGAGGCCAACTGTTTGATAGTTTGGGAATAGTATTCACATAATTAGTGTGATGTACTGCAATGTTTTCTGTCACTGTAGCAGTCGCTTTGTGTTTGTTCCTGGTCCTGAGGACCCTGGACCCAGCACTGTCCTACCCAGGTAAGTTGAAAATGTTGAAAAGTAGACAAAGAAGGAATAAAGTTATTGTAGATATTGTTATCTCAACGATCAGAAAACTCAAATGCCCAAATGCTCAAATGTATCAATAATCAGGAATGCCCATATAATAGAGACTTCTTGGTTAACAATCCTTTAATAAAGCGTGACTATAACAAGACCCATGTATAGTGCTTTGTCTTTGGTTACAAAGAAATGAACAAGCTTGATAAGATAAATGTATTGTATTTGCATCTCCAGACCTCCCTTAGCTGAACATATCACAGAGGAGTTTAGACAGCGTGTTCCTTTCTCTGTGTTCACCACCAACCCATGCAGGTATAACCTGTACAGTCTATAACTTGAATATGGTTTCTCATTCTTTAACAGTTTTAGTAATTATTGCAGAGCTGTGTTTCATTTTCCTCTAACAAACATATTCTTCAAATATGTTAGAATTCAGTACTGCAGTCAAGAGATAGTCGTGATCCGAGAGGACCTGGTCAACAAGATGTGTAGGAACTGCGTAAGGCTCCCCAGCAGCAGTCTCGACATTCCGAACCATGTAAGTCAGTTCTGCTGCAAGTGACCAGAAACACTGCTTTTACAATCATGGTGAACTCCAAAACCACAAAAAAACAGTTTTTGCTATGTTAGTGGTATTTAAATAAATAACTATCTAACTAACTAAGTAAATAAGTAAGTAAGTAAGTAAGTGAATGAATGAATAAATAAATAAATAAATAAATAAATAAATAGAGGGCAGAACTGCACTGAGTAAGGTTAAGTAAATAATCTTTTGGAAGGTATGTGGTCAAGGCTTTAGAATACAGTATATGAGAGCGGTCAGAGGTGGAGTGGCACAATCCATAAGTCATTATTATAATAATAAATGGCACACTTTTTGCTTCATCTTTATTAAATAAAAGAACATAATAGTGGAGCTCAGTAGTAGTTGCAGATATATTATATTTGTCTTTAATTTGTCCATAAAACTGTAATTAATGGAGTAATAAGGAACGGACTTGTGAATGTCACATGAACTTTACCGTCCGATGCTATGGTCTCTGTAGCTGCTTAGCCTGATTGTACGAGAGCTGAGACATGACAGTGTTTTTTCCAAAGAACCAAAGCCATTTGGTCTGATCTCTGAAACCGTATGCTGTGGTCTGAGGATGTACTAGAAAGTACCCCATACCATGCGTTCTTTTAATACAACTCCATTTCCAAAAAAGTTGGAACGCTATGCCTAATGTCAATAAAAATAGAACGCAATGATAATAATATGCAAATCATGTAAACCATATCTTTAAAGGAAAATAGTACAAATGGGATGGGATGGGATGTTTTTTTTATACCTGTTTTTAGACCTGTTGCCAATTAACCTCCAGATATTTTTTTTTTAGCATTACACTTTACCAGCCTTTTGTTGACCCCGTGCCAACTTTTTTGGAATGTGTTGTTGGCATCAAACTCAAAATGGGCATATATTTTTCAAAAAACAATAACATTTCTGTTTCAACATTTGATATGTTGTCTTTGTACTATTTTCAATTAAATATAGGGTTTAAATGATTTGCACATCATTGCATTTTGTTTTTATTTACATTTTGCACAGCGTCCCAACTTTTTGTTGTACATGCATGATATCCGGCACTGCTCAACAGCTGCATTGCTAGAACAATCTCATCTATGTTAGATGTAATAAATATGGTCTTAATGTAGGATATCACCCAATATGTTTAAAAATTCAGTTATGTTAGCATGTGGGAATACTTTTGTTTTGATGGGGTTTGCATGAAATAGATCCATAAATAAATTATTTAACCAGCGGTAAATGAGTTTACCATCACTAAGGGTTACCAGTCACCAGGCACAAGCTTAATAAGAACTGTTTCACACAGACTACCGTGCATGGCTTCAGGGCAGCATTGTCAGTTATGCTGTGAGAATGATGAAGTAAATCATGTTTAAAGCACATGCTTTTGTTTACCCTTGATCATTTTCTGAATGTCCAGTCATTACAAGCCTACATACCTACCAGAAAATGTGTACATATAGATATATAAAATAAATACGCAGCAGTAAGATTGAAGAATATGAGGTGAACATGGAGCAGGAAAAAAAAAAACATGTTGTATGTCCTCCAAAAAACTCAATTGTCATTACAGTTAGAAAAGCATAAATTGCAGTCACGCACTCCATTCTTCATGAAATTTACACATATTGTAAAAGGGTAACAGGCATTTTCAAATTGTCAAAAACTGAAAAATGACAAAAATGGAGATATGAGGTTTTCTTCCGAGAGCAGCGATATGTATGTATGTAATGTATGTATGTAATGTATGTATGTAATGTATGTATGTATGTATGTATGTATCATCCCATTACTTAATCAAGCTTAATGAGAAGTGACCAAATTTGATGAAGCTTCGCATTTGAATTTCAGTGGTGCAGGATTTACATTCTGGCACCTGTACAGGTGTGTGTAACCGCTGCTTCTTTTAAGGTGGAATGGAAAAAGAGAACAAAAAGCTGCTGAGTAAGAAGCCAACTTAACCCAAAATCAAAGAATGAAATAACATTTAGCAATAGTGTTAGAAAGCATTATTGACATTGGTTGTTCAGTTATGTTTTTACTATTTTGATTACTGTTTTCCTAATAAATATAATATATAATTTTATTAGCATTTTATAAATATACCATTTTTGGCTTTGCCGCCCTCTATTAATTTGTGTGTATAATTAGGTATCTTTTTAGGACAAACCTCTTGTAAACTGACAGTTAACAGTCCAGTACTTTATGAAGAATGTATGAAGGAGAAAGTCAAAGGATTGTCCTAAAGAGCCTGCTTAAACCATGAACACATAGATATTTGTTCCTTTGGGACATTTTTAACACCAATCATCATGAATATAAACAACTTATTTGACACTGCTGATATTTACATACTTTATTTATTAGAAAATATTTAATAACTATGCATTTCAAATGTCTATCCCAGTGACCGTTTGCGTTGCTCTGCACAACAGTTTTGATGTGGTTGAACCTGTTGTTAAGCTATTGTATTTGAATAACTGGTGCAATGGGAAGCTAAAATGACAGAATGCTTTTGAAATGCTTGCATCTGCACATATTGTCATAATGTGAACAAAGCCCTCTCTGTCCCAAAAAGGAAATGACTGATGTTCTGTTGAGTCAAAGAACAATGAGTCCTGAAAAATAATGCTTGTGCTTGACTGTTAAGTTTTTGCCTGCCCTGGTTTTCCACAGTTTGTGAAGACCATCTTATCTCAGGGTCATCTGACTCCACTGCCCCTGTATGTCAGCCCAGTGTACTGGGCATACGACTATGCCCTAAGGGTCTATCCTGTACCTGATGCCATCATTTTTGCTGATAAATATGACCCCTTCAGCATCTCTAACTCAGACTGTCTCTGCATCAACCCGGTATGTTTGTTTTTTAAATATAGTGAATGTTTAAAGCCTCAAGGCTTTTCTTTAAGTGCATTAAAGAGATTTATAGCAGTAGATGGGAGTAGTTGGTAACTCCAACATGATTTCCAGTAAAACTAAATATGAATTGTATGAGTGTAAAATAATAAATGAATATAAATTTAACTTGTATGTGCAATGGGGAATGCTGGTAACATATTTCTGCTCTTCTACTGATTATACAAATCAGCTGTTATTAAATATGATTGACTGAAGATGTTTACTATAATTCTTTTATGCAGGGCTCTTTCCCAAGGAGTGGCTTTTCATTCAAAGTGTACTACCCATCAAACAGATTGGTGGAGGACAGGTATCACATTTTAATTATTATTATTATTTATTTATTTATTTATTTATTTTCTTCAATTAAGTTGATCAGCTGGCCTCATTTTTTTATGACCTAAAGCTTAATGGCTCTTTTCATATGTTTTTTCCATGAACAGCAAATTGCAGGGACTATGAAGCCGAGACAACCATGTGATTGTGGGTTTAACACTGTATAGTTATAACAGACTGTTGTAAATCTTCCAATCTATGTCAAGTGTTTCTACAATATGTGTACATGTAAAAGGTTTCCCTAGTTTTGTCTTGTCAAATTAGTGTTTTAGAAAAATAAAAAATTCTTGAAACTTTGGTACAAATTGCATTTACTTTATATTAAGATATAATATATATTAAGATTGTCAATATGATTTCTATATGAAGTTTTGGACAAAACATCAAGGTGAATGGTAATACATGATTTGTTTTCTTTTATTATTATTATTATTATTATTATTATTATTATTATTATTTAGTGGCTTCAAGACAATTCTTATACAAATTATTCCATAGAAATATTGAATAAAGAAATACATTAATAAAATGAGAATCATTTGATTACATTCAATTAATTAATTAATCAAGTGTTTAAATAAAATATGTAATTTTAAAATAGAAGCTTAATAGAAGCATTATTAATATTTAATTAGTTTAAAATAATTATATAATAACATATAATATAATTAATTATTTAATTATTGAATCATTTGTTGATTTATTTATTTCATTGTTGCTACTTTACTCCATGCTATGAAATAATTAAATGTGCCAACTTCCATCAGTGATCTTGAGAGGGTCTAACTCTGATCTTTTCAGGTTGATTGCTTTGGCCTGCTGTTATTGTTTTCAGGTACAAATCCAGACTATCTGGTGTAATACGGGACTTTATTGAGGTGGTAGGGTTATTTCTGCATTCTCTACCGAAGATATAGACTACAGGGTAGATTGATAGAGCACGGCAACCTGAGTAAGGACCAGGGTCCCTGGCTTTTCACATCCCCACTGCAATACTTGAGCACAGTGTTCACTGTGGATTACAAGATCACGAAACTGTGGCAATGTACGAAGTGCCTGAGAGGACTGTTCAGAGATAAGATCACTAACTAGATAAAGTTATACTGTATTTTCTATGTGCCTCTAAATAGTCGTCTCAGGCACTCCATACATTGCCACAATTTAGTAAATAATTTGTGTTACAAGTAGAAGCTAGCTACTTCTACTAAGTTACTACTGAATAAAACTACATATAGTAGTTCTGTGTAAGCAGTTACTTCTTCAGATAGTAGATAGAACAAAGTTTATATGAATCCTCTCTGATAGTGAAGGGAGTTGCCACTCAGTAAGGTATTCCAGGCACTAGTGGGCGCTCCCAAGCAAGTCCAAAATGAATGGGTTCTTATGGAGCTTTTGTGCAAAGTCATAGTTTGCTAAATAAATTCTTAATTGTTTTTTATATATAAAAATACAGTAACTTTTGGAACACAAATCAGTATAGAATATTTCAACACTGCTGTTATGTTTTTGAGCTTTTTAAAGGACTACGCAGTGTCCGAAATTACGGGTGTACTTGTGTATCGGTCCAAAACTGGCCAAAATCACTGGATCAGATATCAGAAGGAAAAAAAATTTGTATGATCCGATATGATTCATTAGCCTAAACTATCTTGCTGAAACTAATGCTTAGCAAAACTTTCAGCGAGATGCGTCACGACTAGGGTAAAAGAGTGCATAGCTGTGTCAGGTTTGCTCTTTCACTATGACTATGCAATAATCACTGAAGGCTGAGTGTGTTTCTTGTTTTTGCTTAAAGATATGCTGAGCTGTTCTTATTTGGGAGAGGCTCGGGGCTTCATCCTTGAGGCCGGTACAGGGAGAACAGGATGGAGCCTTCAGCTTCTCCTAGCTCCAGAACATTCTATCATATACTGCCTGTTCACGTTGTTGGTGCCAACACCTGCCTAGGGTGTGGTAGCATGACAAGATCACAGCTGAATTACCAACAGTATTCACATAAATTCACATATGTCACATGATGAGGCTGCTGAAGGGAGCTCGAGCTTGGTCGGGAAACTCAGTGATATACTGAGAAAATCATTACTGAAGTAATCTACGAATATAAATGGTTATTAGCCAGTTGACCAGATTTAAAGTAAAGTTTTAATTCTGGAGCAGCTCAATGTTTTCTTGCTCCACGAATCTCAATTTGTCTTATTTGCCAGTTTCTTATTCAAATTTTCCGTTCCACCTTAACTGAAGCAGTAGTAAAATAAATAGGGTACTGCCGAAGATGTAACTGCAGTATCATTTCAGGTGGAACTTAAAATTAGAACAAGAAGCAGGAAAAAAGAAGTAAACTTGTTATTTTCCACAACGTTCCGTGAAAAATGTAGTTAAACATTCTACAGTTTTTTTGTTTTCGCACCTTGTACACTTTTATATCCTTGTTTGTTGCAGCCCTATGCAGAGTGGTGCACTGTAGAGGCAGCGTTGGATTATCATAAAGCTGGTTAACAAACTCGTGCTACTCAAACTCAACACACGCTTCTGTCAGAATGGCCCTTGAGATAATGACAGGCATAAAACGTTGAAGAGTCGACTCCAAACATTTCGACTCTCAGAATAACTGGCGTTGGAGATGTTGGAGTGTTTATACTAAATTAACTAGACTTTAGTAAACACATCCACGTATGCAGACATCAGTAAACAGGGTTGGAATTTGTGCTTGAATAAGCACATTCGATATGCCGTGATGCTTGTGCTTTAGTGAGATAAAAAAAGAGACACGTTAGAAGAGAACCTGTTGTTAAGCTAAGGGACAGTGTCAATGCAGGACATGATTAGACTGTGTCAGCAAGAACTATCCATCCAAAACTTAGAAAGGGGTTTACAGTGGGGTTGCTGTGCATAAAGCCATTACAAAGAAGAATGTAGTACCCAACGCAGTAATAATTTACCCATAATGTAATAACCTAAAACGTTTTAATGTAATAATGTGGCAATTAATGTAGTACAATATCATATCTGATAGTGTAATAGTATTTTTATTGATAATGTAACATTTTATCATCATTAGGAATTTATGACATTTTCAGGTTGAGCGTATTCAATCTTTAATTATATTACCGGGGACCTATGATTGTGGATAGTGTAGTACCTTTAAACGTGTCTCCTACAGTGATATTGTGGTGTCACAGAAATCATCCCAACCTGGAACGAGGGAAGCATCAATGACCCAAAATCTTACAAGAGTTAACTCTACTTTCATAGAAAAGTTTAAAGACTTCTTATAAGACTGGCTCTAGTTTCTTTATTGTGGAGAAAATGGTATTTTAACTTAAGAAAGCACGTAACTAGGCTGCCTTAAAATTTTTAGCTCAATGAACTTCAAATACTGTATTAACAGAATATAAGACATTTAATTGTTCTGCCAACTTAATGCTAGAAGTTAAATTAACTCAGCATTTTAAGATGTGTGGTTACATTAAAATTAAGCAGCACGGAGTCAACTAGAGAGAGACTGAAACCTTCATTTTCTGTCTTGAAGAGACACTGCTTTTAGAAAACTCACAGCTGTGACTCCACCTATTCCTGTTCATCTTGGCTCATGTTTGCAGTTTCGCTCCAAAAGGAAATGCAGCAAACAAAAAGAGCAGAGCTGTTTCCATCAAAAGAGTTGGCAAGACCATCTAAGCTGAGTGGACATCAAATTTGTGTAAATAGCAACCCCCAGCGCAACACGAAAATGGCAGGTGGAGAAACATAGGGATACAGATGTGAATGGGGTAGGGAAAATTTTCACGACCAGTTAAAATGTATTTTAGCACATTTTAACATCATATTTAACACTCCAACGAATGTTAAACAATGGATTAGCACCATGAAGCACAGTATGTTTAATATTGAGCTGTTAATCTAAGTTTACACGGTCAGCTAAGTTACATTAGCAGACTCCTTGCAGCTGCATGGCTTCACACCACTGCCTCACTTTACTAGACTTTTTTTTCTTGGTAGCCTCCTTCATTGGACACATTGTTTATATTAATTCCTTTTAAAAAATGATCAGTTAGTGGCTATTTTTGGCAGGTGACCCCCCTGAAAATCTACAGCACAGTTTTTTCTCAGTCATAATGATCTAGCTAGCTAACTGAGTTTATTTAACACTTAAATGTGACTTCGCTGTGGAGGTTCTGATACTGCTGACAGTCAGAGTGGTAGTTCCAGTTCAGCTTTAGATAATTTTTTCTTAATTCATTCATTTGATCATTTGTTCTTAAACTATTGCAAAACTGAAGCTTTATCCAAAACATTTTAAAAGATATATTGTTTAGTTCATTGAATAATGACCAAAAAGATTTATATACTATTAAATACCATTACAATCTAAATCAGCTTCTGCGTGCTTTGAAGCCCCTTAACTGAAGGAGCTTTGAACAAGAAGTCATAGGTTAGATATTTTATTTATTAGATCTAGTTTAGTGGTGGCTGTATAATTGGTACTAGGCCCAGCAACTTTTATCACTGGCTCACCCAAATGGACTGCTCAAAGTTTCTTTTACTATTTAAATTTAATCAATAAACAAACAAAAAAGACAAATTAAAATGCTTTAGCTAAATATATCATATTTTACTTTTTTGTCAATCAAGATTTTGAATTATAATTAAAGTTTAAACATTAATTGTAGAGCTGCACATTGGATTTTCCTTGGTTTCCTAAAGAAGCACTTTGACTTCATGAAAGCAATGATAACCCATTGGTTGGAAAATGATGTGCAGGGAAATTGTTTACAGAAAAATGGCAAAAGAATTCCCTTTCAGCCTGTTTTGGGTGTCTTGCTGAAACTGTCCAGCATGAATTTCCCCATTATATAGTTATTTTGTCTGACTATATTTCATCATGATTAAACTAGACCACAAAATTTGCAGAAAATGACATCCTAGAGAAAGCTAACTCGTTTGTTATTTAGTATGCTGTGTCCTTTTCTGCTCACTACCCAAAACATGCATAGCCCTATATTTATATATTATAATATATAAAAACGCTTATTTGACTGACAAACAGTTTCTATTCACAGGCCATCAGGCTTGCGAACACATCACTCACTACCTCTTCCCCCCTCCCACTCTAAACTGGTTTAAGTTTTGGCTGACTTTGCACTCAATAACTGCACTGTACATACACTGTACTGCTGCTGTCAGAATACTACTGTTTACATCTATTACTTGCACAGTACACTACTGTTTACATCTGTTACACTTTCTGAACC